GAACTCGTGATGTGGGTGATGAGCTTCTTGAGCTGAGAGGTGCCCTTCCCGTTCAAGTCTTCACAATCAATTGACTTCGGCTGCCTGGATTCATTATCCTTACGAGCCTTCTCCGCCCAGTGTTTCACCGCAGCGCTCTTTCCCCTCGTCTTGGCAGCGAGGAGAACGACGTCGAGGGATGAATAATCGGCGAGCAGATCCATCTGGTCTTGCTGAGAGACACTGTTGTCGTAGATGGATCGCATGTCAAACGTCTTACCCGAGGGAAGCAGAACAGAGTCCACGGACAGCTTGACAGGCCGAGGCACCTGCACTTGGGCCACCTCATCATACGAGACAGAGTGCAGATCCCGCCATTGCGTAGATGCATTGAACGCGACGAAGCGTTTGTCCTCGGGCAGCAGCTTCTCGAAGCAGCCCTTGGCCTGGAAGACGTACACTTTGCTGTCCTGGATCCCGTGGTAGAGAAACAGGCAGTGCGGAGCGACGGCGAAGACGGACATGCCGACCGAGACGTTGCATTCGAAGGGCGACCGCTGGTACCAGCCGAATGTGACGATGATGCATGCGGTGCCGTGGATGCCGGCTCTTGGGATCGCGTTGGCAAAGCTCTGCACCTCGAGCTTGTCGATGTAGCCATCTGTCATCAGACACCAGAGGCCTGCATTCTGGAGGGTATACTTGTGGATAGCATCGTTGATGACGGCCGACGGACGTGTCCCAGCTCCCGAGACGAGGCTCATTGCACCATTTAACGGGCGCCGGGAATGTGCTCTGTCATCCCAAGGTAAGATCCATGCCTCATCCTTGGAGAACTGTCCGCCCTTGGTCAGAGCACTGCCAAGCTCGTCGATGGCTGCCTGTTCCTCTCGCAGGACCCGGCCTCGGGTGCTGCCCGAGATGTCAACGGCAAAGCACATGGAGAGCGGGCCATTGGGATTTGTCTGGGTTGGAGGAGGTAGTTGCTGCTGGTAACCTTCGAAGCGGTCGATCTCGGCTTGCCTCAGACTTGGAGGGCCGGGGGGAACAGGCGAGTATGGATATGTGTATTGGAACTGGTGAGGGCTGATTGGAGGTGTCGCTTGTACCGGCGATGGAAGGAATTGCGAAGTAATGTTGCTGCCAGACGCAGTTGGGGTTTGATCACCAGATGATGAAAACGACGATTGGCTTTTAGAGTTGCGATGGAGGACCTCTACACCATAAGTTAGTCGACAGCTACCTCTGAAGTCGGAGTCCATCTGTTAACTTACTCTTCCTGAGGCCGTGGAGCAGGCCATTGCTCCAAGACTCCTTGGGAGGAATCGGCTGATTCGGTGTCGTGGGCTCTGATTTGGTCATTGCGATGTGATGCACCAGGTCAATAAACACGGATTTGGAGACGCGGAGAAGAAAACAGCAATCTTGGGCACCGAAAAGAATTTTATTAGAATTTATTACAGCTGTTCCAGTGTCGTCATAGTTACCAACGTTGGCTACAGCTGAATGCCGTCAGGCCGCTCAAATGCGACCCAGACTGCATCTCACATCTGTGCAGACACGGGGGGCATCTCGCCACTATGCACATTGGTGAATATGGAGGCGAGGCGTCCTGCACTAAACCCGAGGGATCAATGGCTAGTGACAGATCATCCGCATCAGCCCCTCCGCAGGAGCCTAGACCATCCCTTTTTCTTTGCCTGAGCTGGTAGAACCTGCGGATGTGGTTGTGGTGGCGGCGGCGGTTCTGGAGGGCCAGTCTGCTGCTGCTGCTCCTCGACAATGACACCAAGATGGTTGTCCGGCGCCTGCTGAGCCTGATGAGCACTTGGCTGTCCCACGCCCGCGAACGGCGACGCTGGCGATGACGCAGACGGCGCGCCAGGCTGGATCGCAGGCGCATCCTGTCCCGGGCTGTTGGTCTGGTGGCCGCCGCCGCGGAAGATGGAGAGGGCAGGGGACGTCGTGGCCATGGAGGATGGCGTCGTTAGATCTGGGGGCTGTGCAACTATTGACGATGATGGTTGCATCTGCTGCGGCTGATGCGGCATCGCGGCCAGGGTCTGCTGTGGGTAGGGCCCCAGGCTGGGACCGGCTGGATAGACAAGGTCCTCTTCTACCCAGTCAGCTGAGTGCTCTGTCACATATCGCTTCTTCTTGCCCTTGGCCGAGCGTGATGGCGCTGAGGAGCTGACGGTCGAGGCCGATTCTTCGCCATCGCGCGAATGTCTGGACGGCGTGCTTCCCCGTGTTACTGGGAGCTCGAGGACTTCCAGGTGAGAGGGTGATTGCGACTGGGATTGTGATTGTCGAGTGGTCGGTTGCTGGTCTTGGGCTGGTGTAGCGCGAGGCGGCGAGAAGGCATCCGAGTGCGGAGTGACCTGGCGAGAGACAGTGGGGGATTGAGCATCGATTGCTTGGTCAGGCCTTTCTGTTGAGGCTTCTGCTTGGATAAAGAACTGGCTTCCTTCTCCTGGCACTTCGTCCTGGACATTCCAAGACGGATCCAGGTTGGATGCGGCGTACCGCTGTTTTCGCCTACCACCCGCCATTTGGAGAGCATAAGAAACTTCCAACGTATCGAGGCAAGAGACCGTGTTTGGAGGTTTGGTCGAGAGATAATGAGTAATTCGCTCGTGCAGCAAGCTCACATTAGTGATATTACAGCGACAGTTGCCACTGAAGTAGGTCGAGATCCGACACCCATGTCAGACCCCTGCAGAGGCTGTACAAGCAGTAACTGGCGAATGTTACTTTGCTCAGTAGAATGACGGCTGGACCCTGGACGCGGGCTTTCCAACAGCGCTAGAGCTGTTCAGCTGAACTGGCTGGTCTTGACGCATCAATATGACGAGGGCCCAGCCCATTGCTTCAACCTCTGCTTATCTTTCACAGAGTCGTTCAAGTGTGCCGTGAATATGGCATCTAGGCAGAGCAAGACCAAGGCATACAAGGCCGCTCAAGCACCGGAGCTGTAAGTAGGAAATTATTGTCATGTTGCCGATATCTGTGCCGCAGAATAGGTAGCACCCGATACTAACTGGACGTCACAATGGTCACAATCTAGCGAGCACGCCAAGTCAATTTCACAGTCGTTTGAGAGTTTCCAGCAGTCACAATTATCGGCTACTACAAACATCAATTATGTTTACTATCAATCTGAGGGAGAACCCCAGGAACTGATACTGAGATCTCGCGCGGACATCACCAGATTGGTAACCCTTTCTTCCCAGAGGGCCTGTATTGATTCCATCTCAGGGCTGTTTATTTGACTTGTCTTCTCGCTGACCGCATTTGCAGCCGGATGTATCAGCCAACAACAGCATTGAATTCTTGTAGGATGAAACATAGTCCCTATCCTTTACATTTCAAAGCACTTACCAATTTTCCATAGCTTCGTATACAAAGACCTAGTTGCGAACCCTCTTATGCCAGCGGAGCAAGAAAAGCTGCAAATTTCTGCCCCAAGCTTCGAAGCGCTGGCCACACGACTGACCCTTCCCTCGGCCTTTATCTTTGCGCTTTCTCGCCATTACCTCCCCAACGGCAGAGGATTCCGACAACTCAAAATCGACAATGATGCCTCCAAGGTGTACGACTGCTGGTATTTCATCCCCGTCCGCGTGCAGATGGAACCCCAGGCCGGAGTTGCAGAAGACGAGAGAGGCGCAGGGCAGATGAACCCCTTCCACAAGCTTCACCTCCCCAACGCTCGACGGAACATATTCCGCTCCTGCATAGGCGTCTTCACCAGGGTAGACCCGACCTCCAAGAAGGCGACGGTCGCGACGTTTGACTTCATGCATGGGCGATGGTGCAAGGTCGCCCAGGAGCCTCAAGCCCGCATCGCCGAGGTCATGAAGCACCAGAAGAGCACGGACGAGACCAGCACGAGGCATTCCAACGGCGCGTTCGTCCACCTCGTCTACATCAGCAGCGCCGTGCGGTGGTGGACCAACTCGCTCAACAGTGTGAATGAGCAGCTCATCGCTTATGAGATGAAGCTTCAGTCGGAGCTTGACGCGGCTGGTGTGACGCCGGAAGCTACGCTTACGAAGTTGAGTCGGGCGCTTCATTCGATTTCTGCACACCTGCATCGTTACTTGTCGGAGCTCAAGTCTCTCCAGGGGATTGTGATGGATTTGATTGACTTTTATGATTCTATGTATTCCGACAGGGAGGGACAAGATGAGGACGAAGGACTGGAGAAGGCGAACCGGGGCTTCAACCAGGTTCTTTCACAGATCGAAGCATCGCTTGACTTTGCGACAGAGCTGGAGAAGAAGACTCAGAATATTCTGGATCTTGTAAGTGCCTCATCCAAAATCTTCCGGGTCGTATTTGATAGTCCCCAGACTGACAGTTGGCTGTCTGTAGCTGTTTAACCGCATCCAGATCAACAGCGACAGACTTCTTGTTGCTAACGGCAGGGCCATGGAAGAGATATTGAGAGCGATGCGGGCCGATACAGATGTTGGTCGCAAAATGGCTGATGCATCACACCAACTTGCCGTGGAGATGAAGAGAGATAGCATTGCAATGAGAACGGTATGCGCGACCAAGTGGCTAAGGTTTGGAAGATGGCTAAATATTTATCCAGATCGCTATTATCACAATGGCATTCCTGCCTGCAGCTACCTTTGCGGTACGTTGATTTCGTTCATCGATTGATTTGACTCACTGGAGATTCCATCACTGCAAATCGCATTTTCCCGAGTAAACTAGCTGACGCATCTATCATTAGACCGTATTATCAATGCCGTTTTTCAGTGATAACCCCTGGCTCAAGGAGACCGATCGCCTCTGGGTCTGGATTCTCCTAACAGTCCCAGCCACAGGAGGATGTTTTCTGTTTTACAGGCTATGGAGAAAGAAGTCACAACACAAAGTGGCTGACGAGGAAGAGGCAACGAGCGGCGGTTCTTAGAATCTTTTCCCTTCCTTCATCTGGCTAGAAGTTTGTAGATTAATCAATTAAGTCTCATTGTGCCTATCTCTCATTGTGCCCTTGCCTGAGCTCTTCAATCCTGGGACAAGTTCTGCCCGCATGAAGCGCGGCGACTCGACGCGAACCCAGGCTGTTCATTGGTGACTTAAATAAATATCCCCGCAACATGTCCAGCATGGATCCTTGAAGCTCGAAAACTGTGTCATATGCTGTTTAGATGTTTGCCCAGCATCATGGGTTCTGGGTGGACGTACCATCTGGTCGGGGCATTTGGGCTCTTCAAAGCTACACAGGTCCCAGCAAAAGATGTTACCCTCCTTCATGAATATTTCAGACGGCGCTGCCAGGGCTGCACCTATGGCGATGAGAAACAGAGTACACTTCATGGCGGCCTGCCGTTGTTTGATGTCTGATGCGGGGATAGGAAGTCGCGTTGCAAGAATGATAAGCTGATTGAAAAATCATATTCTGTTGGAGGAATTGGGGGCCTATAAGTATCAGTACCGTATCTTACCTTCCTATCTCGATTGAAACACTATGACAAAACGTATGGTTGGTTGTCTTGGCTATTCGAAGCAATGGAATGCTACCCCACATCGCGGTCATCAGTGTCACATCGTCTCTCGCCTCAAGTGACAATTGATCATGCTAAAACTTGTCAGATTTATACGATGAACAAGAGCCAAGAGCTAGCTCAGACGCACTTGCTTCATGCTCAATCATTTGAAGGATGATCCATAGTTTTCTCCCAGCTTATCTACGATCCCCACGAGACAGAATAAGCACAATGATCATATATCAGACATAGCAAGCGATGAGACGTCGAAGAAGTCGTAAAATTATTCTGCCTAATCAAATCAAAATAGAAAATAGTTCATAATAAGAAGGTGCCAGCCGAAGCTAAATGATCTCAACTCTGAAACCAAGATCGAGCCCTTCAATCTGCCCTCCTATCGCACGTCGAATATTACCACCATGATCATCGATAATTTCAACACGCTGCAACCCCCTTGGACGATAAGGATTAGCTAAATCCTTGATCAATGGAACTAGGTCCTTGAATTCAGCCCGCTCTACCCACCCATCCCACCCATGCGGACATTCATCATCAACCAAAGCACTTCCAGAAAGAGTAAGAACCTCGATGTTAGCGGGAGCATAGTCCGCCAGCGGTAGAGGGTCGGAGTTGGCCGCTGAGCGCGATGTCAATGGGACGTCTAGGTGTGTGATCCGGGGGAAGTAGCGTAGATGGCGCAGATTTCCCTCGACGGTCATCCTGAGATTATCGGCCAACTCGTCATCGAGTCCGAGGTACAGCTCCAATGTAAGCTTCTCTAGTGAGGCTTTGAGAGACTCCAAGACGCCCATGATCTTTTGAAAGTCAAGGACAGTCGTTTCCCAAGGACCAAACCTATCACCGTGGTGTTCCCAAGTCCAGTGAAGTGATCTCAAATTTCGGGTACGTGCAAAGATCTTGGCTAAGAAGTCTTCAGTAAGCCATCCGATCTTGAGTGAGGTGAGATGGTCTAGGTTCGGCTCGCCTGCTGGCCATTGGAAAACTTGGGGATTTGTCATTGAGACCTCGATATGTGTGACTGTTGGCAGGTAGAAGAGATTTATGGTATCCGAGAAGATATGGTTGTTGTCGAAAGATGAGATATCGCATCGCTTCAGATACCGGAGTTCTTCCAGTCGTTCAAACGCAGGTAGTTGGCCGAATATCTTGGCCCCGAGAACTTTAGGCACGAGCGATTGGCCGTTTATATAAGGGTGGCCGACCGTGAGATGAGTAGTGTTGGGAAGCTTTGCGATCAAGAGGGCAACCATTGCGTACATGCATGTGTTGGGCGACCTCAACCTGTCCACCCACATGCTGGCGAATGCCACGCCGGTTTTTTCAATAGCAGCAATAAATTCATCGACAAAATTGTTCGATATATTTATTGGGGGCGGAGGGTTTCTCTGAGTGAACAGATGGCCTTGCAACGTCACGGTATCCAGATAGTCGAGTAGCTCAGGTCTCCGCAAGAGGGTGCGGAGAAGAGGAGCAACGCGGGGTACTGAGTGATGATCCCACTGGAAGGAGACGGCCGAGTAAAGAAATGGCTCAGCAGAGCGCTTCAGTGCTTTGTTCACAAGGCAGACGTTGTAGAGGTCCGACGCTGGGACATAGCTCAGGATCTGGTCAGTGACCTCGGTGGGCGCGTCCGAAAATGAAGCCATGGCGAAGCGAGCAGATGCGCTGCGTCGACCAGCTGGAGGCGAGGATGATGGAAGGTGAAAAAGTCAGACCAGCGTGTTTGTTCAGTGCTGCGGCAGATATCTATCAACTGATGATAGGAGGAGGGATAAATCTCGGAAGTGTGTTATGATATGATATATGATATACTTGGTGTAATCCGCTCAAGCAGTGCCGTAGCGCTTACGTGGGCGGCAGATGTGCCTAACGCCCACCCTAAAAATAGAGCTTGGGCGTTGCAGCTGAAAATCCTCCTCGCCTTACAGATGGCTTACACAGCGCTCCCACAGTCTTCACAACACGACCACCTGGGACTCTAAGAGGCAAATGCATGCCTCCCTCGGGCAAAACATCTACTACGGTACGAATCGGGGCGATCCCAATGCCACAAATCTAGCATTGTAGCCCGTCCTTCCATTCTACGCATGACGCAGAAGTGATATGTTGTAGAGCCTCGAGAAAGTACTTAGCGAACGGGTTAGAGGAAATATCATGGTGAGAATCATACGCTGTAGCTATAGCGACTCGCCCTAATCGCCAATTTCAAGAGCAGCCAGAATGAACGCTTGAATAAATTGGCCTTGGAAAGTTCTAAAGAAAAACAGATACACCACATCCATCGCAAAATAATAAATCTAGTTGAATAAATACAGGAATGCCTACTAAGAACACTTGCATATTCTCAGAGGGCAGTAGAAGTAGAAGAAAATCATAAGCCCAAATTCCAGTCCCCTTCGGCGCCAGCGCTTGCTATTCTTAAATACAATTAGATACTCTAGTTCCTCCAGACTCGGGATGTTATTCCGCAACTGTGTAATCATCGTGATTATATGGAGCAGCTGGGGTGTGGTCTGGAATGACATTGATGTTGGCTTTCTGGGTTACGGTGTTGCAACCGCCCTGATCTTTGGGATCTCCCTCCTGTATATTGGCATTAGCTTCGTCAGTGTCTTAGTAGTAAAGATGAGGGGTCCAACTTACACCATCGCAAGGCGCCCAAACCCCGACATGCTCTTCCTTGAGGGTTTCGCCCTTTTCAGGCTTCTTTTCGGTATGGACAGAGACCATTCTGTAATTTGCATCTTTAATGTTCTTACCCGGGTTTCGTTGTTCGTATGTGCACATGGTATTGATTTCACCACATTTTCCTCCGTTTCCATGGACAGGCCTTTCGCGACCTTCCGCCTTCCATTGCTCCTCAGATTTACTCATATGCTCTTGGGTGTCAGGATGCTTTGGCTGTTTCGAGCCCTCCTCGCCAGTCTCTTCTTGGTATTGGGCCTTCTTGCCACCCTTCTGAGAGGTCTCAATGATGATCTCCTTGCCATCAGTACCGGCAGTCGTCACTGTGGGCTTCTGTCCAGGCTGCTTGTTAGCCCAAACATGGGCGTTCTTGGCCATGCTGACAAGCTGCTCGTCTGTGACTTCTTTCCCCTCATTCACTTTGAGAACTGTTCCGTAGGCTTTTGGTTTCTTGTCATTGGGGCCAATATTCTCGAATTCATGAGGCTTCATTCCCAGCTTATTCTCCGGATCTCTGTGGGGCTCAGCTGATGCTGCTGCTGGTTCCGAGCCGCCGCCGCCGCCGCATTCGGTGTCTGATCCATCTCGCTTTCCCTTTCGCCTCAAGGGGCAGCTCACTGGAGCGGACTTCGCAGCAGCCTTTGGAGTGGCGGACTTATCCTTGCCATCGGTCTTCTCTTTGGAAGCAGTCTTGTCCTTGGCGGGAGTCTTGCTGTCAACAGGCTTCTTGGTACCGGACTTCGGGGTCGCTGTGTTACCAGGGAGCTTCTTAGCACCAGCCTTGGTGGCGGGAGTCTTCTTGCCAGGGGTATTCTTGGCTCCGGACTTGCCCTTCGCACCGGCCTTTGTAGCAGTCTTTTTACCGGCAGTTGTCTTTCCAGCCTTTCCGGCAGCCTTGGGAGCAGTCTTCTTGCCGGCAGTCTTCTTTCCAGCCTTAGCAAGAGTCTTTTTAGCACCGGCCTTCTTAGCACCGGCCTTCTTAGAACCGGCCTTAGACGGGGTCTTTCCCTTAGCAACAGTCTTACCCTTGGCAGCCTTCTTGCTAGCAGGCTTCTTTCCAGCAGCCTTAGAAGCAGTCTTCTTGCCGACAGATTTTTTGGCGGACTTAGCACCAGCCTTCTTGCCAGTAGCCTTCTTGCCAGTAGCCTTCTTGTTGGCAGCCTTCTTTCCAGCCTTTGCAGGAGTCTTCTTTCCAGCGGCCTTCTTGCCGGCAGACTTAGGGGCGACCTTCTTGCCGGTCTTAGCTGGGGTCTTCTTGCCAGCAGCTTTCTTTCCGACAGCTTTCTTTCCAGCAGCCTTAGAAGCAGTCTTCTTGCCAGTGGCCTTCTTGCCAGCCTTTGAAGGAGTTTTTCCTTTGGTGGCAGTCTTCTTAGCACCAGCCTTCTTCGTACCGACCTTAGAAGGAGTTTTCTTGCCAGCAGTCTTCTTTCCAGCCTTGGCTAGGGACTTCTTGCCAGTAGCCTTGGAAGGATTCTTCTTGCCTGCAGCTTTCTTACCGGCAGCCTTGGAAGGAGTCTTCTTACTCGTAGCCTTCTTGCCGGTAGACTTCTTTCCAGCCTTAGCTAGGGTTTTTTTAGCACCAGCCTTCTTAGCACCAGCCTTGGAAGGGGTCTTTGCTTTGGTAGAAGTCTTGCCCTTAGCAGCAGCTTTCTTACCAGCCTTGGCTGGAGTCTTCTTAGCACCGGCCTTGGCAGCAGGCTTCTTGCCAGCAGCTTTCTTCCCGGCCTTGGCTGGGGTCTTTTTGGCACCAGCTTTCTTAGCGCCAGCCTTCTTGCCAGCAGTCTTGGAAGGAGCCTTTCCTTTGGCAGCAGTCTTGCCCTTTGCAGCAGGTTTCTTTCCAGCCTTAGCTGGGGATTTCTTAGCACCGGCCTTAGAAGAGGCCTTTCCCTTGGCGGCAGCTTTCTTGCCAGCAGCTTTCTTTGGTGCAGCGGCCTTCTTGCCAGCCTTAGCGGGAGTCTTGCCCTTGGTAGCAGTCTTGCCCTTGGCAGCCTTAGAAGGGGTCTTGCCCTTAGCAGCAGCCTTCTTACCGGCAGCTTTCTTTGGTGCAGCGGCCTTCTTCCCGGCCTTTGAAGGGGTCTTGCCTTTGGCAGCGGTCTTGCCAGCCTTAGCTGGAGTCTTCTTGGCACCAGCCTTAGCAGTAGTCTTCTTTGGTGCGGCAGCCTTCTTGGAGCCAGCAGCCTTCTTTGGTGCAGCAGCCTTCTTGGAGCCGGCAGCTTTCTTTGGTGCAGCAGCTTTCTTGGAGCCGGCAGCTTTCTTGGAGCCGGCAGCTTTCTTTGGTGCAGCAGCTTTCTTGGAGGTCGCAGCCTTCTTCGGTGTGGCAGCCTTCTTGGAGCCAGCAGCTTTCTTGGAGGTAGCAGCCTTCTTTGGTGCGGCAGCCTTCTTTGGTGCGGCAGCCTTCTTTGTTGCGGCAGCCTTCTTTGGTGCGGCAGCCTTCTTTGTTGCGGCAGCCTTCTTTGGTGTGGTAGCTTTCTTAGAAGTCGCGACTTTCTTAACAGCTGTGGCGGCCTTCTTTGGTGAAGCAACCTTCTTAGAGGACGTAGCCTTTTTCACAGCTGCGGCAGCCTTCTTTGCCGGAGCAGCGGCTTTCTTCGCAGCAGTGGTAACCTTCTTTGCTGGAGCAACGGCCTTCGCGGCGGTAGCAACCTTCTTCGCAGGGGCGGCGACCTTCTTCGCCGCAGCAGCAACCTTCTTTGCTGGGGCAACGGCGTTCTTCGCGGCAGTGGCAACCTTTTTGGCTGGGGCGGTGACCTTCTTCACGGTAGAAGCCACCTTGCCAAGCTTGCCAAGCAGACCGGGCTGTCGAACATCCAGCAGTGCAATATTTGTATCGTCGATGCTTCGGTGATGGAGGTTGTCGGCGGATAGCAGGGCTGACTTGTCCTTGCCATGATCGGAGATTGCTGCGTCATGTTGTACTGTTGTTGCAACGGAGCTCCCCAAAAAGAAAAAGAGAATGAATGATAGAGAGAGCAAAAGAGCTCTCGGAAGATGTACCGTCATAATGGCAGGATAAGAGGATGAAATAAAATCGAAGGAGTATCAACACCGGATCCTGACCGGCAGTAAATGTTTCAAGGACAATGGAAGAGAAGAAAACTCGACAAAAGCTCGATAAGTGGGAGGAAGAAAACGGAAAGGAAATACAAAAGGAAAAGTTGCTAAATTCCAAAGCATAAGATGCAGAGTGAATCAACCAAACACTGACGATCTAGGAGAGCCATTGATATATTTCTGCGGCATCATGCAGGTACTTTTTCAGCCCTCCATTTTTAGACAGTTCCTGCAGGGTTTCTCAGCATCTTCGGCAACGAGAGGCCGTACGGCTTGTGGTACGTCTTGTGGTACGGCTTGTGGGTGGTCAAGCTTTGCCCGGCGGGTCAGCCTTATCCATACAACGGTCTACCATGTAATATCTTACAAGGCAAGACTAACCCAATCAAAGACTGGTCTCCCGTCACTCGCTAAACTCCCTGTGGTATGAAGCTGTGGCCCACTCGCGTTGATTGGTAGCTAGGGCTTTCACAGGATCATGACAGTGCGCTTACTCATTGTTACAATCTCCTTGGACTACCGGGGGCTACAGTGAGGTCTGTCCCCACTTGCTTTGCTGTGAAGACACCAAAAGAGGCCCTAGAATATCGAATTCTACCTATGTAGGTGCAATTCTAGCCAGTAGCGAAGTCCACCTCAGTAGAGTACTGATCAACAATACTTCAGCATCAACATTATGCACAGAAGTACCTCTTGGCCAGACTCTATCAGGCGGATCAATACCCTGTCGGTTACTCACTGGAGCTGCCGATGCTTCAGATATCAGATGCCCTAGTCTCCATTGGGCGCATGTGCCGACATCTCTAATGTTTACCGAGATCCCCTGTAAGCGTCGCGTGCTCATCTCTGTGCAGCAGATTACGAGAGTAATCTAACCGTATTCTACGGCTCGTGTTGATATGCGAGACTAACTCTCAGCCGCTCCCTATTCTTAGACTTCACCACATACCGCATCTATTCGCTCATCCCGAGAACTTCTAGATCGTCCTGACTACTGCACCTTCTCGGGTCCTTGTCTGATAAGCCTCCTCGTTTCTTCCAGCAGGATTGGCCAAAGTCAATTTTTAGAACGATGCCATTTTGACAAAAACATGATAAATCTAGGTAGGATGAATGCATCTCTGTGTCATTTGTGACAGTATCCGCGCCGCCGGTGACTCGGCCAAAGAAGGTCAATCAGAGCAGGCTATTGCATCTCTTATCTTTCCAGCCCTTAGGGAGGGGTAGCAAGGAGATGAAAATGAGTGTCTAGCGACGCAGTCTATCGAATCCATCCAACATGGGAGAAGCGCGGAGAGTTCAGTATGTTCACGCCTTGCGGAAGGGACTTCGTATTTTTCCCCCAGTAAATCGCCGCTCATCAAAATGAGTTGTATCAGAGCCACAAGATAGCGGTGTGGCCAGTCAAGCGTCTTTGTTGGCCGCGATTCGTGAATGCTACCATAACAATTACAAACCCCACTCCAAACGGCCATCATCTCCAGCTTCCATGGTTCTGGCACCTACCCTACAGATAGACACTTTCGCAATTGCGACAAAGCAAATAAACACGCCACACATTATGAGTTTATTAATTATCATGTTGTAAATACTAGTAATTGATTCCTCTTTGGTAGATATCAATATGTGTCGCAGGGGGAAAGCGGCAAGCGCTCTCTGGAAAGAATCTACTACCCCCTCAGATTATATCCCCCTCAAGCTAGCTTCCAAAAAACAACGGTAAGGAAGATCATGGAGATCACGAAATATGAAAAGAACAAAAATCAAATGATAATGTCGCACCCCGGAGTAAGTTTGACTCAATTCCCCTTCGCCCAGCTTGGAAGAGTTGTCAGGGGTCCTATCTCAGCAAGAGCTTCGTCCCAGACACCCTTCTGTATCCGCAGCCCCTCTTGAGACTTGAGGAATGCAACAGGCCTATATCCTATTATTAGAAAATGCAAAATCTCATGTGCACGGTATAGAAACCACTTACTCAACTATCTCTTTGTCACCGAGAAGCTTCCCGTGTGTCTCCTTGCCCGTAACGACGGCGGCATGAAGGGCAACCCAGCCTGATACCTCCACCGGGCGGCCCCGAATGGCGAGCTGGGCCTTCATGAGGACGCGTAGGGGGAATGGAAGAACATCGCTCATGTTGGTACGTATCGATCCGGGGCAGAAGTTGTTGACAATCACCTTGTTGGGCGGTGAACGCTTCGCAAGCTCATCCAGAAACATGACGACTGCGAGCTTGCTATACGCATACCGATCGTACGGCCCCAGGCTGTTCTTGTCGACGTACTTGGATAATGACTCTGTCGGCTTCAGCTGCGCTTTTCCGGTCACAAGGGACGAATTTAGGAAGGTTCGGCTCCCCGTCCATGTGATCCGGGATGGTTTCCCTGATTTATCGGCGGAAGACTCTAGCAAAGGGAAGAGACCGAAAGTGAGCAGCACGTTGGAGAAGAAGTTGACTTGAAAGTTGCTCTCGTGGCCCGTACTCGCCACCTCTTTGTGAAGGGTGCCGATGCCCGCGTTGAGCATGAGTATGTTTACCTCGGTGTAGTCGGCACGGATCTGGTCGATGAACTTCTGTACTTCCGGGTATTCACCCGTATCCAACCGGACGACATCAATCTTTGCTTTGGGGTGGGCCGCAAGGAGCTGGTTCTTGACTGTCTCGCCCCCAGCGGTGTTTCGTACAGCAAGAATCAGCGTAGATAAACCAGCATCTAACAACTGTTTGGATATCTCAAGGCCGATTCCCCGACTAGCACCGGTAACAATTGCAGTTTGACCGGAGAGATCAATCCCGGAAGGGAGGGGCTCGACCGGTGGTTGGAAGATTGGCATCGTGAGACAATATTGGAGGGTGTGGGTAGTTGAGGGTCTAGAGATTTGAATGATTTATCGTTTGGTCGTGAAATTAATGAAGTGAATTATGGCAAAGCGAACAGTTCATATCATAAATACAATCCAAGCTGAATATATACCAGCGACTCGTCATCCGTCTGGTCCCACTCACTCTGTATTATCTCCGCCGCGACACCCTTCGGCACCAAAACCGACCATTCAGAGATAAACATTCCGCCCCGAAATGTCCCATCAATTCGCAATTATCTTCTGCCAAAGTCGAAACGTGAGAGTGGAAGTCCGCAATCCTGGCGGAGGTTCGGATTAATAATACACACTGCCTACGTTCTTAGGCCAGTTCCTGAGGTCGGAGACTTGAAAAGTGGCCGAGTTGCACCGAATGCCGACTTTGAGTGTATGTTGTGGGGAGACGCGCCGCGAATAAAGAGCACCAACGCCAGGCGCAAGTAGGAAAGTCTAATGGGCCAAATCTCTTAATAAAGAGACTAGGCCTACAAAAAGAGTGAGGTAAAAATGGTCTTTGTTACTAATGTCAAGCTAAACGCATCCTCAAGCGAATACGCTGGAAAACTATGAATGACCCCATCCCATGTAGCTTTTTTGGGCGGGTTGGCCGCCATTTCTACTTAGCTTCTTGCATTCTCTCATCAGACGGAAGGTATCACTTTTGTAATAGTGGTAGAAACCATTCGCCATATTCATTCCGCTATCTATTTCCATCCTGCCAGGTCAAGAGTACACCAAGATTTCTTGAGATCCTCGGCTGAGCACAAATATGTGCCTTTGTAGTCCACACCTGCAACCGTCCTCCTTCTGCCCATTCGTACATTTCGTATAGGGAATCAGACCACCCTCACAGCCACAAGTGCAAGTGGCTCTTTTTCGGTGAGGCTTCTTCGGGGACCGTGTCAGGAATGGCTTGGCTCAAACGACATACTCGGTTGGAGCTTTAGCACGGGAATTCGTTGCAGGCTTCCTGCCCTTGGCAACGGCTCGCACAGGAAGCTTCTGGGACCTAGCATCGAGGTGGACTGTGCCAGAGTAACCTGTATCTTCTCTCGGGACGAGCTTGTCTCCCAAATCCAGGTGACTCTGCCTCCTGTACTGGTGGGCAGCGACGCCTCCAGAAAGGAAGAGGAAAAAGGCGAGAGGGGAGGAAAGCTTCATGGTGGGGACAAAGATACTTTGTTGGTGAATACAAAGAAGTACTGGTATACGATATTGGTTGAGGAAAGTTTGAGTTGAATTGTGGTGAGTTTAAATGTGGTGAGAGGCACTTGATTTATGTAGTTTTGGATTGTACAATGGATCGGAGCGTTCCTGAGAAAGTTAGTTAGAATCAGGAGGCAAGTCTGCAGTCTCGCACGGAATTACTCCCTTGTTGGCTGGTGTAACGGTTTCTAGCTCCTACTTCTTCATTTCGCAGCATCTTACTAAGGATAGAGGCAACAGGTATGAATATAATTAGGTTCCGTCACCTATTAGCAAGGGCATGCTGTATATGAGGCGCTGATTGGGGCAAGATGGGTCGTTACTGTTAATCCTCTTCACAAAATTTTGATCATTTTCGTCATAATTTATGGTCTAGTCCTATGTTGTTGATCAGTTGGAGGAGACAGAACAGCAAACAGAACTATGACTGTATTCTCAAGATGAATAGTTTACCGATCGATTCACATGGATAATCATCCAAGTGGTCAAGATTTGGCCATATTCCTCTTTCAAATGATGACACAGCACCTCCGGAGCATACCAATACCCTCCGTTTTATCGGTTTGTGCGGCCCAACTCGGTGACAGACGAGCGACTAACATACAATATTACACACCCAGGACCTCAAGCGTTGGATTTTAACACAATATTAAAATAATTAATCAACAATAATCTATAATAATAAGCTAAATACTAAATAATAATAATAAATAATTTCCCTACTATTATAGTTAATATCTTTACTATATAGAATAATATTATATTATTTAATTAGTATATAGTAACTTATAATTAGCTATTATATTTTTATTTATAAACTCTAGTAACTAATATATTATAAAACTAATACTAATAGATTAACTTTTCTTAATTTAACTTCTCCCTCTAATAAACTTCTACTATCTAATATTTAACTTAATTTAATTCTATTCTATCTAAATATAATTATAATTAATCTTTAACTAATACCTTAAATTATAATAATCTCTACTTAGATAAGTTCTATATAATATATAATATACTAAAACTAGAAATTATATTACTAATTATTATAATTATTAAGTATTTTATTATTAAGATATAGTTTATTAAGCTCTTCTTTATTATCTACTAGTATTTAGTACTAGTTATAAGGTATTAATAACTCTCTATAGGCTTTATAATAAAGTATTAAGCCTAGTAGCTATAAATACTAAGCTTATAAACCTATAAGTAGTTTTAATATTATAAGAAGTTCTATTATTAAGTATAGACTCTAATATTAGATATATTTATTATATATAACCTATAGATTATTATTAATTATCTCTATTATATATATAAGGATCTAATTTATTATTATAATTAGATCTTAGCTATTTAAAATAATTATATTAAAAGCTATTATTATTATTATAAGGAGAGGTTATATAATTATTTATTTAGTTAGTTAGCTATAGTTAGTTAGTAATTAGTAATAATAAGCTTATTTACTTACTTATATACTTACTTACTTAGAGTCTTATAATTAATTATAATTAATAAGTATCTTCCCTTAAAGCTTATAGCTAAGTTATATACTTAGTAAGACCTTATTAGAGTTTTTTAATAAAGTTATTATCTTACTATAGCTTATATAAGAAGTAAAGTATAAGGAATAGAGTTAAAGGTTAGGTATAGACTATAAATAAGTAAAAAATAAGTTATATAGATCTTATTATATATAGCCTGATCTCGGGATATCTCCCTTATATACAGTAATAACTATAAAAAAAAAATAGTTAATATCTTTAATAAGGAAATAAGGTCCCTGACTTGCGTGAACAGAGCTTTGGTGTGCAATGTTTTATGTCAGTCGCGGCTGGGATCCTTGATTTTTAGGAACGCCAGCAATGCATTCCGTACTTAGTTTCGTGTGGATTCGAGGGTAAGCGGCTGAATTGTTGCGGGTCCAGGCCTCTAAATATTGGATGCTATATTACCGTTGTAAGTGGTAAGATGTTGAGATGATGTGGAATGGTTACTCCTTGTATCGCCTCACAAGACCCGCCGATGGCTGCCTACAGGTAAGTTCTGACTGCCCCTAGGGTTTCGTTTTCCTTTTGCCTCTAAATGGGGCTCCTCAAGAGGATCTAACTGCATAAGCTGCACAACCAACAATGATAGGCTGCAACTGGCTTCACGAGTCAGCCCATCAATGCGGGAAGATAAGCCGAGAGGAGACATGGCTTTCCTCCATGGGGTAGGAAGTAGCGAGCCAATACGTGTCATTGCGTTCTACTGAAGGATGGGCCGGATCTTGCAGCCTAGAGTTGCTTGCATTAATTCTCAGCTTGACGTTATTAGGGCTCATTTTTTCTCTTTTCATTGTCTTCTTTCTAGATCAGTTCCATGCCCCGATTTCCCGATCATCAGTTTCTATTATACCCAATCTTTGAATTCTTTTCCTTTCCAGCTGCGGTGGTCACTACCCCAGCTCTACCTGAAATATTGCTCGCACATCCCCTCTAGCTCTCATTGTAAGTCTTTCTCTATCTCCTTCCATATATATCCAGATCCTTACCTATTCCTTCGCATCTTCTGACTTGACTGCAGTTCGCTGTATTCCACTATGGCAACCCTCGGCTTCCATGATCCAGGATGGCACGGCGAGCTTAGAACTCCTGTGGTTGATGGAAAATACATTCACCCAAAGTCGGGCGAGCTCCGGGATATCAAAGATGATGATAGCCCAGGGTATTATTGTGGGCCTCCTGCTGTCGACATTGTGATTCAGAACGTCGCTGCGAAGGGGACTTTTCGTAAGGCACAAGCATTTCCCATGGAGGGTCTTTTATCTGTTATAATGGGTGTCGTTCGGGAGAAGAATTTGAGTCTCGACTCAATTATGGCAACATCGTATACGATCCGGGTGATTCTAAGCCATGAGATGACCGATGAGCAGTATAAAGAGGTTGCAATGAGAATGATATATGGTATTAGCGACGAGAAGGAATGAAGTTGAGAGATGGTGTGTGGATGGTTCGTAATGCTAGTGCTCTGAGAATAGATCAAAGCAACGCATATTACGGCTTGTTTTCAGCAAGCTCAGTAAGCCCCCCAGAGGAGTATAGTTGGTGACTCTGTAATTGTAATCGGCAACGAGCCAGGCCTTTATCGTATATCAATCGGCGGTTGCACTTATTGAAAGAGCAATATCGCGCGTAGACAGCACTTGTATCCCTTGAATTAATGGAATATTGGGGGATATTGCACAGAAATAAAGAAGGCTTATTTTATTCTGCCAATTGATAATTACGCTTTCAGGAATAGATAGATTTTGTCACCCACCAGCAAGGGCAGCTAAGAAAGTATTTAAGACTCGAATGATTTGGGGGGATCGAATGGTTGAGCTCGAGTCACCTGCCTATACTGAAACGTTCCCTTCCCAGACCTGTGTACATATGGTTTATCCCAGCAGCCCCTCCCGGACCCTCAGCAGCCTCGGCATCCAATCTTTCCATTTATATTGAGGTCCGTTCTCAGTACGTCAATATCGCATCCCATTTGATTTGATTGGACGTATCCATCTAACCCCGCACTCTGCTGCATGCAAGTCATCTACTTTTGCACGTCATGCCACATTGGACAGGGTATACAATCCCGAGAGAATCATAAACTCCTCCAAACGCTCATCTCTCGAGATTTCTCCTTTGTTTCTTCTAGTTTTGTGCTAATTTCAAAAGTTAATCTTCCGATTAGATCATCGCTACGATGTCCGAGTTTACTATCAATGACGCTGACTTTGCGACCCTTCGAGGGCAGACAGTGGTAGTGACTGGTATTATTTATACTTCCCCCTTAAAACTTTGAGAAAATGCACCCTCTAAACTAAAAACGTTAGGATCATCATCTGGAATTGGCCTAGAGACGGCTAGGTTGCTCCTGGATGTCGGGGCCTTCGTTGTTGCAGGAGATTTGAACCCCGTTCCCATCGAGCACGAGAATATCGTCTTCCGTCACACCAATATTACAGTATGGGAGGATCTTCTGGGATTATTCGAGCTGGCTGAGCGCAAGTATGGGAAAGTAGACCATGTTTTCGCAAACGCCGGGGTCGCGCCAAGGGCTCTCTTCGTTGAGGATGAAGTCGACGCGAACGGCAAACCAGTCCCACCAAATTTGAGCGTTGTTGATGTGAATCTAAAAGGGACAATCTACACCGCTACGATGGGTTTGCACTTCCTTAAGAAGCAAAAGAGGGGGAGCATCGTTGTTACTGCTTCAGCGTCAAGCTTCCAAAGATTTGGATGTACAGACTATGGTTAGTACCATTGACCTTCCCATTGGATTGACTGAGCCTGACTCGATACGTGAATAAATAGGGGTGGCAAAGCATGGCGTTTTGGGACTCATCCGTGGCCTACATCTGAATCTACAATCTCTGAACCCTGCGATTCGCATTAATGGCATTGCTCCCAATTGGACAGAGACGGGGATTGGCACACAGCGGATCACGGAAGCAATCGGGGCTAAACTACAAGGAACAGATGTCCCTGCTCGATCAACAGCGATATTAATGGCAGATGAGTCTAGGAATGGACAGCTTGTTTTCTCAGTCCACGGGAGACAGATTGAGATTGAAGAATCTCTTCTATTGAAGTCCGTGAATGAGGGTCTTATTCGGGAGTATTTACCGGGAGAAGAGTTTGCGTTTGATAGGTTGGCTGACGTATATCTCTCTCGGCTGCCGAAGAAATGGAATTGAACGAATCTTGCGGGGGCGTGAGCGGGCTCGTCTCTAACTTCAGATGCATGATGATAGCTGGCTCCTTCTCACATAGGTCTTGTATATTATGAATACATTATGAAATCAGGAGCCTAGGGCCCTGGACGCTGAATGGGGATTAACCGTTTGCTATCCACAATGGACGCCTGAACACTCAGCTGGAAGCCTCCTGACTGAAGTGTTAGAATATATCTGACAAATTCGTGCTTTAATCTGCGGTCAACATGCTTTCTATAAGCTGTAGAGCTTAGAAAAGTATCAAGCTTACTCCCCAATTCTCAGGTTGCCCCAATTTAGAGCACAAAAAGATTGGGAATAGTCCCAGAACCACTGGCCTCACAAGCCTGCAGGATTTTCTTATTCTCTCGGCGCAAGAGAAACTTCATCAGAAAGCATAGCGAGACCTCCAAGAGCGCAAAAGCCATCAGGAGGATCATGGCTCTCGTGTAGCGCGGCTGGTCGTTGGGATCAAAGAAGTAGGGGCTCCAGAGACTGCCAAACTGTCCTGTTACATTGATGATAGCCATAGCGCACGCCTTCTTCTCGGGAGTCTGGGCAACTGTCGACGCCGCCCAGCTGTAGAAGGCTGCATTTGCACCAAAACAGCCACAGACGTAGAGGAATGATGCTACATAGCGAGCTGGTATGTTCAGAACTGAAACGCTGATAATGAAGCCGACAACAGCTGTCATCATCGGGATTGCGATATGGAAACCCCGCTCGCTTTTGCGATCACTATGCCAGGCATTGCCTAGGTTGATGAGTGCGGCAAGTAGGTAAGGAGGAGCCGTGCAGACCAAGGTAATAGTCCGGCTTCCTAGATTAAATCCTTGGACGATAGCAGGATAAAAATAGTTGAAGCCGTAGGAGGACTGGTTGGAACACAGCATAAGGGCCTATAAATTCAACCTTGATTGGTATCCCCTGAGTGGCTTTGAGATAGTGATGGTGGGTGTCAAGAATAAGGGATGGGAACTTACAAATATCCAGACTCGCTTATCCTTTACAGCATCTCTCAAGCCTTTCCAGATAGAAGTACCCTCCTCCTGCTGATCATAGATGGCATCTCTTTTCATCCTTATAACAGCAACTTCCTGTTCTTCCTTCGTGAAAAGCCACTTTCGGCCTGTTGAGGAAGGGAAATCAGGCAGCAAAACAAATGCTACTATTCCAAGTAAGAAGGTGATGGCGCCTTCGATGATGAAGAGCCACCGCCAGCCGGGGATGCCAGCAACGCCTCCTAGACCGGCAAAAATGCCAGCAGCCAAAAGTCCAGATACAGCCGTAGCGAGAATCAGACCTGAATACAGACACGCATATCGAAAAGCGAGTTCTTTCTTCGTATACCAGCATGATAGCAGGTAGAAGACGCCGGGAAAGAATGGTGCCTCTGAGAGTCCAAGGAAAATCCGAATTACAACCATGTGGGTTAGGTTATGAGCAGCACCACACGTAGCTGAGATACAGGCCCATATGCATACCCAGCATGGTATGTATATAGAGGGCCGGACTCGAGTCAGGAGCATGTTGCTCGGAATCTGCATCAACATGTAGCTGAAGAGGCCTTTGGTTAGGTCTATGTAGTAACAGGCGGCTGGGTTGCTGGACTTACCCAACGTTTACAATTGAAAGCACAATATTATAGTCATTGCCGCTCATTCCAAGGTCTTTCTCAAGATTATCCAGTTTTGCTTGACTGAATCGAGTTTTGTTAGTAAGTGCCTAAGTAGGCAATAACGACAAAATCAATTCTTAGGACTTTCGGTTTACTTACGCAATGTTATTCCTGTCGAGGTAATTGAACATGTACAAAATGAAAATCATGGGCATCAGGGTCATATCGAGTTTCCGGACAAGACTTTTTGATCGGGCCGCATATGTCTCATCGTCGACTAAAATGCCCCCAATCACGATTGACTGTTCATCGTTGACTGGTTTCACATCGACAGTTTTGCCGTGGCTGTCTTTGGAGTCACGTTTGCCGTCTTGATACATGTTTGATTTTGAAAACAGGTTTGAGAAATAAGATTTTTGGCCCTTCTTTGGTTTAGATTTTGCCTTTGATCGGAAGAAGCTGAAATGCAAAGGGTTGAAGGGAGTAGGATCAGGCTCACAACGCTTCCTTTATCTATTTGAATATTATGTGCAATTGTCCTTATCAAGGCTAACTAACATCATTGAAGTCGATCGGGTGCGATAGTGCGGGGAACAAGGTTCGTCTGACTCGTTTCGTATCGCTTTGTGGTCTAGACGTAGGCTCGGAGGTCGAAGCCCGCCAAGGAGACCGGGATCTCGCTCGACCTTGTTCCGCTCTTGATAAGAGTATGTGGGGAAGCAGCTTATATGACTCTCTGCCAGGGAGTAACACCCCATGGGGAATGAGTGCCGGTAACCGGTATGTGTTTTGACTTGGGGTACCTTCGCCCGAAGTCAGAAGATGGTATAATCAACTCTGAAAACACATCTTCATTTTTTCAGCCTATAGAGTGAAACATTCCAGCAGAACGTATTATAAAAAAGATTGTGATGTCTTCTTTTTAGTTTGTACACGAAGCTCCACGTTGGGATAAGAGAAAGGGGTGATAATGAAACCTCAAGATAACCGTTCTTGAGAAGAAGATAAGGCAGCCTTGCAAACCGACTCATTTGACCTTTAGGATAGCAGTCTTACGTATGTGGAAGAGCCGACTAGTTAGTTTCAGGAAGTCATGTCTGCTACGGTTAAAGTATGCCGGCTTCCTGTGGGGAGGGCAACGGGCTTCAACCTCCGTAAGTGGATCTTGTTCATATCGCCAAGTGACATACGACAGTGGAACTTTCATTTCATCATTCCAAGCATTCTAATTGGGTATATCCGGCAAATAAATCACCATTGAGCAGGTAATTGCTTTCAGGATCACCTCGGTTAGTCACGCCCTTCAATCATGAACAAGATGATCCTTCAAAAATGCCGCAGGTGGCGCTTCGAGCCGTTGATCTTAGTCACATAACCCAATATTCAAGCAGAGAGAACGGAGGTGGAGGGTGATGCCCGTTGCTAAAATGATCGATTGCAGTACTACTCTCATAGATAAATGCGGATTCCGCAGGATAAAAGTGCATTTTCATGAGAAGTATATAAGGAGACTCGTCTGATAAATGTAGAGAGTAAGACAAATCAACTCTTCTCTTATTCTTAAGACACCTAAATTTTTTTCTCCTTTCAATCACCATGGCGCCTAGTCTTGTCGAGTCCAACGGCGACTCAAATCGCACAGATGCAGTAGCTGCCATCTCCAAGTCTGCCTCTACCTCGCTAGACAAGTTCGCCTTGTTCCGGCGGTTGGTGCCTGTCGCTTCCGACGGCAAAGTCACGTTCCTCAACGCCTCATTCTCACCACCGGCCAATCTCATCACTCACGCGGCCATCACACGCTATGCTAACGAGGCACTCCAAGACCGTCACCCGAAACCTGCATGGCAAGCAGCCGGTGCTGAGACTCGTGCCGCTCTGGCTCGCTACATCAACGCTCCTTCACCTGATGATATTGCTTTTATGCGAGATACCACCGAAGGCCTGAACTCATTCATCCACAGTATCAAGTTCCAGCCTGGCGATAATGTGGTTATCCTTGATACTGAGCACCCAAACCACGGCTATGGCTGGATGGCGATGCGATCATTTGGGCTTGAAGTCCGCCAAGTCCCGACAATTGCAGCAGCGGAGAAGTCTGGCGTCACTGCTGCAACTGCCGACACCTTTGCTCCTTATGTTGATGAGCGTACCATCGCCGTTGGACTGAGTTCTATCATGTTCCACAGCGGTCAGTGGAATGATGTCGCTGGCATTTCCGCAGCTTTCCGTCCCAAGGGGATCCACGTCCTTGTGGATATGACCCAACAAGTTGGATTTGCAGATGTCGATGTTCAACAGCTTGGAGTATCTGCCGCCGCCTTTGGTATGCACAAGGGTCTGAACTGTCCCACTGGTTTGGCGGCACTCTATGTTGATCCAAAAGTCATCCCAGAGCTTACAAACCCCCCGCCTGTTGTTGGATACGGAGCGGTTCAAAATGTCCGGGGAGACCTACTGGTGTCTTCTGAGGGGCTCATCTTTCACCCCAGTGCTCGAAGGTTTGAGCATCTGAACATCAGTCTTATTGCAATTGCTGCTGCACGAGCGTGGATAGAGTTCTATGTTGATGTAATGAAGCCTAAGGATGTCGAAGAACACCTGTTCCGCCTTGGCGACGCACTCCGTGTGCAATTAAAGCCCCTTGGTATTGATATTGTCGGCCCAACCTCTCGCCAGGAACATGCCCCTCACTTATATATTCTTGATCTGCATGACCCTCGGTGGGTTCAGCTCCTGAAGGATAATGATATCATTGTTACACCTTACCGTCTAGGTATCCGTGTATCATTTGGTTTCTACAACAATTTGGATGATGTGGAGAGGATATCTCAAGTTTTGGCAAAGGGCGTTGAGGCTGGTCTGCCGTTTGGAAGGCAGTGAGTGATCTTCATAGACAACCTAAAAGAGGCTAAGAAATAAAACCATCGATCTTAGAAGCTCCATGAACGTTTACACGATGATTGGTCCCCAATTTGTCAAGCTTCAGTTGAAGTCATAAGCAGCCAATGCCCAGGTGTGAGAACATTCCTCAAGTGCTTGAATCAAATATACTGCCTCCACTTCATTTTGATGGAACGCTCTAGCCGTTCGGATGGCTTGCACGATTCCATAGACAAATATCATCGATGCATGGCGCAGGCCGTATTGCCCTCTATACCTTCGGGTGAGAAATGTTATATCCTCTACGGCCGCAACGCAAATTTCTCGAGCGTCTTCCCATGAAACGTCGCCGGTCTCTGCATCCCCTTCATTTTTGGCTAGTTCGAAGTGAAGAATTATACGACAACTATGATAGAGCATGCTAAGAAAAGTATTAGAGACTCTGAAAAATCATCACAAGGGTTCCATGAGAGATGCTTACTGCAGGGCAGCCACGCTCATCATCAACGTCGTATTGCTCGGCTCCCATTTGTTACACTTTACACTATTCGGCAACGACTCCTGCCATCGACACAACTCCAAATTTATGGTGTCGATGCAAGTTTTTTTCGAATAACAATCAGAGTTGAATCGAGCTGAAAATACTGATGATAGCATTTTCTCAATGATTTGGCAGAGTCGGCGCTGCTCTTGGAATGAAGTCGAGCACTGGTTGCGTCTATGGTCGTGACTGGCGCTATAGGTCTTCTCAGCATCCATATCGGCTGGCAACCAGGAATCAATGTCAGGTAAGTCTCTTCGGGAAGGGTTAGCGGCAAGTCCAACAGAGCCATCTTCAAGAAGTAGGTAGTAGGTAAGTCCTTACGGTAATCCCACAAGGCGATCGGTGACCTCGCCATCAGCACAGTAGAGCTGTACTGGACGGCCAAGTATAAGACTAATGATCTTGTCTGAACAGTAGCAGCCCCAGTATATCCGGCGACGAATCTCAATGTCTTCCGGTACTGCCTCTCCTCCGTAGTGTGAAACCCACTGGTCAGGGTCCTTTTGAAACCCAAGATCCTGCGCCATCCGGAAAGCAATTCCTGTTCAAGCCATCAGTGGGGTACAGAAAAAGGTGTCAGATCGGGATCTTACCAGAAAACCCCCACGCCTTGGAAGGCTCGCCTCGTCCAATCTCATAGAAAGCCAGGCAGAGGAACGTTTGAACAGTGGTAATTGAAGGGCGAGCCAAACCAGAGACGATCGCGATGGTTTCTGCTGCGGAGAAGAACTGTCCACTCATCAACCGTTCCGACTCTTCATCAGATGTTAGAGCGCCCAGGGCACACATAGAAAGCACCAGCGCTGTTGACCAGTACGGGGAGCCAGCACGATCCCCGGTATGGTCGCGCAAGAAAGATTCCCTATAGATAAACATAAAGTAGGGATACTGCCATTTAAAAAATTGCATCAGCATTTTGGTGATTAGGTCGTCGTTCATGTCGATGCCAAAGTGTTGGGCCACATGGTTGAAGTCGGTTCCAGAGCCCACATATATTGAACTGCCAGGGGAGGAAACGCTTTCATAGCTGGATTGGCGGACACGACGTTTTGAGGCTAATGATTTTGCTTCTTTCAGGGCATAGAATACACTGCTTGCGCCGTGGTATACCAAGTATCCTCCTGGTCGAATCTGAAACGATCCATGAAGATAATGTTGCGGTCCGAGACCTCTAGAAACGGCGCGACGGTTGTCCGACGCTTGAGAAACTTGGTCGTCAACAGTAAGCAGATCATCACTGAGAGAGACCGCCTCAAGCATCGTGTCCCTTTCCTCAGCACTGGCTGCCTTCAATCTCACAATAAGTGACTCAAGCCAGGCGACACGCTTCTCCAAGCCAACTACGTACTCTTTGGCGGCCGGCCTTTTTCGAGATGTGAGATTTCGGTATTCGCACACCTGGCGGCTTCTCTGGCAGTTGCTACAAGGTTCGTTGCGGCTACACCTTAACTTGCGGAGTTGGCACCGTTTGCACGAGAACTTCTGAGGCTGGGGCGGTCCGCCGATGTCGAACTCCATATTTGACTGCCACTCGGGGAGTTTGTCCATGCCTGATTGATTCTGCTTGTTATTATAATGAGAAAATGCCAATCTTCAGAGGTATTCAGCGTTGTCGTCATCTGGAGCCAGCATAAGTTAGCGAACTGTTGTTGTAAATGCCAGGAATGTAGGCAGGAGAAGCTTGTTGTATTACTGATAGTGACATTTATTGACGTTTCTGTCTTCCATCCCCACCAGGCACAATCGTTTAGATAAGTCTTCAAAGCCGTCCCTTGGATCTTCTGGGCAGTTATGTAAGTATAACCGGGCGGTCCCTTGGGGATGACCAGGGATGTGACGGACTTCAACCTCCGCTGTGGGGTTAAGGCGCCACATGACTCGTGATGATACGAACCTTATCTCTGAAGCGGAGAACGCTGATTCCAAGAAAGGAAGAATTGCTCAATTACTTCTCTACTAATGCTATTTGGAAGCAAAGCCGACTCTTTCCTAAGTAAGCGAGGCTACTATAATAGTGACTGCTTTGTCATGTATCACTGAAGAAGGGGAGATCCGAAAGATGTGTCGAATCCATTTTTGAAAGCTACCTGGTAAACCTAAGAACACCTCAGGTAACTATTAATCTACTTTAGCCAGCAAAAAAGGGTCTTTGGCTTTGATACTGAGATGCTTACATAGAGCCCACTACACCTATCGCATGACTACAATTTTGGTTCACATCCTACAATGCAGAGCAAGATGTCTCATATATAAATCGTGAAATCTTGCATGAAATCCTGATTGAATGTTCATATGCCCCGGCTGGTCTTCATGCTTCTCGGAGTTGAATGCTTTATGTTTTATGTTATTTACTAGACTTTACATAGCCCAATACCATTTCCAAGTTTATTTATTCTTATAAGGTAAGATGAGCTCTAATACCAAGTGTCATGCTTAAGATGAATTTCACTATTTCACAAACAGTAGGTCATTTCGATCCTCGATTGCTGTCACGATCATATCTGTAACTAAGAATTTGTCGATCTCATATTTGCTGCCCTCTCTCCCAAATTCACTCTGCTTAACGCCTCTAAACGTCGCGACAGGTTGCTAACATCCTTTGAGAAACGTGTGACTGTCTTGAACGGACGGGATTAGCGATGGATGTGAAACTCACCAACATTAACTCCTACCCTACACCCCTTCAATACTAAGCAACCCTCCAGCACGTACTTACTTCCTTGCTTTAGAACTATGTATATCGGCTAGATTTAACAATAATAGTAAGGCAAAGTCTCCCTCTGTATCAAAGTATTGGACTTGGAAATGCTACCATGCAGAATTCAACTAACGGAATACATTGCTCTAAATTGTTCAGCCACTTCTGAGTGGTGCATCAAAGGTCACATGGGCAAATCAATTGGCAAACGTGAGTCCATGACATCAATTTGCTCCAACTTGCCTTCCACTACGTCATAGCAACGAAACCGCAGAAGCCCGCATATATCCCCGTAATTCTCTTCTTAATGTCGTATTTGCTCACACACTCAACTTTTTAAATCCTATATCTCAGAATCTCTATCAAACCGTAACTATGTCTAACATTATTGATGATGTCAAATCCGGCCTCAAGGGCATCAAAGGAGCCGGCGATACACTCCGCGGATCTCTGATGGAGGCGGCCGACCAAACCTTCGAGCCAAACCAACAACACCCGTCCGTCGTGGCCAGGAATGAAAAGCACAGAGCCACCGCTGAGAAGGGGAAAATGGACGTTGAGGGCGCCGATGCCATGGTCTCGCGCCATGAGTGGAATCGCAAAGACCGCGCGACCCAACGCCAAGCAGCTGCCACGATGCCTGAGGGGAACCAAGCCACAGCCTATGATGACCCCATCCCTCGCGCCGAGGCTCCTGGTACTACAGTTCCAGCGACTGCAGGTCCTGGAATGGCAGCGCACGGTATTGCGGCGCCCGCAGTCCCCCCTTCCCAGGTCGCCGAAGAAACAACTGCGCCCGCAGTGGCTGAAGGCGGCATTGGTCGGACTATCCCCAGCTCTCAAAATACCTATCAGGAGTATCCGCAGGATCGCGTCCCTCGGTGAGACCAGAGTCTGGTGAGCAGTGACAACTCCTCAAAACAACCTACTAGCTGACATGAGCAAGGTGACGAGAACTGAGCACAAGATAGCAAGGTGCTGAAGGAACGGTCAATGAGGAACAAACACGGCTATCAATCCAACGTTGCGGTACTGTTTGAAGTTTGGGACAAAGCCCATTAATGACTTGTATGGATTTCAAGCTATGAAGATTCCGGCATAAGGCGCGGAATGATGCCTAATTGGGGAACTCTCCAGATGTCACCAGGGTCAAGGGTTAGCGGCTGACGGGTGGGCACACAACATGTATGCAGAACCATTGTATCTAACAGGTTGCTTCTGCTCGAGAAGTTTCAATTAAACACTAATAAGAAGAACGATCCGGAGAGCATCAAAACCACGTACTTGTCCTTGTTTATGGTAACAAACTCGATGGTTCATGATGGCGTGACTGATATGCCCACCGTTTCCGGTCACTCCTAATGTATCAGCACTGGACGCTCTGATATGGATAAGCCCCGGGCCATGGTGTTGAATTTCGTGCCAACAGTTATTGATCCCCTTCGGATTGGGTTGACCTCTTGGAATCCGTGCAATCTTTCCACAAGGCGGGAAACCTTGATGTTAAGCTCATCGGTAACCGGTTGCCAGGGTCCCCTATAGGATGTAGATTGGAAATATTGGAAGTATTTTTACTTTTGCTATGATCCTAGATCTTGATCCCTCTGGAGTGGGGTTTAAGATGAATCCCTGTTCGAGCCGTGGAGTTGAGCCCTGCAAGTATCAGTGACAGGGGCAGTCAACGTCAGCATTGATGCCCACCCATATAAACACTCCCTCTTTTCAGATTCCTCAGTCCATTGCCGCCCCAAAAAACACCGCAAGAGACTAAACTCGCAAAATCAGTAGCTATGGAAGCCGCTTTGGCGGTCAGACCCTCCGGGTAATCTCATCCTACCTTCCTGCCTGCTCCCCCACTAATCGAAATCTTTGTTACGTTAGGGACAATCTCTGGAAAGCTGCCGTCGATTCTGTCGGAGATGAGCTCAAGTCTCAGATAGACTTCAAACAGGAGTCCAAAATTGACACTCTTGGAGAGCTGTTATCAGTGACTGAAAAAGCAAAGAAGCGTTTGACTGATCGAGCATGGTCTTTTAAGAGATCATCTGGTGAGAAGGTGATCGTGCGCGATGTGCTGGGCAAAGTAGCCAAATGGGTCAACCTCATCAAGCAGGTGGGTGATTTTGCCGTCCAGTTTGATCCGGGACATGCTGGTGTGGCATGGGCAGGCATTCGATTCATGTTGACGGTAAGCCTGGGTTGCTCAATCTACTTGACTGCGAGGTTCTAACTGGGGTCTAGGTCGCTGTCGGGGATTTGGACACATATAAGGGGATGTTCGAAACAACAGCAGATATCGCCGAGTACATCTGTCGAACTGCCGTGCTCGAGAGTCTAGTGAAGGGAAAATCTTCTCAGGCGGCAGATGAGCTGAGCCGTGCTATTGTTAAGCTTTACATAGCCATCCTCACTTATCTCTCTCGAGCGACCGCCTACTGCAACCAAAATACCTTCAGTAAGTTGATATTTGGTATCTATTGTGCTAGAAAGACTAACAAGCATTCAGAACGGATTTTGAAGTACGGAGTTCTTGTATCGGGTGATCTGGAATCGAGTTTTGCGGCCGTTGCACCAGCCCAAGATGTCGTCAGCCGTTGTGCACTGGTGATGGATCTTGAGGGTCAGTTCACGGTTCCAGTCCGGTCATACATAGCATACAAATTTACTCACAGTTTCCTAGCTCAGTTGGACTCTCAAGTTGAACTCCGGCGCATCCGTGAAAGCTTTGATGCTCCTATGCAGCGCTGGGATGGAGCTCTTCATGCCATTTCAGATCAGCTCGAGGGTAAGACTATTCCCTACACCGATTTCATAAACTAGGTTAACACGATTCAGGAGACCAAAGAAAGGAAATATTGCAATGGATGTCGGCCGAACCCTATATACAACATCACAAACAGACGAAAAGCGAGGTGCTGAAAGGGACGGGAAATTGGCTCCTTGAAAATCCCAGCTTCCTGGAGTGGAAGAATGAAAGCGCATCTTCTATACTGTGGATTCGTGGCATACCGGGATCCGGAAAAAGTAAACTAATGTAAGAGGACAAACCAAGTTGACTCCTCTGAAATCTAACTGTGAAACTTCTCCTAGGTCGATCGCAATTGAGGACGCCATGAGCGCATTCCAGGCGAAGCAAAGCCCACATCCAGTATACTTCTACTGCTCTCGTAACCCGGCAGAGCCTGGAAGATCTGATCCCTCACGTATCCTGGCCAGCATTGCCAGACAGCTTGCCACGCCGGAAGTCGGCGGCGCTATCCTCGAACCAGCGCTTGAAGTTTTCAACCAACGAGCGTCACAAGCGTTTGCCGAGGGGCCCCTCACGCTTGGGGAGAGCAAGGAACTAATCATCAAGCTTCTCGACCAATACAAGGATGCAACTATGACCATTGCAATAGACGCCTTGGACGAATGCAATGAAGATACGCGAGGCGACTTACTCGAATCGTTCGAATTCCTACTAGAGGAATCACCGTGCCTTTTGAAGCTTCTTGTGTCAAGCCGGGATGACCAAGATATTGTGTATCAGTTCGAAAATTACCCTTGTTTGGCTCTTTCATCGGCCCACAGCTCTTCAGACATCGAACTATTTGTTGCCTCGGAGGTGAAGAAGCTTCTCAACAGTAGATTTCTACGGAAGACCCAAAGTGGTAAAGAAGCATTGTCTGAAAAGATTGTCAAGGAACTCACGGCTAAGGCTGATGGAATGTAAGAGCTTTACTAGTACTTATATGATACATCTGCGATGGTGATGCTGACTATTTGCAGGTTTCGTTGGGTAAGCCTTCAACTGCAGGCACTTCAAAAATGCCGTAGCGAGGAAGCCATTATGGAGAGATTAGGCCAGCTACCTCGGACATTGGGAGACCTCTACCAAGAACTTGTGGTTAAAATGGAAAACTTCGAAGCAATCTCGGACAGAGAGCTGGCCAAGAACAGCCTCAGCTGGCTCCTCTGCAGCCATGCCCAGCTAAACTCGGAAGCCTTTCTCGCTGCCGTCTCCACAAGCAAGGACGGCGAAAGTGACGCTATTTCGCGAGATCAGCTTCTGGATTTGTGTTGCAACTTGGTTATCTTCGATGAAGCCCTCGACGTGTTTCGTTTCGCGCATTTATCCGTTCGAGAATTCCTAGAAACGCACGAGTTATTTATATCCGAGTCTATAAATTCACGTGTGGCGGAGGCTTGCCTGATTCGTATCATGGATGCGACACCCGATATGAACATGGAAGACGACACAGAACCATCCGTTGAGGTATTGTGGTACTCTTATGTATACTGGGGCTTCCATGTAAAAGCAGCTTCTGGAGAAAGAACGCCTATTACAGACGACCTCCTGGCTGAATTCTTGTCTGATGAAGATAATCCTTCGTCGCCGTTTGGTTTATGGGATCAAATCTTCCGCAATGGCTCTTCGTACAGCAAGTGGACGAAAGATCCTCCTACAGAGCTCTCCCATTGCTATTCTCTTATGCCATGTGTTCTGTTTCCTGTTTGCATCTTCGACATTTGTGGTGTTATTAGCCCCCACGAGTGGAAGAGATTGGCTGAAAAAGGGGTCAACAGCGTACGTGGCAAAAGTCCAATTGAGAGTGCCGTTGAGCAGGGCTCAATCAATATCGTGAAGTGGGCTTTGGACAATGATATCCAGATTTATTTCACACTCGAATTGCTTATGTGCCTGGCTTGGAACAAGAGGATGGAAATGTTGCAGATTTTCCTGGAAAAATATGACTCCGAGTTCCCTGTCGACCAAGAATTTGTGCAAATGGCTGCTGGAAACGAATTTTGCGGCTATGAAATGACAAAACTGCTTCTCGACACTCGAGGGACTGGGATCTCGATAACAGCGCAGTTCCTTGAGATTGTCATTTGCTCTCGAGGCTCTGACGACAACGTGCTCAAGCTGCTGAAATTTGTGCTTGAAAAGGTCGAAGGCGACATCGTCCTGACCGAATACACTCTTAGCCACGTGGCTAGAGACACCACAAAAGGCGAACAAGTCCTCCAAATCCTTCTGAAGAGATTTGAGAAGAAAAGTTTCCCGGTATCACAACAGACCCTCTTAGATGCCGCTAGCAATGAAGAGTGCGGCGATAAGATGATCGCGCTGTTTGTCCAGCACTTTGGCGAGCAGGTAGAGATCACGGACGAACTTGTGAACAACGCAGCTGCCAATAGCACTGTCGCCTTCTCTCATCTCCTTCGCCAATCTGGGCCAAATCCTCAAATCTCCGAGCGCTGCCTGGAACTGGCAGCAGAGTACAACCCACAGTCCTTGACATTAATTCTAGACAAGTATGCCGATGGGATAGTGATATCGCAGAGCATTGTCAAAGCCGCTGCCAGGAACCCGGCCTCTATTAAGCTTCTTGATCAGAGGTATGGTTCCGAGTTTCAGATTACAAGTGACATCGTCGAAATTGCGGCCATAAGTCATCCAGAAGCTCTCGACTTCCTTCTAAAGAACAGATCATCAGAGGCCAAACTGAACGAAGATGTTATCATTGCAGCCACCCGATACAATACAGGAGTGCTTGATTTCTTGCTCGACGAATATGGGCATGAGATTGAGATCACTGAGGAGATTATGAAGACTGCTGCGCAATACAAACTTGACTCATTGGAGACCCTTTGCGACAAACGCGGAGATGACATTTTGGTTACCGAGGACGTTCTTCTTGCTGTAGCCATGGCTTACTCAACGCAGTATTCTTTGTACTATATCGATCACATCATCTCGATATTCATGAGAATAAAAGAGGCAGACACTATGGCTTCTATAACCCCGAAGGTGTGTGCTATGTCCGCAGCATGTGGGGATGAGGACGGCCTTGATTGCTTTCGTCGCTACGTCCCGGAAGAGCTTCGAAACCCGGAATGGGACTCTATTTGTCGCCTCTTTAGCGCAGCAAAAGAAGGGAACTTGGAAGTTGTCCAATCGCTCATGCAAGAGCCAATTCCGTTGGACACCAAGGATAATCTAGGTCAGACACCGCTGTATATGGCAGCAAGATATAGTCACCCTGAGGTCGTGAAGCTTCTGGCACATGACAAGCGAGTTGATATCAATTCCCTGTCTATCTTCGGGCGTTCTGCTTTGTTCGAACCCTGCAAGTATGGCTTAGTTGAGGTCGTGGAAGTTCTGCTCGTAGCTGGTGCGGAAACCCATTTTATAGATGCGGATGGTGACACCGCTCTCTCAGCAGCTAGAGGAAACGAGGAAGACAAAATAGTGGCACTCTTAGAAGGCAAATCATAAATAAGAGGGTGACTTGATTTAAGAGAATGAATACACTAAAGTACATTTCTTTATGTGCAACGGCCTAAGAGATCATTCTTATGGAGCTTGATAAGAATCATCGCAGAGTGCTATTGTTATACTTCAGATGGATCAATAACCAAAAGCAAGTGTTGGGTCTTTCTGTTCAAGAGATCGGCAGCCAAGCCTCGGTATACCATACTCTCATGGTAAGGTAGTAAGTTGAAATGCAAGGTCAGCAATCCAACAGCCGGTTGAATTCTCCTGATGGTTCCGGGTCCTGGAGCATGGTAGGATATGATACGTATACATGGGGCCACATTTCTGCCTTGTTGCTACCTACCCCTCAGTTGATCATCTGTCTCTTGATCTTCTAGGAAAAGGTGAGTAGACTGCCAGCGGCAATATTTATTTATCACTCATACTCATACCACAAACATATTTCCTCTTAACTGATAAGAAAGACCGCACAGCACGTCATGGGAGTCGCGTACGAAGACAGACAGAGCATCGAAAACAAAAAGGCACAATACTGCCGCTTTGCAGACACCCACGAATGGGACAACTTCGCCGCTCTCTTCACTCCCGATTGCGCCTTGGAGTTTCTTGACGCGAACGGGCAAGGATTCTACGACATGGGCCCGCATAGCACCATACCCTCAGCACGAGACCTCGGCAACTACTTGGTGCAGCTCAGAAACGTGCAGCAAGCTATCCACATGGTGGGCCCGTTGGAGTTCGAGCAGATCGACCAGCATACTATAAAGACTATCTGTACTGTCACGTACCAAGTGGGAGCTATCGGGATCCCCGATGGTGTTCATGGGGTTGGAGGAGGGCATTACTACGAAACTTGGACACGCAAGGATGGTGAATGGCTCATTTCCCAGTACTTGATGAAGCGACTGTACTACAAGTCAATAGTCATCCTTAAAACACAGTGATATGGCATATTCGAACCATCATTCTATATACAGATAAAACCTTAACTCTTGGAATCCGATAATGCCAAATCAACGTGTAATTTCTGTATCCACATCAGGTCAGGACACTCTCCCTTCAGATCCTGTTTCTCTTCCCTTGGAATTTCCCTTGCAGCTGCCGCTCGGGCCAATACTGCTGGAGGGTCCAATAACTTCACCACTTGCACCGCATTAGACTGGCCATTCCCAAAACCCCTCGTTGAGTCATCAACAGATTGCGGCACCGTGACATCGCCCTCGCCACCCGGTTGCCTTTCACCTCGCAGACATTCAACCTTTTCTCGTGCTCTGAGAGTCACGCGATCGTCATCGCGCAACGTTTGTTGACAAGCTTCGTATAGCTTTCTCGCCCATTTCAATGCCTCGCCGTGTTTTCCAGCCTTCTTCAAAACATGGACAAGATTTTCCATCAGCTCGACTGTATCTTCGTCCTTCCCCCCTCTGCGGCGCTTGCCCATACGGTAGGTAGTGCTCAACAACGTCTCCGCCTCCTCAAACTTGCCTTGGCCGGCAAGTGCGGTGGCTAGGGTGGACGCCGACTCGGTGGTTTCTTGAGCTCCCTTACCATATATCCGTAAACTTCGTTCCAACGAGTCTCTTGCCAGAGTTTCTGCGTCATCTAGAGCCTTCCGGTGCAATTTGACAATGGCGAGCGTGTTCTGGGCCCGAATGGAGGTAAGGTGGTCTTCACCGGCAATCTTCCGTGTCGCCGCCAAGAGCCCTTCAGCTATAGGCTCTGCCTCGTCGTACTTCCGATGTTCCTGAAGCATGCCTAATTGGCACGAGATGACCCACAAAGTGGCCAGATTGTGGTCACCAGAGACAGCTCGACGGCGCTCGACGACCGTGGCAATGAGCGCGTCAGCGTCATCAGACTTCCCTTGCTTATTCAAGAGGATCGCGAGCTGCTGCCCGAGGAGAATTGACTCTTCATGCTCGTGGCCAAATATCTGAGCGAACTTTTCATAAAGATCGCTGACGAATGCGACGTCCTCGCTGGCTATGGTCCGACGACTAATGGTTTCAACCAGCCTCCTGCCCTCGATCAGAGTGCCAACATGCTGATCACCGAGCACCCGCTTCTTACTCTCATACGTCTCCCTGATCAAAGGCTCTGCTTGCGAGAATGCGCCTTGTTCGATATATAGGCCGCCCAGCCAAGCCACTACCCAGACGGTAAGATTGTGGTCGTTCCCATTCATCGTTCTCCTATGCCGTAGAACTTCGGACATGATCTTTTCCGCTAATTCATATTTCTGCAGCTGCTTCAAGATGATGGCATGTGTTGCCATTAGCGCGAGGGCAAAATGGTTTGGCTGGTCAGGCGTCGGATAGACGGCAAAGAAATCCCAGCAGACGGTCTCTGCGGCCTCCCATTTTCCTTGGTCCTTGAGCACGTTGGCAAACAGGTCCACCGCCTCGATCGTTCCCGTGTGATTATGACTAAAGATTCGCTGGCGACTTTGCAAAGCCATTCTACGTTGCCGGCTGGATGCGTCGAGGTTGCCCATGCGCTGGTGCAAGGCTGCCAATTTCTCCCGTTGATCGATGGTGTCGGAATGATCGTTTCCATGATCGCGAAGGCTGTTCTCGAGCATGGCCCGCGCCAGCACTTCCGCTTCCTTGGAGCGGCCCTGATCTGTGAAATTGTCGATGAGCGAAGTTATCATGACATTCACTCTCGGCAGCCCGTCGTGAAGGGCCTTTGCGCTCTTCTTGACAATATCCTGGATCTCGGCATCTGTAGTCGCAAGGAATGCTTGGGCCCATATCGTGTCTGGATGGTGTTCGCCCAGCGACTCCCGATATCTCTGGAGCGCCCCCTCCATCAACTCCTCCGCCTCGTGAGTTTTTCCCATGAAAAGCCGTGTGGAGGCCAGTTCAGCTCGTCTCCAATTCGTTTTAGTATTGTCAGTGCCAAGCAGCCTCTCGCTCGCGTCGAGCGCTTCTTCCATCATCAGCTCTGCCTCTTCCACTGCCGACTCAGAGTCCTCCACCTTTCCACGGAGCAAGAGTGTCCTTGCAAGCTCATCAATACTCTCAAGAATTCTTTCGTCGTTGGAGCCATAAGATCTTTCTGACATCTCGAATGCGTCCCTCATGAGCTTCTCCGCCTCTTCCAAACGACTCTGGCGCCGTAACATGAGGCCGAGGGCCGCCGTCACCTTGATGACAATTGGGTGATTGTCGCCGAGAGCGTCGGCGCCATCCTTTATAAGCGTCCTCGCAGTCGTCTCAAATTCGGCAGTGCGCCTCTGCTCTGCCAGCAGAACAGTGAGATGATGCATTGCGGAGAAAGTCTCAGGATCGCGGGGGCCGAATGTGTCCTGGGCCTTGCTCAAGACAGTCCTTGACAGAGACAAGGCCTCTTCGAAGTCGCCATGAGCTTGGAGACACTGTGCCAGGTTGATTTTTGCTTTTTGTGTTTCTACATGCTTTCTTTCATACTCCTGCTCAGCATTTCGAACGGCTTCTCGTGCGGTTGATACCACGTCATCAGTCGTTGCACTTGTCGATTGGCGGTCCTGCGCCAGTCCGTGCTTCTTTGAGGCGTCCATCGCTAAAATTGTGTATGTTACTGTCGTGGTCTGAGTGGGAGTGCCGGCACGTCCCAAATTATCGATTAGTTGTTGTGCAAGAGGATAGAGTCAAAGAAATCAAGGTTTGGATGAAGAATTAAATGGCTGCTGGTGAGATCAGGCAGCATAGCATGGATAAATAAATACGCCTTGTCGGATGCCTAAAGCATTGATTAGCCCAGCCAGCTCGTCATCTTTGCTTACTTGTTTCAGGATGGCGCAAAGTCAAGGGAGCCGCTCACTCTGAAACGCCAGTCACTCGTAGGAGAAGCCAATTGGCCATTCAATTGAGCGACGCAGATGGTTTCCCGTCTTATCTCATTCCATCAATTGGAAGTACATTTCTAGCGTTATTAGTCTCGTTATTCAGCGACAATGGGAGGAAATGACTGACCTCAGAAGTGGGTGACAAGAGATGAGACACATACGGGAGTGGTCATAGATAGAGTGCTTTCTGCGATAAAAAAAAGAAATTCAGTTATAAAGAACAGAATAAAGAGATAATATTTACCGTTTTATCTCTCAAGTATGTATTATTAGTACCCAATAATTTGATAATACTGATCGCAGACTTGAGAATAAGCAGGGTAATATTTGAGTGTCTCAATTTCAATGTCACCCACTTGCCTCAGTAGGCTCACCGATGGAGATGCTGTCCCCACCTCATACAACACTAGAGTTCTGTGAGGGCTTTGAAATCTCATCAATTATCAAACATTTATCCTACAAAAAGCCATGGCAATTTCAAGAACCTGAACTTGGTAGATGGCGGATTCATACAAAATTCACTCGAGCTTCACTAGCTGCTTCATTCTCATCATCTCAAATCTGCGCTCGCGGCTCCTGTCCATCTAATGCAGCGCCCATGTCATCGGCCCCTTTCAAATCTCACCACGGAAATCGTCTTCCGTCAGCAAAGCTCCCTCCAAAATCTTCCCAAGATGTGTCTTCTCAATACCCTCACAGTTGGACCGAATCCTGCTGATAATAGTCTTGAGAAACTTGACTGGGCTTGCGGTGAAGTCGCAAGTCTTGTCATCCACCGCACGTCGAATGAACCCATCCGACATAACCTCCTCGCCCTCTTCGGCTGCCTTCTAAGCCAGCCCTAAGTAGTCGCAAACCTCGGTATATTCTTGGAATGATCGAAAGTACAGCTGTCCTGCAAAGAGATTGAGCTCAATGATCAGTTTCTTCGGAATCTCATATCGATGTGTACTGCCAGGAAGGAGGTACAGATCAAGACTGTCAATCGGGGCAATCCCCTGGTTCTGTCTCGCTGCATACAAGTGGCGCACCACTACCTGCGACTTTGCAATATCATCCCTCAACTCGTTTGCCTCGTAGGGACTAATCACCACCATTACCATCTGCCCAGAAACAGAACTTGTGAGAATCCATTGGACGCTTCGAAGAAAATCATCCATGTGCGAGTACTCAGGAGAATCTGGTAGCTTGACTGTCATGGCAAAATCTCTCGTCATCAGGAGGCCGCTTGGCCACCGAGTAATCCGCAACTCAGTCGCGGCACTTGTAGTTTTGAACAGCTTGAACGATGGTATGAACACGGCGCTGGAGCGTTTGATCACCCCAGTGCGCACGAAGGCCAACACATCAGGGTGGACCCTATGCCGTAGAGGCTGTGCTGGCTCCGCGCTCTCTTTTTCTCGTTCCTCTTCAATTTCCGGTGCTAGTTCTCCCTTGTTCCTCTTGCAACGAGCTCGAGTCCAAATCTATGCTGCCGAACTCGGAATATCTTTGAAAAATCTCTTGTACCATCGAGTTTTGAGAGTGAGCCAAGCTGTTGATGAAAGTTGACCCCTCAGGCTGCAATCCACACCGCTGTTCAAGGGTTTGCGCCTCTTGCTCGAGAAATTCCTCTGCTAATTCCTTGTTTATCTGTGTCTGACCATTAGGTTGACACATGGACTCCCAATAATCGCGTTGACGTGCAAAAGTCTTCCCCTGCATTGCCCACATGGGAAATGACCGACGAATATCGATCCAAGTCTCCGAGATGGACCACGTGAGAACATCCAAGACGGAGATTGGCTCTTCGACAACACTGTCGTTGTTGGCGGCTCTCAATGCTCTAACTTTCGTCTCGATTTCTTCGGGTACATAAAATTCGACAGATTGACCTTGGCCAAGCTTCCTCATCCTCATACATGCTTGAAGGTGTCAGTGAATGTCCAGGAAGAGAATTATCTCTTGAGTTAAACAGATAGGGGATTGTGAGAGCACTCACCTTGTACCAGTCGGTCTTTGACCAAATTCGCACCTAAAGTCACAGCGGCGCGATAGTTTTGCGGCAGGCGGAGATCAATGCCTCGGGTATGCGCCTCGTCAAGAAACACCAGGCAAGTATCAAGATGCTTCGCAAAGGGTGATGTTTGGAGCCGTTCAATGTTGCCTTGTCTGTCCAAGACAGACAACTCATCTTCTTCGTCGCAAAAGACCACCGCCTGAATATTTTGTTCATCTTGAACCAATTTAAGCCAAGCTTTGGCCACGTCTATATTGGAGAGGTCAATGATCTGCGCTCCCACATCCAGGATTACGCGGATCTCTGGGTTCATCTTCACTGTCAATTCCAGTAGTTGCATGGCGCTCCAGACTGCGCTATGGCTGTTTTGTGTAGACAAGAGGGTGACCGAATTTTCAGGCCGCAACAAGTTATCCAGTACAAGCGCATTCGTGTGCTTTTGCCCGGGTAGATCAAGTTGCTTTACGGTTAGGGGCAACACATGCTGCGAGTCATTTGTCCCGCTGAATCCAGTGGCAGGTAGTTTCTTGATACGGCCTAAGTCCCACCCTGAGGCCGAGAGTTTATGCGGGAACTCCTTCATCTCTTTGGTGAACACAATTTTGGATAAAAAGTAGTCAATCACACCTTTCGAGTATCGAAGGAAGGGAAATAGAAGATTGATGCAAAGCTGCCGGTCAGTAATGTTGACGCCCTCTAGCTGTCTGAACGCCTCTGGGAGCATTTCGATGGATTGTACCCAAATTTGGTACTCCGCGTCTGCTTGGTCAGACTTTAGAAGGTGACCAAAACAAAGAAATAGTTCCTCGTCCGTGAGACCACCGTAGTAGTAAGATATTGAAGTCAGCGAAATGACAACATCGGGCTGACTGAACTCAGAACGTGGACTTGGGTTGTCTTTGGCACGGTAAGGAACAGCTAGCCGAGTATTGGGCTCCCGTGTCGCGTCAAGGCCGTAGTTGACTCTCCATCTTTTCTTCGAAAACACGAAATCAAGAATAGACCCAGCAAATAATCCTCGAATGAGCAAGAGGCTCTGAGAGGAGCTGGCCCAGAAGTCGCTCCCTTCAACATTGGAAGCTACTTCGTGACTTGGCGTCGGGTTGGTAATGTATTCTCGAATATTAAGTCGAGATTGCTTGCTTAGTCTGGATACCGGGAATCCCGGGAGAAGCCCGTATTGGCATATATGATCAACCACAAGACCAAGAACTTGATCCGATGCCTCCTTGTCCAAGAAGCGAATCCTCGGACGCCTACTTTGGGTCACCTTGTAGACTTCGACGGACTTGTGAAGTTGCCGAGATATCTTGATAGCACACTTGACAACCAGGCCAAGAATTTGCTGGATTATCGTCCACCTCTCCGGTGCATAGTCAACTGGGGCTTGCAATCCAACCGTGTAAACCAACTCGAACTTGACTGAAAAGTTTTCATCGCTTTCATCAATGATATCCCTTGAGTATTGATCAAAAAAATTTGCTTTCATCCGAAGCAAAGTATATGACAACCCCACCTCTTCATTGAGGGCTGCCTCCAAAACCATCAGTTGGAAGGATAATATGTTTTCCGGCTGGAGAAGCAGAACACCCCCCTGGCGTCGACACTCCTGGTAATAGCGCAGTAAAAAGTTCGCCTGCTCAACATTGAGCCTTAAGCTTCTCGAAAATGGCATGTGATAAACACGCCTACCTATCAAGCCCCCCAGCTTGGAGACTAACATCTCGAACATCTGGCGGGACTGTGGTTTGCCAACAATGATCCTCACCAGATTGGAACCATTGGCAAGGGCAGCAGCGACAATTGGAACAATGACTGACGACTTCCCCTCTCCCATGTTCAATTGCATGACCGCGTTATTCTTATCGTTGTTTGGGGGGTTTTCCATCATTTCTGCAATCTCTTGTTGGACCTTGCGAATCCTCAGATTACCTTCTACCTCTAGTAGAAGTGAATCTGGATATTCAAAAGGATCCCAGGTTCTTTGTCCGAGATTCGCTAACTCCTTGATGAGATCTGTCTCATTTCCACGGAGCTGAAGTAGCCTCTCGGCACCTTGAAGTTGTGACAGACAAGACCCAAATTTCACAACAATCGCTTTCCAGCTTTCCGACAAATTTTCCCATTGCTGTCTGTTCAGTTGATCAAGAAGATCCCTAGGCGACATGCAAGGCCATATTACCGTGCCTTCAGCCATGCGCATGGAAGACATATTGTCTCTGTGTGAGACTGACCATGACAGCGATTTCTTTATCTGCTCCAACAACTTGCTGTACTGCGTCACGCAGGCTTTGTGATATTCAGAAAGAGCCTGATGTAATTCGTCTCCATTGACCGTGAGACAAAACTGCTGTTTCTTCTGGCCAAATTGATTAATGCTCTCAGCCAGCTGCTCAACGTAGCGGCCTTCCTGCGGTAATTTGGCCAAATTAGCAATTCGGCTTCCTAAGGTCGATACCAGACACTCTTCATTGGATGATTTAGTCTGAATAACGATATTGGGTGGCTGGACCACAAAATCTCGGCTGGAAATTTCTGTTGCATTTGTAAGAGCAAAAAGGTCATTGATCCGTATACATCGGTGAACGTTTCGCACTGCTGGTAGGGGTGGCGCTCGATCAATGGTCCCAAAAATGGTCGGGCTTAGAGTGATCCCGCGCAGATTCACGCATACTTTTTCCAGTGATTGAAAGAACAAGAGGTTGTTATGCCAACTTTTACGCCTCGCTCGAATCTGATGCATGGCTTTTGACACCTCGAGATAGGTCTTACCTGCTGCAGCATTCGCCGGATCTGAAATCGCACGAGGCCATAGTTGGTGGACATGGTTTTCCAACCTACTTGCAAATTCCTTCTGCTGGTTCTTGAAAAGATACTCTGCTCTCCCAAACGCGGTTCTCAGGGATTCTCCACGACGTGGTGCTACTTGGTTCCGCGTAGTGCTATGCTGGAATTCGATATAATGCGATTCGATGCAGCGCTTCAACCACACTAAATCAACTTGATATCCTTCGTCTAAATTCAAGCATCCCTTTCGTGGAAAGACCATCAGACGATACTGGGGGTAGAACATGAGCCCGAGTAACACGCTGAGCGTAGAGTCGTCAATATCCATCGCATAGGCGACCGAGACCATCCATGAAAACAGTAAAAAGTTGTCGTTGGGGTTCCTTGTCTCGAAAGCCTTTTGTATCCCTCCCCAGGCCTCTCGGAGATGAGGCCAAACGGTTCCAACCCACTTAGCATTAAATGATAAGTTATGAAGCCCAGCTTGGTCTGGATTGAAGATTGGATGGCCACCGAGTCTTTTATACATTATTTGGGCCGCACCTTGCGAGATATGAAATGGGAGCTGAATAGGACTCTCGCGGAAAGCAGCGGCTACCTTCGATACCCGAATTGCACGCTGAGAGTTTTGATCTCTATCCCTAGCCCTATTGTAGGGGACATCTTCGGCTATCGTATGCCACTCAGCTCCAAATCCAGCTTTGTAGAAAGAAGCCGACCTGATAGCTTCGCGGTGCTCGAGACCTTGGTGCTGCCGATCTATTGCCGGAGGTTTGACAAAGTCTTTGTAGAGGAAGGATGTTTCTGAAGCATGCTTAAACAAGGCGTGGACTATTCTGCTGAAGTCTAAATGCTGTATCAATGGGCTTAGCCCTCGATCATCCCAATTGACCACCTGCATGACTCTGAGATGCTTGGGGTAGAAGGTCCGGGCTGGAGACAAAGTGGCAATTCTCTCCAGAATTCTCAATTCTGCTTCAGAAAGAGAAGCGAATGAGTGGACACCAGCTGATCGTAAGATTGTTAAGGCCTCCTCAGTACCGGTGTGAAGTGTGAACGGGTCTTCGATGAGTCCGGATGTCAGGGCATGGAGTTCCGCAAGGAATAACTTGCTCTTTAGACTTCCATTTCCTGTCAAACAGTGGAGATGGTGATTCAGTTGGTATGATTGAACTCTTGTAGCAGAGTAGGGCAAATTGACAACGACATGATTGTTATGGGGCGATTTTCGGCAATGCGGTTGCCAATCTGGAATGAGAACTGACCGGTTTTGGCTGTCTCCAACCTTAACCAAAACCAGCTTGTCGGCAAGCCCAATGAGTGTCCCGATAGCTTGTTGGGGATCAACACGCATCCCTCTGTATTGACGGGACATTATATCTTCTGACCCGTCATTCATATAAAAGTCAAGTTGAAGTCTGGGAATCTTAATCAAAAGAGAAGCTGCTGCCTTGTCGAAAAAGATATGCAAACCAGACCGCTTCTCAAGAGGCTGAAACACCTCATGCAGCTGATTTGCAGTTCTCGAAAACTGCCCAACGAGATAAGTATCAGACTGTTGAAGTACCCACAAGCATTCCTGCTTATGCATCGTCCAAAATGATTCGCCTAGCATCCAAGGCTGGCTGTGTGGTCGAAATTCAACAACTCCCTTTGCCGTATTGTACCAGTGGACATGTTCATCAACAAAATGTTTAGGAAAATGTTTCTCAAATAAGCGAGATGGGACGAGCTCCCACGAGTCTCCTTCTTTGCAAGCGCGTACACCAAGATCATCCTGTTGAGAGTCATAGCATAGATGAATCTGATGTCCTTGGATGCTGCATCGAGTTGAAAATCTCATACCCGCTTCGGCACTTGGCATTACGTCTACTGACGAGTGTCCGAACAGAATAGTGTAATCCTTATGGGCTTCGTAATTCGGAGGGAGTCGGCCCAGTGGAAGACCTTTGACGAGTAATTCAGCCGTGATCACATTGTAGTGAACTTGAACCTTCACTGTGCCCTCTTGGTTTGAGGTAGTGGTATTGAGCCAACAGGACGCCTGCTCTGTCCAATGGTCACCGCGTGAGCGTTTGTAAGAAGGCCATATCCTCGCAATAGCAGAGTCAAGGCCCTTGTTTTCTTGAGACGTGACTTGCCTCATCAAGATCCTCTTGGTGCGAAATAAAAGACGGCGGTATCTCAAAATGAGGCAATCAAGGAAAGATGTTTCAGATTGATTTGTTTTATCTTTGGGTTTGCCGTAGTATTCTTGAATCGCAATACAGCACTGAATGAATCTTGAGAGATCTTCAGAATCCTCCAGCGTCATTTCCAGATAGGCGGCGTCGATATCGTAGGATTGCGTGCAGGCTAAGGCTGCCTGGAGAATGCGTCTAGTCAAACCCTGCAGTGAAGTTGCATCTCGAGTTGAGGTGATCTTTTTTCGCAAGGTTTGTAGCCACTTGAAACAGATTTCCCGGCAAGAAGACAGAAAGGAGAGACAAAGTTGGATGGAAGCGCCTCTTGTAAGTGAAAGTAGTCGAGCTGTTATCATGGTCAAGGTCGCGACGGCTGGAACAGATTCCCAGTTTTCCTTTAGTCTGCTAAGCGATTGATCCATCTTGCTCACCAACTGCTCAACTAAGACTTCGTCTTCAAGTCCCATATGAGATGATCTTAAATCGGAATCAAAGGAGAAAGGGCCAGTTTGATGAGATATTTGGAGAACGAAGAGTGCAGTCTCAACCTTACGCCAATCAACTGAAGGCATGGCAAATTCTCTGAGAAGATTCTCCCAAATGATCTTATGGCCCATAGGTAACGAACAAAGAGCCTTGAACTCATCTAACGAGAGGTGGTCAGGACAGAGCGACTGACTTGCAATGACAGTGTTTGGACCTAGTCCATCCGGGCTATCCCATGGCCGATATAAGAAAGTCTGCAGAGGTGAGGAGACCAAGAATGTGCAATCCTCAGCAATGCGGATGTCTGGGCCGATATTTCCGATGAAAGTCTTCTTCCCTGTGTCGAAATAGGACCAACTCATCCCATTACTGAGGCATATCTGATCCTCACGAGACTCACTGATTTTCTTCCCAGAACGATGAGTGACAGCATTGGGCTTGGTTGTCGATGCTGGCGTTACTCTTTGATAGCGATGTTCTGAGTCCCGTGACCTAAATCTGGTAAGTGCCTGGTACTCGTTCAAGAGTTGAGAATAAACTGGATTGGAAACGCCCGCATTGTTTAGCGGTCCAAGAACACGTTTGCGGAGGAAGTATGTAGCGTCGCGCCAATGCCGAAAACCGGAAGGTATGTCGAGCTCAAATATAACTGATTTGGCGCTTACAGGATCACTGGGTAGAGGCCATTCGTGGATTTGGATCTCCATATCAGCAGCTTGCTTGACTAACGAACACTTCTTGCAGGAAGCAGCATGTTGCCCGCGTTGGTCACCAAAGGAGTCAGTGACCATGGTCTCTTTGTGGCTCATAACGCCAGCTTCCGCACGAATTTTATCGTATTTTTTTTTCAGTGTCCTGAATTCGAGACGTTTTTGATGTTGTTCCTCTTTAGCTCTCGACTCGACGCGGTCCAGTAGTTTCTGGTGACGGGAGGAGGAGTCATAGAAACGAGCAGCAAATGTTTCCTTCTTTCCCCACACGGTGAAAATTGAAGTGTTTCTGTAGGTAGCCGTTCGCCGTCGTTCATGGACGTGTCTCTCGATCGCAGACAATCGTTTCATTTGACTTCGGAAACGAAGCAAAAGCGAAGAGCAGATTTCTGTTGGCACCTCAGGATCATAATCTAGTAATAGTGGATAAATAGTGACCGCTGACCGATCACAAGCAACCCAAAGCTCCAGTAATGTTAGGAGCATGATGGATTGGCCCTCCGGTCGAGTCTTGTAACCAATGTTGGCCACATAAAAGTACTCCTCCATGGTGGAGTATAACTGATCACAGCTGCTTTGATCATCGAGGTGGCTATTGATCCAATTGGGCAAACACTGAGCTACCCAAGTTTCGAATGCCGCAAGGTTGTAAATCAGATACGGTCCGGGTGAAGCTTGGCGCAGCGATGGAATATTATTTGATGACACACGAATGATGTTGGATGAGGGAACAAATGTGTCAATTTCCATGTTAGTTGTATGCTGCTGAATTTGGGAAAGAAAATTGTCAAGGTCAGGAAGTGAAAGGTTGCACTCCTGTTCGAGAGACGAGGTGAAAATATTGGCAGTCTCAACACGCCTGAGGTCTTGTCGCACAATATGTTGCCACTGCTCGTTTAATTTTGCGGAAGCATCTCGTATGATGGCACCCACTGGCGTCATCCATGGTTCAGCTTGTTTGAGATCAAGCTTTCGGAGGCGGCGACTTATTTTGGCGTTCATAATGTAAATATCATCACTAGGACGACCTGCTTTCAATGAGAGCCTCAAGAGTCGGGCCATGAAGTACACCATGAATCTTTTGTACAGGGAATCATCAAATGGAGGAGTTGCCGACTGGTCGGTGAGGGTCAGCTGTAGCACGACTCTCATCAACAGCCAAAACGGCGAGCGCCTCCAGGGCAATGTGTTGCCAAACTCATATCTGACTTCTTCACGTGTGTTCTTCCAAATTATGCGCCTATTGCGCATTTCGCCAAAGGGTCGTAGAGCAGCCATCAATAACTGGGTGACAATGTGTGGCTTGGTTGTGTCACGATCCTCAACCTGGACCTCGTTTGCCTTCACGATTGTAGGTTGCATCTCTGGTACAGACATTGTGCTCATATCTGCGATCAAGGCGGAAATAGAACTGATGAATCCATTTTGTTCCAACACATCGCGAGGTAAAGACACCGTGGCGGCCGGAAAGTCTCTTCGAAGGCGGCCATGGTTGGCGAAGATGGAATGATTTTCCGGAGAAAGCTCAAAAGTTTCGAAAACCAGATGCTCCTGGCTCAAGTAAATGATTATGCCAGCATTTTGGGGTGCAATGTAGAGCGGGACCAAAAAGTCTACAGGGCGTTTGGGTTAGCTACCTACCTAGAAAGCAATGAACGCTGACGGCGGAAATCAACTTACCTTGACTTCTGAGCTGCTTGAGTACCGCCATGAGATCACGCGCTGAAATCATCCAGCTCACAGAGGTCAAGCTTCGGAACTTGTTAAGGGCCTGAGTTGCCAATCTAATAGAGGCCAAGTCAGACTCTTGCCACCCACAATGGCCAAAGTCTCTCAGGGCATTAGTCAAGGTAAGGGTGAGCGAGCCTTCCCACTGGTTCTGTGTCTCGTCGTCGCTTCCTGGAAGCTTTGGAGGCAGGAAGACATGGTGAAGGATATTCCCCAACCAAAGGTTGTCGGAAGGAGTGGCCATCTCGACCAGCCGCCGTGAGGAAGCTCACGACAGCAAACAGGGAGTCAGTGGAAGGGCTCGGAAGACGAAAACGAAAAAAGTGAAGACGATGAACCAAGGTCAAGGAAGGAGCAGAGAAAGCGGAAAGAATACAGGGCCAAAGGGAGTTCGCTAAAATAATCAACAAGAGAGAGAGATGTGAGGGGCAAAGAAAGGTGAGGTACCTAGGTAGGTAGGTAGGTAGCTAGGGAAGGAAGGCTAGGTGGGTTGCGTGCAAACTTTGGCGCGTGCAGCTTCAAAACAAAACACAAGCAAGAACCACGGCACAAGTCACTGCAGGTAGGATTGTGCCTGTCTTCCCCAGCTAAAATCTATCTCAAGGTACTTCGCTCACTGGTCTACAGCTGTGTGCGAGCCCTAGCGTACACTGCAACTGCCTGCTCTGACCCTTCGCGCCTTCTCGAGTGGTGGGCGTTGTCATAGTGGATGCCCCAGGCAGAAAGAAAGCCATCAAGCTGTTTTGTTGATGGCTACATGTGACTCTCGTGAGGCAGCGCTCAGGAAACGGACAGCCTTCACCAAGCTCTCCATCGCAGTGACACTATCACCAGCTGCAGTCTCCGCATTCACGTTGACGTTTGCTCAAGTGTCGAACCCGTGATCCACGTTCTCGAGAAACTCTACCTTCACCTCGACACCATCAGAACGAAACTTCTCTGCCGCTTTCTAGCTACGCTCAACCGCCAAGTCGTTGACGCCATGCAGGAGCATTCGAACTCAGTCAGTCACATTAGTGTGAGACAAGAGGAACAAACACCGGTGTTCCGCGAGTATCACTTCAGCTCCTTCTTCGACGATTCTACTTCCAATGCCGTCAACTCCAGTGGCGGAATCTACAAACACCCTTCCAGATGGGGCTGCGTAGCCATCGAAACCGCCGAGTGGGAAAGAGCTCATCGTGGAAGAGAATTTTCTGAGTTTGCCATCGACATCTACGAGACATGCCTGAGATCTAATGATCTGCTTACCACATCAACGAGTGCCAAAATGCGACATCTCCGAGCTCAACTCAATTAGGAAAATCGGGCCAGGTCGTCATTTTCCATTTCGAGTCAAGGGCGGACAAGGTGGAGAGACTAGGTTGAATAATTAGCTTGCCGTCAGCATGGCAGTGAATTTTGGCGGAGATAGGAAACTTGTAGGTCCGGAAACCTCGAGGGCCATGAATGTATTACTCACGCTGATCCTCCACCGCCAACCTCAAACCCCGGCTGGCGGGGGATTACTTTGACAAGGGTTGGAGGGCTCACGCTATAAAGGATTCGAGAAGGAACTTTGGCATGTCAGCTGTCTCCTGCATACAGTCAAGGAAACACATATCGATATCTCAAAATCAGCCATGCCGTCTCTCGCCCCCTTGGTCCCGTCAATTCTGCTCCTCGGAGCGGCACATCTGACTGGCGCAGTGCAAGTGCGACAGCTCTACCAGTTCCCCGAAGCGACCTTCACTGAGAACATCGCCGTTCGCTCCAACGGCCATCTACTCCTCAACACCTTTGCCAACGCCAGCACCTACACGCTGGACCCGAGCGCCGAGAACCCCAAGGCTGAGTTGATCGCCCAGGTGCCCGGCATCACGGGACTTACGGGAATTGCCCAAGTCGCCCACGATGTCTTCGCCGTTACTGGCGGCATCAGTGACATTGCCAACTATGCCTGGGAGGCTGGGACCGGCCAAACGGCCATCATAAACTTCAAGAAGTGCGAAAAGAACGGTAAGCCCACCGTGAAGACCGTAGCCAGGGGTGGCAACACGACCATGCTGAACGGCATGACTGCTCTGCCCAAGCATCCGCACATCGTCCTCCACGCGGGTTCAAAGGAAGGCAACATCTTCCGCACCAACACGGCAACGGGCGCCTTCGACATCGCCTTCCAAGACGAGAAGCTGGGAATCTCCGCCGGCGCACCCGTCCCGCTCGGTATCAACGGGCTGCATATCTTTGGAGACTACCTGTACTTCACCAACTCGGCCCAGCAGTTCTTCGGAAGGGTCAAGATTACCGACAAGGGCGACCGGGCTGGCGACATCGAGGAGATTGCGCGTGTCGAAACCGTGCCGGGAGGCGCCGCTTACGACGATTTTTCTCTGGCCCGCGACGGCACGGCTTACATTGGCCTGCACCCGCACTTCCTGGTCAAAGTTACCCCGGATGGAGAGCAAACCGTGCTCGTTGATGATTCGGGGGATATTGTGCTTGCGGGACCAACCTCCACTGCGCTCAGCAAGGACGAGAAGACGGTGTATGTTGTGACTGGAGGCACGACCGAGGCCAGCGGAGGCAGGGGACAAGTTGTGGCTGTCACGCTCTAATTGAGCAGTCCAAAGTCAGAGCAAGTCACAGAGACGTACTTGGATCGTGGAGTGAGACTCATAGAATCATTAGTTTGGCAACAATCAAAATCGACTCCAGGACTCCCACCCTTGACAACCATGTCATTCGTTCTTGAGCCACTGCATTGAGAAAATATCCGTATTCTTATTATAATTATCTCTCGTGTATGTATGCTCACTTCGCTTTAAATGCAGGAAAGTACCGAACCACGCCTAAATCAAGTGTTGCAACGCTCACAGGTTTTACATAGTACTCATGGGCCCCGGCACCGTCCGCAGCCGCTCGATCAGCCGGGCTGTCCTGGCCCGTGACAATAAACACGGTCGACTCGGCCCACTGCTTCTCCTTTTCCAGCTGTCGGATTGTCTGGGTCGCCTCGATGCCGTCGCAGATTGGCATCTGGAGGTCCATGAAGATGAGTTCAATTGGGCTCACCTTCCCGTCGGCGGCGTCGGCCTGGTGCTTGGAGTAGGCCTCGACCGCTTGCCTTCCGTCTTTTGCGCAGAGGTAGGGGAGCCCTCTTTTGGTGCAGTACATCTGCATGATGCGCAGGTTGATGGCGTTGTCGTCCACCAGCAGCGTCGTGGGTTTGGGGCCTCTCGTTGGGATTGGTACGCTGACCAGATTGGCCTCCCTTGTTTCTACGATGGGTATCGGGCTGGGCAGGGCCTCTGGTGCCACGGGTGCTGGCTCCGGTTCGGGTACTGGTTTGGGTGATTCTGGAATCGGGATTTCTGAGGGCTTCGGGTGTGTAGGGAGTTCTTTTTCGACGAGTCCTTCCTCCAACTGCGGCTGGTCAGGCGGCGGAGCGCTGGTCTCAGGCGGATCCTCTGGCAAAGTTCCGAGTTTTTCCAATCTTCTGTTTATTTCTTCGAGTGTTGAATGCATCTTTGATGTCAAAAATGGACCTGTAAGGAATATTATATCGTCGGAAGCTTGCTCAGAGCAATATTCATTCTCTGTAGTTGGAATTAAACAAACCCCAACCTTACCAGGCGGAATCTGTGGTTTATCACCATGTTTCAAATCGGCTAAATAATCAAGGACAGTGACGCAGCAATCTTCCTTCTGGTCTGAGCGAGTAAATCCGTTCCGAATGAGAAAGTTGGAGAAGCAGCTGTACAGTGAAAGGTCATCGGAGGATGGTTCCTTGACATAAAATTGCAAAAAAAGGCTCTGCGACTTGTGTGGTGCGGGTGATATTTGCGTTTGTGAAAACTCGACCTTGCGAAATGCGGCTCGAAAATGTGAGCCACGGCCAACGCTGGATGATTCCAAAGTGATGGCGCCATGAAGAAGTGTCGCGAACTTGGAAGCCAGTGTCAAGCCTAAACCTGCACCGCCAGAGTGCATGTCGACCTTTTCGTATGGCTCAAATATCCGTTGGTAGTCATCGGGACTGATCCCTCTACCGTTGTCTTCGATGTCGACGATGAGCTCCTTCGCATCAGTGTGCGCCGTGATTTTTACCTTTATTATCCCATCCTGCGTGTTCTGGATAGCGTTGATGACTAGCGGCAGCAGACAGTCCCGGAGAAGGCCGATGTCGATCTTGAAAGGAACATCATTGGTCGATTCGAAAAAGATCGACGACCTGTAGCGCGGATCTTCAACTAGCATCTTGTGGATCTCATCTCCCAGCTCCATCTCAAGATCATGGACGGTATGCACGGCATAACAACGATCAGCCATCGCAATGTCGGCCCACCTGTTCAAAGTAATCATGCTGTTCACTATCGAAATGAGATCTCTTCCGGCAATTTTGATGGTGTCCAGGTACAAGGAGGGCTCAGCAGCCCGGGTTTTTTCTTCGGCATCGGACGGTGGAGGCGTGGTTCCACTGGGGAGCTTGGGCTTTAATACCTCAGCCAGTAATTCGACGGATCCGAGAATTCCGTGGATTGGTGTTCGCAGTTGATGTGAAAACCCACGAAGAAACTTCTCCTTGGCAACCAAGGCCTCTTCTAGCAGCAACTTGTGCCAGAGTTGTGAGATCATGGTGGCGCAGAGCTGAACAAACCACAAGTCGATGTCGTCAAAGATGAGTCGGAAGTCGCGGGATGAGATGACTAAAAAGGAAGGTCCAGATATACTCTCGCACGGCGAAGTGAGGATACGCACCACCTTCGTCGATGGGGGCTCACGTTGGTTCGATTTGGCGATGAAGTCGTCGATGTAGTCGATGTCCTCCCACAAGCCGTTCTCAAAGTCAGACAGCGGGACAGACCCCTGTCCTTCGATGTCGATCTGGGCATCGCGGGAAGGCTGGAGAGTAATGGTGGCCTCGGGGTAGATTGTCTCAAGTATTTTGAAGACGGGCTCTTGAGAACTGGATTCATCAACCTCCCTCTGCGCGACGGCAGCCAACTCCCACATTCGACGTCGGTCCTTTTGGCGCCTTGCTCTCGCGCACTGCACGATATCAGCGGACACCCAGTCAGCAAGTCGGACGAGGGTTTGCTGCTGTATCTTTGTTAGAGGCTCCTGGCTAGTGCCTGACGCAACGCAAAGGGATCCAAGCCCGACACAGTCACCGTCGCTACTTTGCAAGCGCAGAGGAGCACCAGCATACGCCTGAAGCCCGCCAGATTCCGCATACGGCGATTTTTGATACCTCCAGTCCTCTAGCATGTTCGGCAATAGGAAGATGCTCTAAGAAATGATCAGCACGATATGGAAACACACGCGAGAGAGGAATGAGATGGAACCATACGCCCGGTGGTTGCGTCACAGTGTGCGCACAAAGGGTTTCACCTCGTGGGAGGATGGAGACGGGGACGCCCACGGTGGCGATGCGGATGTAGAAGTTGATATCGAGGATGCCGACGATGGCGAACTCCCAACCCGTCGACTCCTGGGCAAGCTGAACCTTCTCCTGCAGGCCAGCGCGGAATTCAGGCTCGTCGAGGATGCCCCGGGTGTAGTACCAGAGCATCGACAGCCTGAGTCTCTCATTGCGAGCGAGGAAAGCCCGCAGGTAGGGGTCCGTCAGGTATGGGGGTTTCTCCGGGATAGACGAGGGCGCAAACGGGTCCGACTTGGGAGGATAGAGGTTCTCTCCGGAGGCGAGAGGCCACGGCTCGATGGGCTTGTCGAAGTTGCGAGGGTCGTAGATGGGCCCCACGGTCTGTTCCCGGGCTGGAAGCGGTTCATGTTGGGCGGACAGGACAGCGGCGTCGGCGCGAGGGAAGAAGGACACGCCTGGCCTCCGTGTCGAAGTCATCGCTAATCCGGCATGTTTATGTTGTGTATGTGATGTGGAATCAGCTGTGTCCGGCTCCCCAGAAGGCGAGGGGCAGGTGCTTGCTGGAGGCAGCCGTGGAGGGATCCACCGAGCCTCGATCGATCGGCGATGCAGAGCAGGAAAATGGGCAGACGGGCTCGTGTGACCCTGCTCATCCGTAATTTAGCCCCTTTCGCTCCGCTGTTTTGGCACTTTGTTGAATCAATAACCCGACGCACCTTGCTGCATTAAGCTGGAAAAGGCTATATTTAATGTATTATGCAGGAACTAGGCCCAACGCTCGCTCGCGGCAGTCTCCGTGGTCCATGGAGCATTCTAGATTTTGCTGCACCATGGCGAGTCATTCTTCACGGCAGTGATGGCCATTATCGCAAGAGCCGGTCATATTTCTCTCATATTTGGTCTTAGTGTCGATTATGATCCTCATAAAAGACCGTTGACCCGAGATAAAGTGTTAAGGCTGGAGTGGGAGAGGAGGACATCCGGGCGTCGTCGGTTGTCGCTGTTTAACAATCACCTTCCCTGTCATCAAGTGATTACTCACATATTAGACACTCAAGAGGGTGACAAGAGAAATGAGACACCTAACGGATGAGAGGTTATACAGATTAGGTACTTTCTAAGATGGGATTCAGGAGTATGAATAAAATAAAGTAACAATATTTATTGTATTCTCTCTCAAGTATTTATTATTAGCCTTAATAGATCGGTAATACCGGTTGCAAACTCAAGAATAAGCAGCTCATTGTTCAAATATCCCAATTTCAATGTCACCCACTTAACACTCACTCACACATCAATTTCTACTAGTTTTAACTACGGAAACTAAATTAAAAGAATATTCAGACAGTTTCTTATCTAAAAAAGGATTGATAACACTTGTTGCCCGCGTCGTCGCAGCCCGCCAAGTCCTTCCAGAGAATATCGTGATTGAGCTATAGGGTAACTGATGTGTATGTAGGATTACGTAAGTGTGCCTCACGCACTTCCCGTCCAGAAACCGTGAATCTTCAAGACTTCGGCAATCGAGATGCCGCATCATCAAAGCAAATTACCCAAAGATGGCTCACTCGACGGGCTCGAATCAAGCCATAAAGCCGGGCTCGACTTTATTAAAATCGTTTGTTGGGGTTGCGGCCATCAAAAAGGGCTATGAAGGCGTGGATCGCGACAAGGCGAGTCACGACGAGTCAACAACAGTTCAGTCCATGCGTGTCAACCACTGACCAATTGGTGCCAGATCGCCCGAACCGTTTACGAAGCCTCCAAAGACTCGCTGTATTTCAGTCACCAACAAAAGAGAGATCAGGCGATAACTGAAAAGTGCAACGCGCTGGTGGAGAGGAAACGTCTACTGGAAGAATCCGATACTACGTCACAGCTCGTCCATGCTGATAAAGTTGTCGCTCGCCTCAAGGAGAATCGAGATCTTTCGCAGTCCATTGTCCATATCGATTGTGACGCGTTCTATGCTTCAGTCGAGCAGCATGATCGCCCTGACCTGAAAGACGTGCCCTTTGCCGTTGGGGATACCGTCGTTGCGGCTTGCAATTACATTGCTAGAAAGACTGGATGCCGAGCTGGCATGGTCATCGCGGTCGCCAAGAAGATGTGCCCCAATCTCACAATTGTCAAGCCCAACCATGATCGATATAGGGAGGTGATGGCGCAAATCTGCAAGGCAATGGAGAAGTACGATCCCGGGTATGAAATCTGCGGCACAGATGAAGCCTATCTCAACATCACCAAGTACTGCACTGAATTTGGCACTAAACCGTGGGATGTGGTCGAGAGTCTGCGAAAGGACATTAGACACGAGACAGGTATCGCAGTTGCTGCAGGAATTGCAGCCAACATCCAACTCGCAAAAATCAGTTCCACGTTCATCAAACCAGACGGCCAGTACCAGTTACCCAGCGAACCGGATATCATTATGGCCTTCATCAAAGATCTACCCGTGAGGAAGGTGACAGGGATTGGATACACTCTGGATCGCCAACTCGCTAGCATAGGCATTGCCACATGCGACGACATTTTCTCACAGCGACAATTCCTGAGGGACCTGTTTGGGGACCGGTTATTTGAATTTCTCCTCGAAGTTTACCTGGGATGCGGAAGAACCGAACTTCAAGCCACTTTGGAACAACAGAAAAAGAGTGCCAGTATAGAGCGCACTTTCAAAGAAACCTCAGCGCCCGACATAATTGAAAGAAACTTGCGGACGGTGTGCGAGGACGTCGAAGCCAAGCTCAAGGAGCTCAACCGTGCCGGACAGACTCTCACAGTAAAGGTCAAAATGAACGATTTCGAGTCGTATTCCAAGCAAATGAAGCTACCGAAAGCAATTAGTAGCGCTCGCGATATCTTCCAGCATTCCCTTCCATTTGTCAAGGCTACTGTGGCCAGCAAACCTCACCAGGCCTGCCGATTGCTTGGTGTGAGATTGACACAGCTTGTGAGCAAAGAATACACTCTCAGCGCAGCCTTTCAACGCATGGCGGATAGAAGTACGCATTCTGAGTCTGACTCCTTGTTGGGGGTGAAGGAAAAAGAGCTTCCCAGTCCGGCCGGAAAGCGAAAGCTGGGTGATAATCTTGAGAGTTGTGAATTGTCGCCACGGAAGAAGAAACTAAATCTTGCCACAGAGAGCTCGGAAATAAATCCCTTAGAATCATTCCGGTGCCCAAGTGAGATGATCCGATGCCCGATTTGCGATCAGGACCAGCCGCCAGACAACGTATTATTCAACCAGCACCTTGATATCTGTTTATCTTTGTCAGAAATTCAGAAATACAGTTGAGGAACAACCAATGCAGAACAGGAACCTTCGACATATGAAACAAAAGAACTTTTAGCGACTACTCGGAAGTGGAGCTTTCCCAAGAAGGGAGACTGACACTCATGGTGCCGTTTCTTGATCGTTGATATGACCATTTGCCAGAATCACAACCGCGGTTATAAGCGCCAGCTTCGCCAGGGACACGGGAGAAACTAGGCCGCTAGCTTTCACAGCAGAGAATGCCTCTCCATAGCGATGATAAGCTCGTCATAACGTCGATGCGAGGCTTTGGATAAGATCTAGCGAAGCCCAATCATGTGAAGGAGATGAAGAATCGCTACTATTCAAAACGATGTGTGTGGTCTTTGGGATTAGTGAGTTGGGAAGCTTTAACGATATTATCGGGCTGGAACCCTTGGAAATGTGGCAGACATATTAGAAGTGATTGAAGAATACCGGGAAACCACAAACATTATTGTCAGAGTCTTCACCTGTCCTACGTTATTGTAGCTTGCTTATCGTGGCTTAATAGCTAAGCGAACATCAATATTGTTCTTCATATTCCTAGGGCACTACGCCCTTCTAGGTAGATGCAGGCTAGAAATCTTATGTAGTAGACCACGTTGTAGATTGTCCTGGGGCTTGTAGGCTGAATATCATGGTTTACATGTATTTTGAACTTGAGCAAGCCATCCTTCTCCCCCTCTCTCCACCCCTTCACCGTTGCTCTACCAAGCCCTATCCACCCTCAACGCCTAGACCAGAGGCTCAAAGACTCATTCTTAGCAATCTTCTAGAGCGCTCCTGTAGGCGCAGCAAATTCGAAAGTCGTAAAGATTGTTGTTCTGTAGAGAGTCGATGGTGCAGTCATCTCCGACATAGTTGCCGCCAGCGATTCCGCAACAAGACTCGGTGGATTCAGGGATAGGCTCCTTGGTGCTGCTATGCAGGCACTTGCAGGCGGTCGCCGAAGTCGAGAAAATGGCAGCAGCCAACAAGAAGATGTTGGAGAATTGCATGGTGGGCTTGGAATGACAGTGTTGAATAAAATCTGTTAAGTTTAAAAGTGTTGATTGGTTGTTGAGTTGATTTGATATTTGTCTGTCCCGCTAAAAGCCAAGAACATTTCATCTGCTTTATATACTTCGGGATATTGTAATCTTCGAAGCTTGACAATATTTGTCAACTCTGACAAACGTTCTTTTTGTGCCCATATCCTGGCTGCATGCAAAATAAGTCTTTGCTTCCTTCTGCATGATGGCGTTGCCGACAAAGCCGATGTGACAAATGTTTCACTGTAGAGTTGCTGATCCATCCCCAGATCCAGTAGGTCCCCTCTCCGTGTATATGTAGACTTGAAAATTTTCCGGAACGAGCGGCCTTGAATTTCCCATAAAGAGAATCTACCAATACTCGCGGTCTGGCTGGATACCTAATCCGAGTATAAAGAGTGCCGAACCTGGCTGACTTTCCGCAGCGCGCGGCTTGTCGAGGCCCAGCTTCCTGCTCGAGCTAGCGTCAGATAATGCCTTATTTCATCACAGGGATCTTTGACTTGACAGGCAGGTCCATCTTTCCGCGCGCGCCTCTCGGCTCACTTGTCCCGGGTCATGGCCTCAATTGCCGATAGGGTTCCGTGATTGCTTGCCAGCTATATTCTCCGCTATCTTCTGCAACTCAGCAAATGCTATATGAATACGGCTGTTGTAACTTCCCTCAAAGAGGAGAGGAACTAAAGTGATTATTCCTATATTGGAAAGGATTGGAGCTTCCATATTGAGGATCAGGCTCCCTCGCCTCCTTCACTAGTTCCATTAGTATGCCATGGATGGAGCTCGAAATCAAAGTACCTCAGACCTTGAACCCTTTCTCGTCTTCTCTTCACCTATTCTTTTTAAGCCAGGCTCATCTACTTTTCTTTGATTAGACAGACGGTTTCTTGATATCCAATGACATAGGTTCATTTATTTCGTCGACTAACTGATCCTCGCTAAATCTAATTTATTTTTGTTAATAACGATGATACCTAGCTCTAAGCATGACTTAAAGCTATGGGACTGAATTGAATTTACTCCCCTCGGCGGTCTTACCTTTTTGAAGTTTGATTGAGGCCTAGTAATCCAACCTAGGCAGTGGCTCGATATATTGCGCTAGCTAACACCAGACTTCATAGGTTATGGGCTTAAGCATTGTCAGAGGATGACTGAGATCCGGGGTCGGAATGAAGACAATGAACACTTAATTAATACAGTTCAGGTTAGTCTTAGTTGAGTCTTGTAAGTACGCAATACCATGCTTTTTTTTATGGTTTGTAATTTCCTCTCCCAGGATGTAGACCTGATCCTGGATGGATATTGCTCTATTCTCACTGCCTTGAACAGTTTCTTGTGATTGGATAATGTAGTCCCTTTTCTCCCATTTTTTCTCTTCATTAAATATCCAGAAGAATAGAATTACGCTAGCCTAACCGGTCTCTTTCCTCCACCTCCATCTTTCTTTGTGAACCCCAAAGGAGTACTGTGGCTTTTCCTGCCCGGTGTTCACAGCTTGTTTGGTTTTCCAAGACAGAACTCCAGTGGCTGCAGATAATCATGCCCGTAATTACTTTTTGGGCCTTCGCGCAACGAATTGATTTTATATCCATCGGATATTCATCCACCGAAGTGGCATTTGGACCACACTATTCAACTTCTGGCAGCCAGAGAAAGACTATGGTCTCTAGACAGAAGCTAAAAACGGTATTTCACGAAAACATCGCTGCCATTAGATTGGGGCTGAGATACATATCTTGGCAAGTTTCTCTAAATTGTTGAACCGCAGATATGTACCAACCTGTTGCAGAAGCCACACCCAATAACCTGCCTGAGCAGGATGTAGGTTCCTCGGGCTGGCATAAGCTGACCTTTCCTGAAAGGACGGAAGTTCGCATGAGCTGAACGGAATTGACCACCATGGCCGCCCAAGATGGGCCGCACATGTGCTTTGCCGTCTATTCTTGCCACAGCGGTAGTGTAGGCTAGTCATAAGCTGATATTGGTGCCAAGTGGCGGCCAAGACCTTCGTATTATTAAAATACAAGGCTGGCGTCATAAGAGTATCTCATTCGCCGACGTAGTGACCTAAAGCGGCCAATGCATGAAGAGCTGAAAGTTCCAGGCGCGGAGTGGCCGAACGGCTGACACAAGGTTGCAGCTGAGTATGCACCTAAGCGCACTTCTATAATTATACTACGATGAGTCTTTTCTGTAGTCCGATGAATAGAAATGCAAATAAGTATTTAAACGCTCTTTCATCCTGCCCTTTTCTATTGCATCCGCGTACATCAGCTATTCAACAACCACCAACACAACGAATTCAAAGACCAAGAACAGTCTTACCTCTAGCGTCGATTTCAGACAATATTCCTTGATTCTGAAGGTTAGATAACCTCTTGCATACATATAGCGATGGACTGACACCCCTAAGTTTAGAAACAACTAGTCAAGAAACCATGTCCGGAGACCTTGAGGTTACATACAAGAAGCGTACTCGCGAGGCGGTTAGAGGTCGCCAAGGTCTCGACTGCCACGGCTGTGGAGACTGGATGGGTAAAGGATACTTGACGTACAAATTGTACTTGGAATGGCAATACGACGATGGTTCCTCTGGCGGCGAGTCGTACTTCTTCTGCAGCAATGATTGCCGGCAATATGAAGAAAATGATGTAAGAACTGCCCAAATCACGATGCTTTGATGGATAAGGAAGCTCTAACACTTCATTTTCACAAATAGTTGCCTTGATGAGAGAGTGTGGAGATCAGCTGAGGTCTTGATATACGAGTTCCAGCTCCCTGAACTCAAATCGTCAAGGGCCACGGTCATTGTAAGCATCGTGTGAAGGACGTTTCCAAAGACAGATTCAGCTCTAGCTATCTATTTTATAAGCTTTCAACTAAAAAGTCTGTATTGCCATTGTAATCGGTGGTCCAGTGTTCACTCGTGATAATTGTAGGGGAGGTATTTATTTCGTGCGCGTTTCCCATACCAGGCTAATACCAACCAAAACAAGTGTATATGTTACTTCGACAAATAATGTACTAATAAATCGCCGGTCTTCGTAATAAAATGTAGTTCAGACAATGGAAGAATGGATGCACTGACATCAAATCGGGCAGTTGATACTTGAGTGTAATGTCAAAACAGGAAAGACGGAATTTAACTCATTCGAGAAACTAGTAGATTTCAGATTGTAATAAGAGAATCAATATCGGTGAAAGTCCGGGTTGAGGTGATGAACACGGTCGACTGCCTCTCAAACTCCGAAGTGAATAATTGGGACCCAGAGTGGTGGTTTTCGCCCGGATTCCGGCGTTGCTGTTCTCTCCCACACCACAGTATTCCTAGTTGAGCCCTTAGAACTAATCCACCCCTTTCGAAGATCCCTGATTGTGTGATGGAGGCCCTCACTAACTGAGCGGTCATTCAGCCCCTTGTTTATCATCCACTCATATGTCTTGACCGCAACAGTAGCGCTCGTCTCATCTTGAACTTCCCACAATGTGCCAATTACATGTCGGAATCCCGCAAGTTGACAGGCCGCGGTGATGTGAAGCCTTTCTCCTTCTCCATGATGCATGTGCCCTGTTTTGCAAGCTGACAGATAGGCCAGAAATGGTGCCTGACTGGACAGATTCGCCTCACAAAGGTGTGAGACTGTCAAAGGGTTCAAGTTCCAGTCCTTCAATAAGAGCTGACTTTTCATGGGCTGACTATGGTCACTCTCGCCGTGGCCCGCGAAATGGAAAATCTTCCGATGATCTAGGGCTGCTAAGACACTCTCATGTGTTGGCTGAGGTTTACTGACTAGGAACTTGGCGTCACTGAAGACCTTGTCTAATTGAGCAACTTCACGTGAAACAAATGGCAGCCTATTATGACCAGGCGTTTCTTCCATGGCCACTAAGACAACACTCTTTTCGCTTGGTTCTTCAAATGTTGCGCAATGGCGAGAGCGCATGCGAAGCAACATGTATATGGTGGTACTGTAGGACGAAATTACCCGATCCAGCACTCCATCACATGGCGACCGAGAGTAAATCCCAGCAGCGTGGATAGGGAAATTTGAGAGGACACCTGTGGGGATCCACCAAACATGTGGCCAATTATCATCTGAGGGGGTGTTGGTGAAACCTAATTCATTAAGAATCGGTTGCGCTATTTTCTTCCAGATGTACTCAAGGGACTGGGAACTCCCACTCGCAACATGTCTTTCTAGTTCCTCAAATCTACTGTATTCAGGTTTCCTATACTCCTCTGACGGAGGATCGCGGAGGAGAGGCAACTTCCTCGTTCCGTTCTTGTCAACGATGAGAGCGTCACATTGGAATGTAGTCATGTTTATGATGATAATGGGGCCTCGTTCTGCAGCAGCTCTGAGATCGTCTTCGGACAAGGCCGTTTCGCCGCGCGTAAAGCCAGGAATGTTGCCAATCTCCGTTCTCAGGGCTTCTAGCATCTCCCCTGCCTCATGACGAGGGTTTCCCTGACCTTGCGACGGGCCCTCTGTCTGTAATCGGAGAGCAGCGAGCTTGTCCGCAAGATCTGCGTGCGTTTCTCGGAGACGGGTTTCCGTCTCCCACAGGTCGTTCTTGAACTTTGAAATAAGCCCCCTCCCCTGCTCCAGATGCTGAATCGCATCGAACGCCGGCTTGCCACATCTTAGGGCCAACGCGGCAAGCTGGGGGCCGACGACTGATGCTCTCTCGAGTAGGCGAAGCTTGTCGTCAACCTGTAGAGATGGCGATATGAGGAGAGGGATGATGTTCATTGTTTTCAATGCAGCTTCGTAGGCTTCAGCCCAGCGTGGAGGATCAAGGGTTCTATAGCCCTCCATTAGATACAGACCTGCTTCGAGCCGATCATGAGCAGAGCCGTGGTCGTAAGAGAGGGCCTTTTCCCAGCAATCAAGAGCTTTCTTGTAATCCTCCTCCTCATCACTGATATAGTACAGTAACTCATACCCTTCCCCGAGGCCACTGAGACGGCCAGAGAGCGATGGGTGTCCATGTGGTGTCTGGCTCAGTGCGTGCTCCTTCAATTTAATCGAGTGTTCAAGATCTGTCATGTCTATCTTCTCAAGTAATTCTGGCGTGTTCGGTAGGCCTAAGTACTTTTCATACTTGTGCTTGAATCTATAATGATAGTTCATCCCAAGATTGTAGCGAATGTATGGCCGCTCTGTTGTTGTCGAGGCAAGTTCCAGGGCTTCTTTGTTGAGCTCAATTGATTTTTCTAGGTGTCCGATATCACTCTCATGATCCTCAGTAGAAAATTGAGTTGCGTAAGAGTTTGCCAGGCTAGACACCATCTCGGCTCGTCTGTGATCATATTTTTCAAGCAAGCGCAAGGCTTCAGTCTTGTATTTTATGGACTCCTTGAGACTGTGCGGATCGTTAAGCTGCCTGAACATATCGTTGTAAACGGAACCAAGATGTATCAGTCGCCCCGCTTGATCGAGGTCATGTCCAGAAGTAATGCCTAATGATGCTTCAATGCATTTGATTGATAGATCAAGATCCTCTGTCGAACCGGTTTTACTGTTTCGGTCCCGATATGCAGTGCCGAGACATTTCATGAGCACTGGTACATCTGGATGATCAGATGGGAGTAGAGATTGTGCTTTCTTGTACAGGTCGATACATTCTCTCAGGTGCTCCATGTTTCCAGTTCCTTGGTGCAAGTTTCCATACGCAACCCCTAGACGGAGCTTCCGGACCCCTTTAGCTGATTCAGATTGCTCTTGCTCAACTGCCGTTTGCATAAGATCTATGGCCCTGCCAAGGTCGTCCAAGGAGCCATCACAGAAGTATTTGTTGTAATAGAGGTCCCCAAGAAGACCAAGCCAACGTATCCATTCAGGTTCGAAAAGCCCCGTTTCCTCAGGTGTGTTCCCACCAGCCAAAGCTGACTCGGCTCTGTCGATGAAGGCGTCCCAGTAATAAATTGCCCAGTTACGGTCATCGGCTTGTTTGAATGCAATGAAACTATCATGGTGCGCCTTGCCGATTTGTTTGAAGGTATCAAACAGCCCAATATCGTCATCGGGAGTCAACTCAATTGCATCGTTATGTGTTGCAATAGAGTTGGAAGCACATGTCTCGTCTCCTGTTTCGTTGAACATGTCAAGGTATGATTCACCAAGACGTCTCAAGGCGAGTAATTGGCTTCTGTCCTGTTTTGTAGTCTGCGCTATCACTTGCTTGAAAAGCTCAATGCTTCTTTCGAGGTCCTGTATTCTCCCCTCGCGATCATCGGGCTCATCGTATTTCTTTCTGTCGTATTCATTCTGGAAGTCAAGCCCTTCGTGCAAGATGTCGGATATTGTGTCTTTGTTGTAAGTCGCTCCCATCGTGAAACACTGTTTCAGCTTGGTAAATGGGTCAACGAAAGGGTTGCGAAGCCTGGTATTCCTTGTTTCGGTGGTCGTTAATCAAATCACTGAGCCCAGCTTAAGTATTGGGGAGTATCAAACCCAGTAATCGAGCACTTGGATAGCAGTCAAGTATTTGATAAGTGTTCAATATATGTTGACTTTGTGTGGATAAGTTGCTAGTTTATGATGAACTCAAGATGATTGCCCAAGTGCTGTATACAATGCCCCATTTAGCGTTCCGCGGATGCTCTGAGGGACACGGGCTGAGCCGCTACTAAACCAAAGGTAGTCAGTGCGTTAACCAGGGGAGCAACTTGTTCCCTTTTTGTCATTGATACCCGTTGGTTCTCTTTTATGCAGTAAGAAAGTAGTAAGTGCCACGTAACATCGCGCCTTACGGCTGAGCAGGAGCCGCCCGACACTTCTCAGCTGATACAGCCTCAAGTTGAATATCGGAATGGCGGAAGCGATACTCTGTGATTATTGGTTGATCTCGCTTTGCTAAACAGGCTAGGTTTTCAGCTGGCCTAGGACGTAGCCCGCCAATGCAAGCCATATGCTTGGCATTGCAGGGAGGAAAAGTAACTCGTCTCCTCATTAGGTCAGATGACACGTACAGCTGTTCCAAAACGTATATGATAGGCCAGTCCCAACTTCACAATTGTGACCTCCGAGAGCGCTATGTAGCTAGATTCCTACCCGAACCCTAGATCAATATTGTCCCGCCCTCCAAAAGCTTGGCATTGTCCATACTCTGACCGAAAGGTGCAGTGCGTAAGACGGTTTTCGCCTTGCCCGAGTTAATAGCATTAACTGTCCAAATTGGGGATTATACCCCGAGCTTTTGTACTTTGCTTACTGATAACTGTTAGTCTATTAATTGGAGTCTATTTAATTTCCTCTTGCTTTGTTTTCCCCCTTATAAATCCTAAATTAAATTCTATCCAAGATAGACTTCCTTAGATAAACACTATCAGGAAGAATATCAGCTCCTCTGAAATCTTTAGTATATTAGAACTGCAAACTAAAGATAACAAAAGCAAGTCAATAGCACACCATTCCGTCTTAGGACGCGCTGCTGTGGCAGCCTCTGGGGTCGAGAAAAGGCGACGCCTCAACAGGGGGCCTGGGGAGTTGGGCGGCTATGAGTGATCTTGTATTGGCTCTAGGCAACAGTAAGATGCAAGAACTTCCGTTTTTTCTTCACTTTTCTTTTTTGTTGGCTGTGTCAGCCGTCCCACCTGCCATGCAACCAAGGCTCATCAGCTGGCTGACACTGGAAGAATTCACAGCCCCCTTCTCGGCGTTTGTACTTCAGGCGTGGCACAGTGTAATTGGGCATTCTCACTCATGCACGGATGATATTGCATGCTCTGTACTAGCTGCCTTTCGCCAAGAGTGCTGCCGATAGGTGCGGGAAAGCGTATTGCAGACAGCCAGCAGATGACAAAATCGAATGTTAGGAAACGAAGTGAGTAATGCTGCGTGAGCATTAAAAGCATAAAAAAGCGGCATAAGTTTGCCCACAACATCTATTGTGCGAGTCTGCGGTAGAAACCGAAGCACCCAGCAAAGTGGGTGACATAAGAAATGAGATACCTAATAGAATAGTTAGCTATTACTCGACTACTTTTTGCAAGAAATAGAGAATTTTAGAAGTATAAAACAGAAGAAAGTAACAATAAATACGGTATTTATATTTTATTGGAACTCAATAATCTGATAATACCGGTCGTAGACTTGGGAATAAGCAGCTATTGTTCGAGTGTCTTAATTCAATATCACCCACTTGCCAGCCTGAGCTTACCATAATAAGCGACCTGAGCAGGTATGTATAATTAGTAATTATGAAAAGTTCATGACTATTATACATATAAGCAAGTGGCATTAGACCAGGTTCAGACCCTAAGAAGTTCCTTCCATTCTCAGTGGGCAGGTTAATCATTTTTGAGATCATGGTCATTCAGCAGGTTTGCCTATGCTTGCTTCTTTTTGCCAAGTGCGGATGGCGAGGGCACTTCCTGCTGTTCATGATCGCATAGGCCCCTGCGCACAGGGATGCACCTGAAGTTAGTCTCGATTAACATGATTTCTCTTAGCATGGCCTTTGGAGCATATCCTGCACCTGACAGTCTTCCTTGGATACAGAGCAATCCAAGAGAGGGGATCTTTATGCGATTGTAGCAGGTTATTGCAGAACAACAAGTTACATAATGGCGCATTTGCCGCGGCTGGTTGCTCGGTCGAGATCTTGCTCGCCTGTCTCCTTGTTCGACCGACCACCTGTGCCGTTTACATTGCTAGTGCTGTCACGGTCATATTCTCTAATCTCCCTGACAATGTCATAAAATGCATTCTCGACATTGGCTCCTGACTTGGCCGAGGTCTCGATAAAGCGGCAGCCGAATTGGCGCGCGAGCTGCTCGCCCTCTGTGTCCTATGTCAGCGTTGTTTTCATGCTGTAACGGGCTTTGCGTAGATGATACGCACCTTCGGTTAATACCGCGCGCTCGCCCTCAAGATCGCACTTGTTGCCGACGACGATGATGGGGAAAGAGTCCTTTTCCTTCACCCTCAGGATCCGCTGCTGGAAGAACTTGATTTCCTCGAACGAGTGCTTTGAGGTGATGCTATAGACAAGCAGGAAGCCCTCGCCTGGGCGTATGAAATCCTCCCGCATGGCCATGTACTCTTCTTGGCCTGCAGTGTCAAAGACATCGAGCAGGACGGCCTCAACATCGATGACGCATTTCTTACGGAAGGAGTCTTTTTGTTACAGATCAGCTGGGCCCTCTCTAGTTCAGGACTTGTTACGCAGGCGTACCTTCGATTGTGGGGTCATAGCTGTCGACAAAGGCGCCTTGGATGAACTGGAGGGTCAGGCATGATTTACCGACAGCACCGCCGCCGACGACCACCACTTTGTACTCCTGGGAGGGCTTTTTTGCCATTGTGCTCCGACGGTGCTTCCCTAATCGCGATTCTGCGTATGTGCGTGCTCGCACGTGTGTGTTGAAAAGGCCGATAGAGAGTTGTAGTCCGTTTGCAGGCGAGAAGTCGTGAACAGGTGCGACTCTTGCGCGGCTGTCGTTAGGGCAGATACAGAGTCGAGGCTAGTGGGTTGAATCAAGAAGATGCGGTGCTGGTGGACGGATGGTCGATGGGAAGCGGTCATAGGCATGAGATAGAAACAAGCGATGATGGAGCGACATGGATGTAGTTCAAGTCAAACACATCGGATGTGGGGAAAGTCGGCTTATATAGCCTTTTCGCGGGGAAGGCTGGCGGCTTACGCTAAGCACCTAAAAATACATTGTGCACACTCAGCGGAGGAGCAGTGTCAGACCAGGACTTTTTTTCATGGCAAATCCATAAGCTAAAAGGAAGTTTACATATCAAGAGACAATGGTGTGCCTGGATTCCCTTTGTACTTGAAGAGATCATCTGTCACATTCAATCTTCACTACGCTATTCAATCGAAGACCGAAACGTCAGACCCGAGATCAAAACCAGAACCAGAATCAAAGATTCAAGATGCAATTTACCACAGTTACTATCCTCCTTTTCTCGGCCATTGCTGGCCATGTCCAAGCTGAACCTGTCCCTGGCAACTCCCTGAGATCATTGAACGGAGCCTTGACCTGCACGTCTTACCGTGTCATGCCAAACAAGAAGGTTTCACTTCCATGCAATAAATTGATCGAATGCAAATTGAAGATAAAAAAGACCACATCGATTCCACGCGGCACTCACCCGGACACCAAGGCACTTTGGAAAAAAATGGCCGGCGAGTGCAAGGCGAAATGTTCTTGAAAGTAAAGATGATCTCGATACAACAATCTTGCTTTCCTAAGCGCCCCGGCTGTTAATGTTGACAACATCATATGTGATATTTTCATTCTTGAACACCTTCGGATGGTTCTTGCTGTGGGGTAATGGGAGATAGCTGGGTTGGGGGTACGCGGTGTCTATTTGTTTCCCACTTTGGCTGCGGCAGCTGCGGCTGGATTGCATGGTGATGATCCTTGGGATATATGATAGATGTGCCAATCTAAAGGTTTCTGCGCTGTTGGTCAGCTACATCTCGGATCAATCTGTGCCTTTCAGTAGTAGTTCTAATAAGCGAGCTCGCCTTGAGTGTTCGAATAGGTTACTAGCAAGAGACTACCGCTAACATGAACCGACCAAGGTTGTTGGTCTTTGGATTCGACAAGAGGGCACTTGGCGGCGGTGCAGCACCAAGAGCTGGTCTAAGATCAATGACCAAAGATACTACACGATCAGTATATGTCGCTCTCCGTGTGCAGTGGCAATTGCAAAGCCATGTACTGACAGAGATCTAGTTGCTTGGAGCCGTAGTGTCCACCGCCACCTCCACCACGTCTTTGTCTTCGGCCACCGGAACTGCCACTACCACCTCGCAGCCGAAGCTTCGATCGAACACCTCGACTTTGTACGCAGGTATCTGGCTTAATTATTGTATGTGAAGATCTCTTTAACATAATGAAATGCAAGAGTTAACGCCCATCACTGCGCGCCGAGCCAAACCCGTGCCGAGCCAGAATGCAGGTACTTTGGCTTTCAATCAATCTTAACCTCCACCACATCGGTGCCCTCGTTCAAATCTATATCTATCCTATTAATACAGTACTTGCAAGTTCTCATATGATCGAAGATTGAAGGGGGAGGAACTATATCTAGTCGTGTAGTGATATAAACTTCTAGTTCTACGCTGTAGACAATATACCTAAGGTATAAGAGAGAGCCGGAAAATGCGATCGACACGTAATTAACACTTTATTATCCCTTTTTTTCAAGTACTCTACTTCCTAGTCCGCGTTACTCCGTAGTAAAAGTACTTACACTACTTTTGCTACCTGTACATTAAGCTCCAACAAAGTAAGACCTTAAATATCTTGGAGAGAATATCAAGTTAAGGAAACTTAAAGAACTCATTTACAAGTCACTAAAGCGCATTAGAGATGTTTGAAGTCGCTATAGTTTAGCGGAAAGACGGTCTTAAATAGCACATTTCACTTATTATATTCTATTGTTCCGAAGAACGAAGTTAGTAGAAGGAAGTGACTTAGGGATAGCAGTAGTACTACTCTAGCGATGATCGGTACAAGAAGGAGTACTTAGGGATACCGGAGACTTAGTCAGCCAAGCGTGGTTAGGCGGCTTCAAGTACAGTACTCCGTTCCTTTCTGCCTAGCGTCCGAGTTATAGAAATGCCATTTTGTATAATGGGCCTGAATATAGGCCAACGTCCACGGAGGGCGGCTAACTCAGGCACAATCCTGGTCAACTCAGGCATAATTGGGGTCAGCTCAGGCATAATTGAGGTCAGCTCAGGGCTGATTATGTAGTAATAATGCCTCAGGCTGAACCGCCAAGAGGTCAGGTCTGAAAGTGGAAAGGGACTTTGGTGACATCGGTTTTTACCGTAGACTACATGGCGTCAGATAATTGGCTGTACTGTGTGTGTTGTTGTGGCTAACGCCTGCATTCTCGGCTGCGCGAGATATGCAAATGGCGGGAAGTCACTTTCCTAGGTTTTTACTAGGGTCTATAGAGATAAGGTACATGCTGGGTTTCTGACCCAGGATTCTTAATTGATTCCTCCGTCTTCTGACATATGGCGAGTCTTATCTACCGGTCAAAGAATAGAACTACCCAATATTCAACTGAACAAACTTTTTCAAGCCGACACGATGTCCAACCAAGCTATCGCCGTCCAAAAGCGCGCTCTACTTATCGGATGTCCCACCGGGAGTCTCACTGGTGTTGAAAATGATTTGGATAGAATGGAAACCATCTTGGGCAGGTATGGGTTCGCAAGTACGAGGTGCTTTCCAGCGACAAAGGCCCAGATAATTACCGCCTGGGGAGACATCGTTGAGAAAACCTCTCAAGGGGATGCCCTGGTCATTTATTACTCTGGCCACGGAGGCATGGCCGAAAGACAGGCAGATGCAAATTCCAAGAGAGGCCGCCAACGTTTGCTGTACCTCGTCCCAATGGACTTCGAAAATTCGAAAGAGGATGACTGGAGGGGAATTTCGGATATAGAGCTATCGAAGCTGCTCCACAAGGCGACCGACAAGACAGACAATGTGACCCTTATATTGGACTGCTGCCACTCAGCCCGTATGGCAAGGGCGCCAGGGATAGTCAAGTCCATCGATCCCCACGATTATCGTGAGATCCTCGAGCACATTACGAAAATGATGGCCGAGGGTCAATTCGGCGACGTGGATTTCCACATTGAAAGGAACCCAAAACCCATCTGCGTGGTCGCAGCCGCTGAGACTGATAGTGCCTATGAAAGGAGCTTCCCAGTCTCTACTAAAATTATCCGGATGAGTGTTCTGGTAGAAGCTCTCGACAAAGCCCTTCCAGGAGAGAATGAGCAGAACCCTAGGGCCTCATGGAGAAGCATCATGCTTCGAATCAAAGATCGTTTGAGAATTAATTGCCCATCTCAATCTCCCCAAATTGAAGGCGACGACCTGCGATTTGCATTCAGCCTAGACAAAGCTGACCCGCATGGCGCCATACCTATCTCATTGGATAATGGGAAGCTGGTGCTACATGGTGGACATCTTCATGGGTTGAAAAAGGATGACGTGTATGTCGTGGTGCCATTCGATGACGAACGATTGGATCCGAATAGGCAAATTGCAGAGGTTATTGTCGACCGGGTTGGACCTACAGAGTCACATGGTTCCTTCACGGGCAACCCACCACCCCCCTTTGATGATGGGGTGAAAGCATTTCCTAAGGGCAATAGTCTAGCAGAAATGGCGGTCGAATTGCGTTGTTCGGATGAATTTGCCGATCAGATTCGATCTTCTCTCAAGGACTCCAAATTCCTCCGCGTTCCCGACACGGATGATGACCTTATCTTGGCCACTATAGAAGTAAACAGCTCTAAATTATCAGTCCACAGCCATGAGGGTTATGGCGGCGAAGAAGAAAAGGCCACAGTCTTGCTAGCGGAGTGGCAACTCGGCGAAGGGGAAAGCATGAATGTTTTGATTGACAAAAGCGTGGCGATATTAGAGTCCCTGGCTCGCTCTCGGCACCTATTGTCACTGCAAGAAATTACAAAAGAAATTACACAAGAAAATACACAAGAAAATACACCAAAGAAATCTCTTTCAAGAAAAGTTGATATTGAAATGGGTATAGTCATTGACGGTCAACCCCTACCATACTCTCCGGGAACTGTGACCGTACAGGAAGGAGAAAATCTGTATGTCAAGATTCGCAATACCGGCGATTCAAAATTATGGGTTTCTATATTCGACATCTGCGCTGAATCTGTCATATTGCTTTCAGACGGAAGCCCTACAGGTTATGAGATCAGTCAAGGCGAGGTTTATACATTTGGCGACGAAGACTTTTGCGACGGCGGATTGATTGGGACTGAGATGAAGTGGCCAGAGTGGGTGCCGAAAGCGAGACAGATACGTGAAACCTTCGTAATCGTGGTCACAGATGGCCCCATCGACCTTCGCGGCCTCACAACCAGCTCGAATACTCCTCGAGGCACCAATGATATCTCGGCCTTGATTGAGTTAATGGATGGTCTTGGTTCTGGGGGCGGTCGACCCGCTGCACCCGAGAGTCAGCGACGCGGGCAATTTCGAAGATACGGGATCCACCGATTGTTCCTCCAGTTGCAGGCAAAAGCCTTTTCTGTATGACGTTGCTCAGAAACGCTAAATTTAAATTTGTCGCTGAATCTTCCACGTTCTAAGTATGGTACTTCCCAATGTTCAGGAGTTAAGGGCAGGGCAAGGCTAAGTTGAGATCAAGTTTCATAGATCGGGATAGTAGGTATGAAAAAGGACTTGATCGGCTTGCCTCAAATTGCAACATGTGAGAATAGGAGGACTTCCATGTATGGACTGGTATAGTACTTTGCAAACTGAGCCAAATTTGATTGATCGAAGGCTTCAACGCTATATGTCCCATGCTTCATGTTTGACGGGCTCGACTTCAATCTGATGACGTGTACAGCGAGGGGGCTCGCCAACGTAGACCAAGTCGCAAGGAAACGAAAACAGCTTTGTGACAGCGCCCCAATCCCCTGAAACTTCCTTATCCGCAACGATACAGATCGATACAGGGAGTTGCAAATCCTCGGATCAACGATGTATAGTCATGAGAGTGGGTTAGGACTGGAGAAAATGTCGACAGTGCAGGCAGACACACCCTAGTTCAAAGCTTTCAGTCCCTCGGAGCGTTAAGCCGGTTTAGCCTGATGTTCATCGTACGGCACAACCCTCAGGTTCGGCTTATTGTTGAAATACACCTTGCAGCCGGCTTCCACCTTGTCATTTTCAATAAACAATTTCTTTTCGGGGCCGGTGAAGATACTGATGACACCAAATCCATTTTTGCTTGTCCAAAGGGGGAAAAGTCCAACGGATCCCTCAGCATCCTGGCCTTGAGGGGGAAGTGTCTTCCTGGTAGCGGGCGTGAGAAAAGTCTGCAAGTAAACCAATCAGTATCCGTAACGCGTGGCAACTTTGGGGTGTGGCGGAAGGGCCCGACGCATGATATCTACCGCAGTACTGAAGCTTAGTCCACCGCCCGTCGCAGAGGCGTTGAATTCCCATCCCGTCAGTAAACGCTCCGGGCGAAACTGGGAGACCACCACGTTGATTTCTTCATCGTGTTCATTCACAACCCATATGTAAGGTGGCACACGTTTGATGGCTCGTACAAGCGCGCCGGCGTATCCCTTTTCTCGAAGTCAGTATCTCAAATCAGAGTAAGGTGTATAAATGGGGTTTGGACCTTTTTCTCTTCGGGCTCAGGTGGGAGGCGATTGATTGTCTCAGGTGTTGGGAGATCTGATGCCACAACAGGTTGGGTATCTAGCTCCTCTTTTCGGGCTATTTGGCCGCTGGTAGGGCCGAAGATCGGATGGTCCATTTACAACCTGAGTCGCGAGGATACTCACGGATAGTGATTTGAATATCCTAGGTTGACCGAGAGGTAGGGTAGAGTAACATGCCACTCTTCGGAAGAAGTGTCAAGGAACGCGGGAGCAAAGCACAGGATGAAACGTAAGGAATAAAAACCTGGGATATCTGGCTGCCAGCTCATCACCATCCCCATTGGGATAATTAAATGGAGATGGAGCGGGGTAATCTCAGCTAAGCCATGGATGACGAGGCATATTCGTAAAGGTACTATTTGAGTCTGTCATGTGAATGGATGTTATATGCTCTGTTAATTCTGACCACAAGGAATAAAAAGAAGGCAAGCAAGTATGCGGCCCACTAAAATAAGGATGGAGCAATGATAGATTTCGTGAAATATTCTCAACGTTTCGCTACTCATATAACCAATATTTTCTTATTCCTAGACACACTATGCAGTCTATATATCGTAGTAGTTGTTCTAAATTACAAAATTTGTGTATTTTGTGTATTGTGTTGAGACATAGGGTCGGGCATCTTCTGTTGTCGTTTAACTTTATACTCGAACCCTCTTTCGCCTTACTTATTTTTCCAACCCTCATGATAGCTCTAGATCCTACTATGTCTTATTTCATGAACATTTGACCCTCTGTGATGGCGTTACCAATGAGGTTTCCCTAGGGTCTTGGTAGATTTCAAGGCTTTTGCTTAGATCTTAGTAGGGCCGCCGTCTCAATTTTGCTAAGTTCTCGAATCGAGTTTTGTTGTTTTCTGTACACGAACCCCCCGGGTTTGTCAATTTCCGCTTCTGCTCTAGCGGTATTACTTATTTCTCCGCCCTAGATTTTAGTGTCTCGACAATTCAACGCTTGTTCTCACTATTGATATTGATGATAACTAAACCACCATCAGCCACTTAATCGACACTAGCTCGCTGCGATCGGCAAAACAGAACCGATTCAGGGGCACATTATCTATGATTGGCTTCCAAGTAATTGGTTCGATTCAAAGTCGTCGCATGCTTGAAACGGGAGGAGTTCAGTATTGGTGCGTGCGAGGAGTGGCGCTGCTTCCTTAACAAACCAATATCCTTACAAAAAGACTCACATCGTGGTAGCTAGCCATGATCAGGATGAAAGTTAGGCTCGCGGCATCTCTCACCGGATAACAGCATGGTTTGCCTCTCGTACCATGGGGTTGGATAACACCAGCTAGACCCCTGGTCCTTTCAAGCAATAGCGCGACATCGAGATTAGAGCAGCCAGCCTATTATGGCTTATAATGCCGGTCAAGGCCGGCTGACAAACGGCGTAAAATTGCTTTGTGCTTTATTATCTCCCCATCCCTGTGTCCGTTGCCCGCATCCGTGCCTTCGCTTCATCAACTCCATACACTCGTTTCTCGGCCTCACGCCAGCCTTCCTATTGGAAGTAGACATTCTTTTGCACCAGTCACTCCTTTTAACTTGAACCGTACCTTTACCGTTTCTTGCCTTCCACGGAGTTGGTCGTTTGTTTTATTCCTTTGGACGACGCAAGGAAAGCAAGTAAAATGCGGTGGCTACCACTTACTCAGTCACTTCTTCTGGCTGCCATCTCGGTTTTTCCGGTAGCTGCCATCACAACTTTGCCAGCAAGTTGCGGACAGAACCTGTTCGCGAACCCATCGTTTGAGAATGGAGTTACAGCAGTTCCTGGATGGACCTACCAGTTCACTCCCGGAGAGTCCACCGACCAGCAGAGTGATGGAGCAAAGTCCATGTCAATGTTGGTACACCTCTTTGGATAGGTTGCCATTACATACTGATAGCGATATGCAGGCTCACGAGTCCATCGGCCAACAATTTCGGGCAAACAGTGTACGGCCTGGACGTGACCCAACTATACGAGATCACTATCGATTACAAAGCTATTGTGAACCCCAGCGCCGCGACCGGATTCACATGTTACATCTCTGTCTACTTGTCCATTCCTTTCGGCTCAGTCTATCAAACCGGCGCTTTGACTTTCACCGCAGATGGCAACGACAAAGGATGGAGCACGCTTAGGGCTCCTGGAATGAGACTGCCATACCCAGACGGAGTATTCATCGGCTTTAATGTTTACTGCATGGCGCCAGCGGGGGGTTCTATCACTGGGGCAGGCACTCTCTATTTCGACAACGCCATAGTTGCAGTCCCATGCCCCGTGTCGTCAACGACTGACATCTCCACTCCATCCGCGCCAGCATCGACTCCGTCGACAACCTTGCTATCTTCTACCCCGACTCCTGTTGCCTCTTCAACCTCTGATCAGCTGGCGTCAACAACTCCTTCCGATCCACCAACCACCCCCAGCTCCTCGACTCCAGGTACAGATGCTGTCACGCCAACAGCAACGACGCCAGATTCATCTGTCACTACACCAGTCGTTACTCCCACCACCCTTTCGACTGTAACAACGCCTATCTCGTCTACCGAGAGCCCAGTGTCCGATTCAAACTCCACAACTTCGACGCCGACAGATTTTGCCTCTGCACCTACACCAACACCTTCTCGTAGACCTTGTAGGAGCCGCCGCATGCGTAGATCTGAACCACTGTCTGAGATGGGAATTTAGGGAGGAGAGGCTTATGACTGGCTCTTGTACTCGATAGACTTGCGATGTAAAGCGTTAATTTCACTACTTTGAAACTCGGGAATGCGGTCATTTTCTAGCCAATTGTTGACAGCTGTAGTGCAGAGAACTTTGAGTCCAAGATTTGTGAAAATATCGAAGAAAGAACTCGTAAACATGAGATCGCATCGTCTTTTGGTAGGACATTTTGCGAATTCTCTCTTTGCCTCAATTTCCGATCAATAGCAAACAGTGTACCGAATGTGGCCCTACGTTACTGAATTGCAATCTGAGTTGGAGAATTGACAACGGTGTATTTTTCAACTAAATTCTCGTAGAAATTGATTTTCTCCTCCCCTATATGTGCCCATTTTCCTATTTTAACCTGTCCTCGAAGTTTGTTTCCTTCTTTTGACCTCGACCATACGGATAGAGCCACACATCATTCTCGTTAGACACCTAGTTCTTCGTAACAATGACCTGGGTTTGCTGTTCAACTTCAGGGCTACTAGATCCTCTGTTTTCATCGTCAGTCGAGTCACTGTCCTCTCCAGGAATTCTGTCCTTGATCAAATGAGCGGCCCAGGTGGTGAACGGAGCCCCAACGTAGAACAAGACAACTGAAACGATTAAGTTGGTCATCAAAGTTGCGCTTCGGATAGATCCAATACCATATCCGATAGCGGACCCAAGAGCCTCTCCTCCTCGAAGGACAGCCATGGATAGAGCTACGGTGTCCATGTCGTAATCATGCGTACCCAAAGCCCAATAGAGCCACATGCCGATAGCTTCATAGGCCACCCTGATAGATAATAGTCAGCTATACTGCCTCGGACAGCCTGGAAATTTTAAGACTGGGAAGATGCAAATACCTGTAGAGCGTGAAGATTGCTACTCCTTGGTTCCACTTGTTGCCAGACCAGTCAATCTCTCCGGGGCTATTTCTGGCCCATCGTTCTTGTATCACAATGTTCCAGATCCAAACGAGAGTGTATAGAGCAAATGTCGCGTACCAGAAGCTCCTGGCTTGAGTAGACCGACGGAGCTTTCGGGTGTCCAGCCACCAACCTCCGATAATGTTGACAACGACCCCGACAAGTGCAGTAATAAGTCCGGCAAGTGTTCGAGCCCGCACCGTGAAGTAGGCCGCCATATAGTTGCCTTGGTAAGTAATGCCCCATTGGGCAGTGATATATGCTGGGATGAAAAGAACGATTTCCTTTCTCTTGAACTGCTGCACAAAACCAATGAGCTGGTTCTTGAATGTTCTGTTCTGGTTCGCAAAAGTCGGTTTTCGGCCATCGTCACGAACTAGCTTTTCGGGTGGTGACAAGAGGAGAGCCAGAGGGAGCCCAAGGCACTGGATAGCGATGAAAACGATGTAGGTTTTGGGGGAAATGGCTCCCGTCTTATCCTTGTCGCTATTCAGGCTCAGTTGAATAGATGCTGCAATAATGGATCCGAGTTTGCCAATAGCCATCCATATAGCCACTAGATAAGACAATTGAAAGGTCAACACGGAAGGAAAGATAAATTATATCAACCTATTCACCAGGTTGGCATTTCACTTACCACATCTGCCTCTCTTTCTAACTTCAGGATAACCGACAGCAATCGCGGCTTCTCCAGGCCATAGAGCGGTAGCCTGAGAATGTTAATTCATGCTCTTTGGACGAACACAATAACGAACATAATAACGAACACGATAACGAATACTTAATGAACACAATAATGGATGACATACCGATAATCCGCAGAGCGCCGCCCCTAGAAGAAGAAACCACTGTGTTCCGTATACAGAGTTTACGTATAGAGATGCGGAATAAAAGACGTATCCGATACATCCAAACACCACAATCCACTTCATTCCTATCAAGTTTCCTATAACGCTGGCAAAGGGCGCCAGTACCACCATAATTCTGTCTCTTAGATTAGAAAGATATCTTGAGAGCCACATATACAGCTTGATAATGGTCCTTTGTTGAGGGATCAAAGGGCCCACTGGACTTCAGAAGCAAAAGTAGGGGGGCTTACACAAACGTAATCACATTTGCCGCGTTGACAGCATAAGGCTCGGCCTGTCCACCAGCACCCAAGCCTAAAAATGATCAGTTTCGATACTAAGGGTAGTTTTGAACGACCACTGACTGTTCATGGCATTCCATATTCCTGGCTGGGTGAAGCTAATAAGCCCAAGGAGGACCGCCTGAAAGTATGTCCCACGGAACACATTATGAATTTTCCCACTGAGGGTCGGTGACTGAGAGCCTAATGGACCCGCCATTATGATTCGAAATGGAGGCGAGAAGTTGATGATCTGTTCATCCACCTTCATTGAGGGCATTGCACTGCTCTTATAGAATTATAAAAAGTGATCCTCAGTGGATATACATCACGGCTGTTCCCGTTTTAATGGCGTACGAAGCTAAGAAAATTACATCAACTCATTGAGATATCTTTCAGTGGACTCTGAGGCATCTTCATTTTGACATTTGCAGGGTTGCAAGGGACAGGATCCGAAGTTATTGCGATCTTAGTTCATCACGCAATCTGCCATCTTATCGTTTGGACGAAAGCTGGGCAACAATCCCTTCACCTTACTTTGCTACATCGGTCCGAAAAGACCCAATTATGACTATCTATAAAAGGGGCCAAGAACAGGATGTGTGAAGGGGTTGGAGGAAGCACGCCGCAGTGCTGCGGAAATTCATGGAACTCTACAGAGAGACTACATTCGAATTAAACAAGAGTGATAAGGCACAACCAGTCCTAGCTACTGCAATGCAAAGTTAATTTGCTGGAAAGCTGTAACTATTCAAATATTTTAGCAACTAAGAGTAGGGATCTCAAAGAGCATCTTGAGCTGGTATTATCTATCACGCCATTCATGCGCCTCTTCCACCACCGTCTTAGTCGCGTTTTAAACACTCAATTGATTATCCGTTCCCGGGATATAACCGGCTTTGATCCGATCTTGTCACAGGGGTTGATTCGTCTAGCATCTTATCCATTGAGATGACCAGCCTCATAATATCCCCTATCGTACTCCATTACTTATTGTTTGTAGTCATGTATCCTATGGGTCATCTCCCGGCCCATAAACGCGGCCCCAGCGGTCATCGCTGAGCCTAAGCTGTTGCAGCTGGGTTCATGGGCCCTTTACTTATAAAGGCCTAGCCAGTAGGACGTTAAACGGCGAGCACTAAGATTGGCGTGGAGTTGTGGCTTTCAACCTAACGCGCCGGTTTCTATTTCTATCCTTTCACAGAGTGTATTGGGATTCCCCTTTTGGTTAGGAAGCCTAGCGTGTGATATCGTTGATGCTTTTCTTGTCAACAGCAAGGAACTACGAGCTGGTAAACTATTAAACTGCATATTAGTCATATTACCGCCCGTACACTTTCTTTCGTCTCACATACTCGCCACAGCGCGCTTGCGGCCCTCAATTTCCTTTTTGACTTCTTGATCTTTGCCCCATTTCGCTCATGCCATCAGTCTACTCTTGCTGGCCTAGTCCCGAAGGCAAAGCGTATAAATGCTGAAGCTTAAAGTATGGAAGGCTTGGTGTTCTGTCGTAAACCCATTACTACGGCCAGTAACTCAGATCTAAAAGAAGGCCATTGATGGTCTTCTCAGCTTAACTTCTCAATAAAATTTGTGTTATTGAGGTAATAGTAACTGTAATATTTTCTTGTGGTAACAATTTCTAGCTGCTGGAAGCCATTAGATTAACCTGATGGAGTTCAGAGTCTCGAGCTCAGAATTCATTCCAAAAAAGCCAATGTGAACTTGAAAAAAGGCTGGAAATGTGGTACTCGTAGTTAGGCAATTTTCAGTCTTTGCTCCCTTCTCTTTGGCTCTCATATAGTAACAAAATTGTCGTAGGAATTTGGTTAGCCTGAAGACAAAATGGGCGGAGAATAGGTGTTTGCGGTAAGAAGCTCGGGTTTTCGACTAGAAATAACCAAACTATTGCGATACAATGCATGATATCTTTTCCAAATACAACTCAGACCCTATTAGTCTTAGCAAGCCACCATTTGCGAGACTTTGCCACACCTTTCGAGGCTCATTTAACAATATCCGACCATTGTTTGGATGTCAAAGCGGTGGGACTATCCAAGTCCCTGAGGCCGGGTATCTTCTCTCTCAATAGATTGATCACAAAGGTACAATTGCCTTCCTCAGCTCGATCTAAGAGCTGCCAAACATGTTTGCAAAGTAATTCTTTAAGAGGGAAACGTGCCAGGACCAATTCACCCATCTCAGGGCCTCCACAGAAGAGCGCTAGTTGCAAAGTATCGAACTCACAAACAGCCCCCATGTCTAGAAATTTCTGGACAATCTTGATGCTTCGGCTCTTCACTGCTTGATAAAGAGGTGACTTGAACACAGCAGGACCTGGTTGATTGATATTGGCACCATGCTTTATCAGTAGATCGACTATATCTTCTCGGCCATGTCGTGCAGCTGCATGCATAGGAGGAGCGTATCTCCTGTTGCTTCCATGCCAAGCAACGCCTCTTTCGAGTAAGTTTTTGACTATTTCGTAGTTGCCAAATTCAGCGAACATCTGTAGATGGAAAGTAGCCTCTTCCTGTTGAGATTTGTAAAAGTCGTGGAAGAAAGATGCCAGCCTGGAGTATACTTGCCACGTTCTTGAGTGCACCATTATGGATTTGAGCGCGCGACCTGGAGAGGAGTATGGCTTAACTCTTCCATACGGCTGACCAAAAAAGTCGGAGCTATTAGTATCACTACGTGATGGAGGGTACAATGCCGCTTCGAGAACCTGTAAGTTGCCCGTTGCTGCCGCTCCAACAATTGCTCGAGGATCAGCCTTCCCTGTGCAAGGCACACTTCCCATCGTGCTGTGCAAAGGACGTCCCGGATTGTCTTCATCCTCGGGCTCCCAGTCAACGTTCGGGTTCACCAGATACCAACTGGGAATCTCCTGTTGCTCTAGTGGATGTTCTTGCTCTGGTTCAGGTTCTGGTAAAATTTCCTGCAGCAGCTGAAGCATCTCCATGTTTCCTCCTCGCGCAGCTGCCTCTATCGGAGCAGGGAAAAGAAAATCGTTAAGCGTCGGATCGGCATGTTCTGCTAAAAGCTCTCTAGCCAAAGGCAGATGATTCAGATAGGCTGCGGCACTGAGGAGATTGATGTTCCGCCTGAACTCTCCTTGCTCCTCCACTGACAGCTGCGCTACCTGAGAGTTGAAATACCAGAGATGGCCTAACCCACCCAACTCGCCCCCGAAGCCAAGCCAGCAGAGGGCGTCGATGGTCTTGGCCAAGTCGGCGTGTGGCACTCTGTCGCATATCAACTGTGATATTTCACGGATCTCGGCGCACCACGAGATCTCCGGGGCGTTCGGCAAGTATCTGACGCTGGGGTTGACCCCTTTTTGCACCATTTGCGCAATGTATGAATGCCAAAGCTTTTGGGCGCCATCATCTGTTCTCGTTTGCCAGTATGCTAGAGGTTGTATTTTATTGTAGGGAGGATCATCTGGTAGAGGTGCCAAGTGATCAAGCACCTGGGCCTGGATTAAAGCATCACGAAAGACATGATTAAAGGCCTCTAGAAGAAAGAAAAGGGGGTTGGTGAGCAAAAGACATTGGAGAAATAACTTCTTACTTCTTGAAGGGTAAGGCTTACTGCAAACCGATCTCAACCTGAACATTTCTCCATAATTAGGCTCCTCAATGAAATAGCCAGTACGCCCATCATCAATACGCCAATTATACCGCCTATCATAGTATAAGGATAAAATGCACCTTGAAAGGATAGCCTTCAAAATCTCCCAAGGGACATCTAAAAGAGGGGCGCAAGGCATATCTGTGGAAGTGAAGAATGTAAATTGCGAAGATGATCATTCAGATGATGTTCCGAACTTGCAAGGGAGGAGAGCAAATACGGGATACGCGACTTATTAAGGGGCATCACCAGGCTGACGTGGATCCGGGTAGTACCCATCTAGGCAATCACCTTTAACTGTACATATGACTAATACTGAGCCTTTTGTTCCCTTTTCCTTGTTTGTGCTCTACGTATTGTCTCTAGGCAGAATTATTTGCTACTGATAATCCATCCCCGAGGTAATAACAGCTCCCGTTGAGAGAAAATCTTCCAACTGTCGTTGCCTGGAAGGCATCACTCTTCCGGGCATAAGATTTCCTTGCAGGTCGAAGTACAGGATGCAGGATATCCCAGTTAGATGAAAACAATATCCAGCAGCTATAAATGGCATTCAGATACCCGGGCATGTCTAACAAGGCCGAACCACTAAGCCTCCTCTTTGACGATCTTCTCTATGTCCGGAATGACCCCGTCCGGAGCAATTCCGACATACACGCCTTCAATTGTGGTCTTGGAAGACTCTTCCCATGTCAGCCCTTCCTCGCGGAAAAGCTTCTGATTTTCAGTTGGCCAGAACTTGCAAATCAGCGGGTAAGAGATCAATGATACAAAGAATGACAGAAGCCAGCCGAGAGAGAAGAGACGTTGGCCGGCCACTCCAACTCCAGGCACACCCAGTGATGAGAGAAAGCCGGGAAGAGGGAGGGCAATTCCGATGAGATATGCAATGACTGCTTGCAAGTTGAAGCCTTGGTGATAATGGTAGTACTTATTAGTTTTCCTTGGATCAAATAACCAGGCTGGCTTGATGTTGCCTCTTGTGGTAATGAAATCTAGGCCGCGTGTCAGTTAGATTCCCTTAGTTCTATATTCAACGAGGAGCGTACAGTCAGCAATCATAATCGCGGCAACGCTCGCCATGAAGAGACCATATCCTGATAGGAATGAGGTGAATGTCTTGGCCGACGACATGATCTTCCATGGCACGATCGCATAAGCTAACACCTGGGCGAGAAAAAAGCCTCGTTTCATGTCGATGTAACGAGGCGCAATAAGTGACACATCTGAACCAAACGCAATCATGTTGGCAGCTATGTTGGTGCCAAGAATCCCTACCGTCCAGGTAAAGGCAGCAAGAAAAATGGCAAACCGGGGGCCTGAACCATTATGACGGTCTTGTATAGCGTCAAGAAGGTCCCATGGGTTCCTAAATTGCAACTTAGTGATATAAGTGTTCCACATGGATTTCAGATTTCTTACCATAATGTGAGGCCCCATTTCCCATTGATTGCAGCTGTGGCTAGAATGCCTAGGCTCGCGGCAAGTGTGCAGGTAATGGGCTTTACGAGCTGTGATAACAAGTTAGCTCGCAGCCCTGGGCGCTTGACAGAATTGTAATTTACCATTGATGAAACTCCCGGCGCAGACTTGGTCTTACTCCATCGCGAAATGTCGGGTTGATTCGTAATGAGGGTGGCAGAGTTTCTAATTGTTGAAACATCATAACTGTCAGAGAAGGCTCCCATTCTAAGTGGCTTCACTTACCCCATCCCAGTGTTAATTGCTTGAATGATAAACCATCCCATGCCGCTAGTAGCGTTCGCTTGAGGCAGGGTGTGGTTGATTTGGCCTCCCGTTTCAATCATGCAGTAGATGAAAACTCCAAAGACGGCGGGTACCATGATAAATCCTTTGAACCAAAAGAATTCGGTAAGTTGATATGGCCGGAAGAAACAAAACCCGAGGTGAATCAGCCAGAAGATGAAGAATGCTATCATCTTGTTCGTGGCAATTCCGGCAGAAGCAGGAAGATGATTCGGCATGTTCTTGTAACTGTCGCCAAAGATCGCTCGAAGCATGTTGGCGACGTGGCTTGCACCAGAATAAACTACCATCTGCTATCTATCAGATTCTCACGGGAATTTGCTTCAGAATTACTTACGCTGAATGCCATACCAGACCGAAGCTAAAATGGCTCTACTGCCAACAAAACAGTAGCTACCCACCATGCCAAAGACGACTCGGCTGATGGCTGGGTAGCCTAGGTGGTAAGTTGTGGCGGCGCGGGAGTTGAAGGCCATTGCAATCGCGGCAATCATTTGGGACACGAAGATCACAACTATAGCTTGCCACCAGTTTAGACCAATTCCAATCATAGCCTGGGGCAGGGAACGCAAGGATAGATTAGCCGAACCAGCAAAAGGAAATGGGGGAAGAGATGAACTTACAGAGCCCAGACTCCAGTTGCCAAAAGCGAGACCAAACCAAAAGATACAGTATGTAGGGAAGCTCCAGGCTTTCATGAACTGATTAGAACGTAAAGAACAAGCGTCGGTGACCATGTTCGTGCTTACTCCTCTTTTCCAATGGCGTCGGTTCGAAGTCTTCATCGAGTATTAGTTAGATTGCCAAGCCAAGAAACGTATCAGTTATGTCTTGCCTTCGTTCATCCACAATGGGTCTGCATTATGATATGCGGTGTCATGTTCAGACAAGGTATTTTTGACCTGAACCGCATTTTTGAAATTATCCCAAGAGGAAAACGCAATTTTAGTTGACGTTAACTTTTCGACAAAACCGTCATATCCCGGAATAGTCATCTTAGAGTTTTCAAGATGAACAGCAATGTAATTGTTGTCCAGAGAGAAGCAAGCATAGCACTACAGGGCTCTCAAGGTTTCTCTTTATTCAACAGATGAGGTGGCGACGGATGGGGCCAGTATAAGAATGGAGAGAAATGGAAAACTAGTAGCAAGTGCATCTGAGAACCAAGGCACTTATTTCCGTATCAGTGGATGTTAGTTGCATTGGGTGCAATTTGATAGGCCGTTATTGCTTGCACTACACCAGTTGATCCCAGAAGGGCTATACAATCCTCTCGATAATCTCTCCCCTTATCTCTCCCCGCACAAAGATTACGGAACTTACCCTCGGTAGCCGGTGGTTTTACTTGGCGAGGTAAAGAGTCGCTTATCGCATCCCATGCCCAAGACCCTGGATGATGTCGATAACATGATCTAGCCAGTTCTAGCCACACAGAACAGCAATCACAGTCACTTAGATAGCGATTCTGATAAAGATAAAAGGATATCTCTCGAAGCTGTCTTGCTGAGCCTGTCTCACGTACAAATAAGTCCTAGATAACACCCCGGGCTGATCTTATACGAATCTGGGACTTCTATCTCCGGCTGGGGATCCCGTACCCCGCAGTTCACCATCCAGTCTCAATGTAAGCATGATGAAACGTCGATGAGTGAATATAAACCTACCGACTAAAGAATCTTGATGGAGAATCTCTGGCAATAATAAGACTCCATCAAGCCGATTACTTGCTTGTTACAATTATCCAGACCAACATTATCATATCTTCCATCAAGAACTATTGCCAGCGGAACAATGGCGGTGACTTCTCCATCAAATGGCCCCCAAGCAATCTCAATGTCCGATGATGAGCGCCGTGAAGGAAAATATTCATTCCAAACTCTATCAAAAGCCCTTGGCGCGCTGCACCAGGATGGTTTAGTCGTCCTCAAGGGGGTTATCCCGGTGGAAATGATTGACAAGCTCAATGCCAAGATGTGCCAGGATGCTGATGAGAAGATCAGTGACCCTTCCCAGGGCTACAATCATGGAGTCAAATGTGAGTGTTGAAGGTTAAATATCACCTACATGTCAGCTCTAACTTATCATCAAGCCAATATGCTTCAAAGGCCCCCAATTACAGACCCTCAATATCTCAACCAGGAGGTCTTCTTTAATCAGTTTCTCCTCCAGTTAGCAAACGCGTATGTGATCGACAACTGATAACTTTCTCAATGGCATCAACTAAAGTTATATTTCAAGTTATCTTGGACACCGTCCCGTCTTCAATTGGCTCACTGCCAATACTGCACTCGCTAACACTGGGGGACAACGCCAACCAGTGCACAAGGACGGAAGCTTCGATCATCCCTTGTTCCCCTTTTACTTCATCGCGAACATACCCTTATGTGATTTCAGTGCTGAGAATGGCTCGACTGAGTTCTGGCTAGGCTCTCATGCGCATACAACTTACAAAGACCAAGTGCTAGCCAAGACGCCGGAAGATATCGCTCCCTATCCAACTGCCTACATCGGGAGCCGCATTCCTCCGGTATTGGATGAAAAGAAGGTTGAGAGAATGAAGATACGCCCTCCGATTCAGCCCGTTGTCAACAGAGGAGACATCATGATAAGAGACATCAGACTTTGGCATGCTGGGATGCCTAATAATAGCGACGCACACCGCATCATGCTCGGTCTAGGATATCAGGTAAGCGGTTATTCTTGTCGATAGGCTTGAGGCTCTCACTAATCCTATGCAGAGCTCGGTGCACCCCAATTATACATTGACCACACATTTGCCTTTCTCCCAGAGAGAGTTCTTTATGAAGCATGGTGGTGAAAACGTTGAACTACGAGCACAATGGTACTCAGACGAGGATTTGGCGAAGACTACGGCGGACACTGTTTTCCATGCTCGGCCTGCATACGATAAGATGGAGAAGGAACTTGCATAAGCCATGAAAACAGAATAGTAGCCTTGACTATTGCGCAGATTGAATATGATACGGAATTGGCCAAATGAATAAGTTTGTTTTCGACTAGCAAGTACCTAAAAGCAGTTGGATCATCCCTCCAATGGGATGACTGCCAGTCTTCCGATTTTACTTGAGGATGATATCCTTCAGACACGAAATATATGGCTAGTCTAGGCATATGAAAGCAGACACTGAATCCCATCTAGCCTCACGCATCGGGTAGGTATGGTTGTCACCTTAAATCGTGACAATGTTGAACCGTACTACTTATACTACTTCGAGGGTTTACAGCCATATCTTTATGTCAGATAGGTCTTTGTAAATTGCGGCGATGTGAAAAGCAATAGAGTTATCAACGTAGGAGTTCCGGACTAAATTACAGATGACATTGCGTTTTGTAGCTACCAAAACAGTGTCTCTTGAATTCGTCACTTGTTTGCTCAGGTCTGCCACTCGGTGAATATGACTATCAAACCTAAGAAAAATCACGTCGAATACATTTGGTTGTCCAGCGGATACAGAACGCTCAATCGTGCAAACTTAGGCCACAGCCAATCTGATCTGTATAATGAACATATCGACGGGAGGATCACAAATAGATAAGCTATAGCTACGTTCCATGGGGTGAGATTAACAATGATATCTGCAGATAACAGCATGTTCGTCTGTATATCAATACCAAGCCTCCCTTTCATAAGGATCTGGGGTCTTATCTCATAGTAATCGAAACTTGACTTTGGCTTCAAAATCCCCGAGCCAATACACGAATCTTCCGCCAGCTAATAGTGGGCACTTCTAGTTGAATGTCGATGATAAGGATGGAGGATAGATCTGAGCTTGCCCGGGGGGGTGGGGTAGCAACCACACCAAAGATAACAACGTCGTAAATCCCCCGCAAGGAGACTATTTCCTGTCCATTTCCCGTTTATGGGGTAACCACAGAACATCAAGGCCAGTTTTCTTCTTCTTGGCGCGTTGTCTGCGGGAGTAGTTGACAAAAGTTTAATTCAGAGACATGCCGTCGGTGGTAAACCACCGCCTCTTGGCGAAAATGATGTCTTACTTCGCCTGGTGTTTCCCCAAAATGTATCGATGAAAGTTGCATGTGATGCCTTCACTCAAGGGAGACTATTCTCGCTCTATTGAGACCCGAGATTTGAGAAAGCCGAGAATGAGCCAAGTCAAATGACAAGCACTCTATTGACAAGTCAAAAGAAGACTACCGAAAATGACGCAGGGTTTAATCTTAGAACACTCTCACTTTCTGTCATGCTCGCAACTTGATAATGTTAGCTCTATTCACACTAGACAATCTAAATGCAGAAGCCCAGCAATCGTGTGCAGATCCTTCCAAATTGTTGACCGAAGCACCTCTACAAAAGATAGTCTTATCAATCACCGCTCTGCGGCTAATCTCTTAGTGTCGTTCGTGGCTCACGTGTAATACTTAAGACGTATCAGTCCCTATATTCTCCTTCAGGCCGCCTTTGACTGATCTATACAAAATTAGGCATGAATACACCTTCTATTCATAATGCTATAACGAGGTACATATGGTATGGGTTGTTTGAGATATTTCCACGCTGTCTAAAACTCTCCATAGCGTGAGCAACCCTCAAATACATCTTACGTCGGGCTTCGCTTATCCATCACCAACCACCTACCCGTTTTATTGCAAAAAGCGCGATACCTGAGATATTCTCAGCATCTTTCTACGATGAAACTCAAACTAGCCGCATTGGAAAACATCATGACAAACCTGTTATAAACCTTCTTATAACAAAGGTTAAATAATGGACGTATGGTTGTAACGGTGAAATTTGACAGTACTAGTTGCAAACCTAGGAATCAGAACAAATATTTGTATTCAGCTTGCCGACAAAGTATGTCCGTAGCCTTAAGACTACGATAACTGTGTGTCGGTGATCATATTATTTAATTCCAGTACGTCCCTCGAAGGGCAAAGGGTGACTAGCGACAGGTATTTACAGGTAAGCATTACAGGCAAGGGGCTGGCTAGAGAGGATCCTATGTGTGTTCGTAGGCAAGTTCCCAAGCAGCGTCAAAGCCCCAGATATTAAGCACTTCTTTGTACTTAGATGTGTATCCAATTAGCGAGCTAACATGACTACGGGGGCCGCATTTCACGCAAGGGCTTCCCAAGTCACCTGAGGGAGGTGCTAGGCGGAGCTATTCGGGGTCTTCGGGTCCAAAGCAGTCTATAATTACCGTAGCTCCCAGTTAATTTGCCGAACAAAAGAGGGCTTAAATTTCCGCCTTTTCTACTCCTCCACACCCACCCCTTCAAGTTCCTCGCTTCATAATGTTATGTTAGTAAGGCAGGTACTTCAAGCACGCAAATCCTAAGAGGACAGATCTCTCACCTACCTCTCTGTTTCTCCGTCAGGAGTCAAGACAAGCTTCGGGGTCACCTATTTGGTCAAAGGAGAAATCCCAGGCGGCAAAACCGTTTCCAAGCCGTTGGCATCCTTCCGAAGAGGAGCATGGAGCGTTCTCGTCGGAAAGCTCATCGAGAGTGAATGTGATTATATCGCCAGTTGGATTCAGTGGATTAGGGCGCTTGTCTGCCACAATGTACACATTTGATCCCTCCCGGTTTTGGGACGCAGAGACGGCTGTAAGGAGATGGATCACAGCAGCTGCATTAAACATCATTATGGGCAACTGAATTATTAAGACACTTCAATGAATGGCTTTATGAGATGGACCAAGGTATATTGTGATTGAGAACAGGATTTGGATGATTATTGAGGAAATTTATATGCGGAATACACATGCTTTCAGGATTCACGGCGGATCACTCAACCCTCACGGCCCGGTACTTACAGCACCTGAAACAGAAGGCTTAACTCGAGGCTTGAGCCTCGTCCGGCAGATGTTAAATTGCCCGCTTTTGGACAGTAAGCAGCGATCCCTGTATCTGTCTTCTCTATGGCCTCTGTATAAGGGCAGGCTGAAGATAGTACAATACAAGATGCAATACCTTAAGCCAAGCTGCAGTAGCAGTATCATATCCGTAGCTTAATCCCGTCAAAGTCGCATATGGCCCCCTTTTAGGAATAGACCTGGTTCAGGATCAAAACAAGGATGATAGCCTTTGAAATAGGTATCCTTAATTAGACCAACCAACCAATCGGCCTCAATGCTATCTCGGTCCCGATTCCTGCCTGAGAATCCACCATCTCATCCAGCTGGTTCCTGTCGCTGGTCGGTCCCGAGGTACTAAACTCGCGGACAGCTCACGGTTTTCAAAGATCGTAGTCCCGAGGCAAATTTATAAACGCTTAAAATTTTGAGTTACACTACCGTGTTAATGGCCAGCCAGCTGCTATTTTGGCCCTGGTCAGGCTGTCTGACGCGGCACTTGCCACCCCTGGTCTGCCGTCAGTGCCGTTGCGGTACCCCTGTGTTGGGTTTGGTCACAGACTCGGCACTTGATCGAGTTACTTTGGTTGCCTACCGACTAGATACGACGTTTCGCCACAGCTAGAGGTCACCAATTGAAACGGAATTGATAGGAGACTTGAATTTCCTCTTCTTTGAAGAGGGTCTGCGGATAATCTATCTATCTATTCGCAAATTGTGTTTAGAAGAGTACACGTGAGATATCCCGTGATCTCGGCTCCATCGTGTCACATGAACGTGGCAATGGCAAGTGGGTGACAAGAGAAATGAGACACCTAATGGAGGAGAGGTTGTACAGACTACTTTCTAAGATGAAATTCAGTAGTATGAAATAAAATAAAGAACAATATATACTGTATTATCTCTTGAGTATATATTATTAGCGCTCAATAATCTGATAATACCGGTCGCAGGCTCGAGAATAAGCAGTATAATGTTTTGTATGTCTCAATTTCAATATCGCCCACTTGAATGGAAGACTACCTTAACACCTGGTATGCAACTACGATGGTCACCTACCCTAGACTACCTGGCAGCACAGGTCTGAAACCTCAGTTAAGTAACTGCTTCTTGCTGGTTTTAAATCGGTATATACTCTCACCTCAATTAGAATGTTGCTATGAGATCGAAAGTATACTTTCAATGTATAGATAAGAGTTGAGCCTCGGCTCAAAGCCATCAACTCATGATGGAAGTTTATACAAGGGTACTGTTGCCGAACGGCCCGTAATCTGGTTGAATGACTTCCGTTTAGCAAGGATCTAAGAATATGGTGTGATACCTAAGTGGATGACTTCACTCTCTCCTCTTAGCGCCGGTTCACTCAGTTCGGGCATGGTCGTCTTGTTTTTTTTTTAGTTGTTAGATATGCATGTTGGTCCAACACGCATGGTAAAGTCAAGTCTGGCGCATCAATTCGGGACAAGGGGTTTCAGACTTGCAAGGGTTGAATGTCACCGCAAGCCAATCATGGGTGCTTTTTAGCCGCCTTGTCCCACTTTATTCTTAGTCCATCGAGGCTGTTGTCAATTGCATCTACGAGTTTCTGAGATGCTAGATATCTTAAGCCAGTATGCTAGGTCATAATTGCAAAACCATTCCCTTCTCGTCCTTGAAAACTTAGTGTAGGAGCGGTTAGGCGCTGACCCACGAGCGGGTTCTAGTCCGTAACTTGGACAGGTTCGCCAGAGTGACATAGGCAACGAGGCTATCGTTGGTGCCCTCTAACCCTTGTCATGGATGGAGGACCAACAAACTTAGACAACCAACAGATCAACGTGATGACCAACCGCCGCCCCTTAAAAGCTGTAACTAGGACGAGCTCTCCCTAATTTCCCTCATTCAGCATGCTTATCTCTGAATTTCATTTCTCTTAACATGACGAGGAGATCCTGGCTTGTTCTAGTTGCCTTATTCGCGACCACTTTGTTACTAGTTGGGCATTTCACGCTCAAAGATTTGTTCCCAGGTTTGTCAAATCACTTCTCCCGCTAGTTAAGTTACTTTTGAAAGTGAATTGACATCGGGGATAGGCGACCTCTTCCACCGGCCGTCATCTGCAAACCTTAGCGCCATCGTCGACGTTCCCTCGAAACCCTTCCCAAAGAAGATCTGGCAGAGCTGGAAAGATGATTCCGAGAATCCTACCGAACGTACCGTTGGCTACCCCCATCAATGGAGAGCCGTCAACCCTGACTGGCGTTACGAGCGTATAACCGATGCAAATATGGACAACTATGTGCGCGATAAAACGGATCCTGCCATTGCAAATATTTTCACCTCATTGCACGATTCGATCTTGAGGGCAGACTTACTGCGATATATTTTGATGCTTACGGAAGGCGGAGTCTGGGCGGACATTGACGTATACCCACATCAACCAATATCAAGTTGGATACCTGAGGAGTACCAGGAATCGGTCAACCTAGTGATTGGCATTGAAAATGACCACCACAAACGACCTATCTGGCCCGGCTCTCCTTACTCGATTCAGCTCAGCCAGTATACTATGTTGGCAAAGCCAAACCACCCAGTCTTTCAGAAACTTGTTGATCAAGTCGTGGACAATCTCCGGAGTCTCCTCCAATCCAAATCAGGTGGCTCCCAAGTAACCTTTGAAGATGTCATGTCTACTACGGGCCCCTTCGCTTACACCAAAGTCTTGATGGAATACTTCACAGAGAAATCCGGAATTCAATATAACGGAGACGAGTTCGACAGGTTGGAACATCCCGTTTTGATAGGCGATGTCCTTGTTTTACCAAAGGATAGCTTTGGCTGGCTTCCACATGAACACACCCACAACAAGGGGGATCCATCTATTCTTGTTGAGCATCTATTTATTGCGAGTTGGCGTCAAGGACATCCGGGATAGGTTTAGATGTCATGTTAGGGCGACTTTTGTAAAAGTGAAGAGACATGAATATATTACGCAATCGAAAGTGGGTTGAATGTGCTGTCTCTTGTCTATGATGACTTTGAGACCACGATGTTAAAATAGGTCGTCAGTCGTTAAATAAGGCTATGGAGGATGAAATAGTTTGCGATCCACGCAAATGTGCAATATCGAAATCTGAAATAAATTCTATTGATATCCTTATTGATTTAACGGTGAATACCCAAACTAAATTCACTTATGCCGACCCTAAAACAATCCTGAAAAAATTCTATACCAGCCAAAAGCTTTCGGCAAACTTCTTTGCAGTTATTTATATGTATATGAACGCGGCCTTCGTCAGCTCTCTAAACCTTGAGCATCTCCTGAATCAACTTAAGCTCTAGATTCTCTTCCCCAAAAATCTTCCCGAGCCTGTCCACTTCTCCCTCGAGCTCTTTGGCTAACGAGTCCATGATGGTCTTGGTTGCTTGGAGAGCGTTAGACCCTCGAATGTGTTCAAGAATCAAACATTTTTGCTCATATGCCAAGGAGCCTGTTACGCGCCGCTGTACTAGGAGAGAGTTGATTTGTCCTTTGCGAGGTGAGTTGGTGAGGGCTAGGATCAAAGGAAGAGAATATTTCCCCTCGTCAAGATCCTCACAGAATCCTTTTTGGTTGGTGTACTGCAGACAAAGGTCAGCTTGCGGGAAAAATACATCAGACTCTTCTCTTCTTACATCATCACTGGTAAGGTTTTGGTAGTCATCTCGAATCTGGAAGTATCGCCCGAAAAGTGAGCACATTCGTGCGAAATCTACTTCACCTGAGTACTTGGACTCAGCTACCATAAGTCTGGTGAGAAGTCGGAATAAGCCTCCAGTTTCTAATTCTTTGTCAGCACGTTGAAGCGGTTAGTATTGTGAGAGAAGGAGAACACATACTGCCGTCAATCATCTGCAAATACTCTGGGACTGTCGGGCAAGACAATTCAGATGTCCAAAGAAGGTCGTAACTCTGGCCAATGAAGAGTTGCTGGACCTCGTCTGTATATTTACGTTAGCCCAAGGTAATAGCAGATGGACTTGGACAACTCGACCACTCACCAATAAAAATATCAATAGAATGTGGGTTTCTCAATTTCCTAATCTCTTGAGTTGCATGGATGTATTGGTAGGTTGCGGAATTGATGGTTTGTGCATGGCCAAAGATTTCGTGCGTTGAGGGCTTGCCGCGACGGAGGCGAGAGCCGTCTTCAATATCGTCAAGCCTAAATGACCGTATGAGTAAGGATTGATTGCACATGGGTGGAGGTGACGGAACTGACATGAGGGATGAGCCGTGCAACATTCTGACGGCGGACTTGATCAAATCCATAGAATGGTTGGGCACCTTGAGCCAGAAGTTGAGTGCATTGATAGTCATATCACGAACTCCCTTGGATGGGAGAGAGCTTAGGTAGCGATATGGCTCAGTAACGACCTGATACTATGTTAGTTTCAACGACTGTACTCATGCGATAATTGACTTACATCAGACTTCATCTGAGGATAAATGGCTAACGCTGCTTCTTCCGGGCCCAAGGAAGACCAGTTGTTCGTTTCCGAGTCCAATTCCAGGATCAACGGCTCTCGGGCGGATTCAATACCACTTGCCTTCACCCCATTAAGCTTTGATCCTTGTGCGGGTGTCTCTGGTCTGTCAACACCATCAATGGTGGCACGAGACATGGCGTCTGAATGATCTGATTCACTGTCTGTGTTCGCAGTGACATAGCCCGCATCAGACAAATCGGAAGCAATCGATTCAGGTGATGTCGACTTTTCAACCAACGCGGAGCTACTTTTGAGTTTCTTTGGAATTCCGTCCAGAGTTAGGCGCTCATCTTCATTGATCGTGATTTGAAGCTGGCGGTTGTAACGTGGACAACGGAGACTCCATGCGGCGTTTCCACTGATCGTAAATCGCATCATATCCACGTACTTCTTGCCATCTGCACTCAAATCATGCATCTCTTGGGCACGCTCGGCGTATTGCAGGTACTTTCTAACCTCCTCATGGATACGTTGGATGCAGAGGGCCTTTGCCTCCTTCAACGTGCAATTGTGTTCTCCCATGAGAACCCATAGAGCATTGCAGATCTCAGTCTGACCAGCCTCTAACGCAGCTTCATATTCCTTGCCGAATGAGAGAAGATCATTTTGCAGACTGCATGCGAGAGAGGCGGGCATGACATATTCCGTAACCAGAGCCAGCTCGTGATCAGGAATAGTAAGGCCACACCCAAATATACTGATGGCGTGCCAAAACCTGTGTGATTATCAGGAGTCGTTGTTCTGAGAAGAAAAGAAGGAGTAGACAAACATGTGGCCGGAGTCCTTGGATCTGTAAGGCAGGTACTCCTCGAGGGTTGAGAAATGATTATGGTTTTCTCTTCCTGATCCTTGCTCTAGGAACTTGGCCCAGGCAGTGGTCGCTACTTTGGCTCGTTCTCGATCCAGAGCCATCATAGTCATCAGAATCTTGGCTTGGATCTGGCGCTTACCCGACTCTCTGGCTTCAATCGACCCTTGTTGAACACCTTCCATCAGTGCTTGTAGCATGTGGTCGTTCTCTTGGGTTTCCTGATGCTTATTTTAGCCGTATGACAAAGGAAGCAAACTTTTAACAAGCTCTAACTTACTGTATCTTGATCTGCAACATCAGTTACATCTGAATGTTTGTTGGTTAGTTCGGTTGTCTTCATCAGTTTGGACAGATAAATCCTTACCATCGTGTAGAAACGCAAATTCATTTGCGTAAGAAATAACTTCCAGTCTATCTGGCAAGCAATCTGGTACAGAAATGGCCACAAAGCTGTGACCCTCGCAGTACGCGCCTGCATTTTGTGAGAGAGGACCAACAAACCTCTCCCAATCAGCGCGTGCTTCGCGAGATCCACGATCCTCTAGACTAGAATTCAAGTGCTTGCGCACAGGAATGTCCAGGCATAGGCCTTGCGTATCGTACTCAATAAGTTCTGAGTATTTGTACTCCATTGTGAACAGAAGCCCTGGAGTTCGTGCTAGAGGAAAGATGAAGAGATAACCTTTAATGCAATGATACGATATGTATGAAAAGAAGAAGAAGAACGGAGATTAAAATAGGGGACTTCAAACTCCAACAAACGAAATCATATGGGTATTCTGCTCCTCGAGAGTAATCTTAGAGAGTCTGACAGAGTTATTTCTCCCTTGATAACAACTACGAAGGAATACAGCACGGAGCAGCATCTGTTCTACTCCGACTATCTAACCGGATCTAGAAGACGCGGGCAATGGTGGACCGGAGGAGACGTCCCCTGTTTCACACGTCCATGGCCTGGTTGACTAGAACGAAAGCAAGAAACAGTCGCCGACACGGAGATAGCCAGGGTTTGATCCACACACAGACCGGCACTTGGCACTTGGCATTTGCCGCACGCTAGAGGATTATGTGAGCGCTACCCTTCTTCATGGGAGATGCACAGGGCTACGTACTTGGGTTGAAGTTATAATTGACCACGCACGAGTATGGCTATGCTAGGGATCTGCGTGACATCTGGAATCGCATCTCCGGTTTGCGTAAAAACCCCGTTCCAACCAATCCCGGAACCCTCCCGCGAAGGATTGAGTCTTACAATGACGGTGGTCGGTTAACGCTCAAAGATGTGAACCTGAGACTTCGCAAGCATGCTGCGAAGGATTCGTGTTATCATGAATGATGACCGGTTATCGGTAGAAGGGGCAACCATAAAAACATTCAATGGGCTGAGGAAAAAATTTTAATCCACAATCCTACTCATAAACCCCTAACATGTCATTTTTTCTACCATCGTCCAAGCGGGTTCAAATACAGGATGTAGTGTTGAACACGAACGACTGCTTGATTGTTTAGTGTCCATCCCTACACGTCTTATCTTTTACTAGACCTCTAGAAGAGTTCCTTGTTGAACAGCGTACCGCAGTGTCCTCGTGGCGATCTCCACCTCATCACATGTTCACGTACATCTGACTAGAAAATTCTCACAGGGTGGCCAGCACAGGGTGATAAAACATTCATACACAGTGTAACTAAGCTCCTTTGCATACTTAATCTGACTCATCCTTTCTGGACTTATTTGCTCTTAATTATTGCTCACGAAAACAAGTGAGACTGGATGGATTAGAAACTACAAACACTTGTTTCGACCAGAACGATGAGCCAACCCATGACTGATCCTTGGAAGTAGCACGGCCCAAGGTATGATATCATGCACAGGCAATCCTAAAGTTCTTTGAGTGCCCTGAAAAATAGGCGACTTTGTCCAGGGACCTGGAAGTTACTTTGGAGAAGAACAACAAGGTTGATAAATAGTTCTCGGTCTCCCTAATTTGTATTGGCCATAACTGCAAACTAACCCAGGCTTGGTTACATCACTTATTATTCTTTCCCAATCTAGTTATGGGCTCATGGCAAGGGGTGGCATCCTATAAACTCGCTAGGCATCTAGATTGTATATTGTGGAGGTGTTTCACACCTGCGAACCCAGTCTCCTCCCATGGCAGGACCAGGATGGGACCAATCAACACTAGTGATTGCTACCAGAGGATTAGCATCTCCCTCACTTTAACAAGCATGTCTCTTAACTGCCGAGATTGGTGGGATCACCCTTGCTCGGGACCGAGCTGACGTATCAGCCGTGACAATGCTGACGGTGCACCGACAAGCCTTGGTCTGTGGGTTTGGTGCGTGCATTCAAGGCATGCGTACGACTTAGGACTGAGAGTTCTAACTTAAAATAATGTTATCATGTTGCCATTGCTTCCATGACCTTGGGAATGGGGTAAGCCTTCGTCTGCCTCTCTTCTTCCCTCTGCAAACTCAAAATGGGTGCCCTTGCAGACTTTTTGCTTGAGACGGACGCGAGGGAGTTGAGATGGAATATCATCTTGGCCGTTGTCGCGATCCTCGTATTCAGGCGTGTCTACATTATTATCGACCGCCTGTACTTTTCGCCACTAGCAAAATTCCCCGGCCCAAAACTTGCTGCCGCCACAAGTCTTTATGAATCATACTACGATGTCATCAAGGGTGGAGTTTACTACAAGCAGATCCAAAAGCTGCACAAAATCTACGGTATGAGAGAATACAAGCCATCAAGAATCAAGCCAAGCTCTCTGACACACTACTGGTCTTTAGGTCCAATCCTTCGAGTAAACCCTTATGAGCTGTCAGTAGATGATGGCTCGTTCTACGATACCGTGTACGTCTCTGGTGGCATTCGACAAACCGAGGAGTTCAATTACTTCGTACAGGGCCTCGACTTGGGAAGTAAGTACCTGCCTCGAATAAAACCAACAGGAATAAACTGACCAAGTAGACACTTTCTTTGCCACGAAGGATCATAAACTACACCGACAACGGCGCAGACCAGTTGAACCATACTTCTCGCGCGCTGGAGTAACAAAACTTGAGCCCATTATGAGTGAATGCGTTCAAAAGCTCTCCGATAGATACGATAGCTTCGAAGGTACGGGAAAAATCTCCCGCGTGGACCATGCCATGCAGGCTTTGACTGGCGATATCATTCGCCGCGTCTGTATTGGCGACGGAGAAGATTATCTTGACGACGAGGAGTTCTCGCCCGGGTGGTAAGATTACGGCGGCTGACAGGACACGTTGGATGTAAGACAGCTAACCAGTCAATCTAGGCACGACCTCATGCACTCCATCGCACTTTGTATCCCGGTCTTTGTCGTCTTTCCTTGGGTTATCCAGTCAGTCTCTAATCCTGTTTTGTCTATCTCCTTTTTGCTAATCATGAGCAGCTTCCTGAAATTCATCCCCGAAAAGGCACTCGTCTGGATTGCTCCTCATACGCAAGCCTTCAACACCTACCGAGAGGTAAGCATTCGCGTTTCTTCGTTTTTGATGTTGGTACTAACGCCTTCTAGATGGCCACGAAGCACATCGAAGACACCAAGAAAGAGGATCCTAGCAAGATCGATCTCGACGGAGCCAAGATTGGTTCCAAGCCCACCCTTTTCCGATACTTGATCCACAAGAGTGACCTTTCCGAGGAAGATAAAGACACCCACCGACTGGCCAACGAGGCGCAGAGCCTTCTCGGAGCCGGCAGTGTCACGACCGCCCGAACTGCAACTGTTTGCATATACTATCTTCTCAAGTGCCCTGAGATCTGTGTCCGTGTCCAGGAGGAGATCAAGGAGTTTGTTGCCGACTGGCCAGAGAAGGCACCTACATTTTCGGATCTCGAGAAGCTTACCTATCTTCAAGCGGTAATAAAGGAAGCTCTACGGTGCGCCAAAGATCAGAATAGCTGGAGGTCAAACAGAAGAACTAACAAAACCAATAGCGTAAGCTACGGATCTCTCCACAGGCTCTCTCGTATCTCGCCCCATGAGCCACTCCAATACAAGGAATGGACCATTCCGCCCGGAGTAAGACAGATGAAAAATACCTTAGAAATACTGTTCATGGCTAATGCTCTACAGGTTCCCGTCGGGATGAACGCATACTACATGCATACTGACGCCGAAATATACCCCGAGCCTTTCAAGTTCGACCCCGACAGATGGCTGGATAACGTCACCCCCGAAATGAAACGCAACTTCGTCCCGTTCACAAGAGGATCCCGTTCATGCCCTGCAATGAGGCAAGTAGTCCCTCCCCGGAAAAAAAGATGTGATGATAGATGCTAACTTTGCAATGTACCAGCTTGGCGTACGCTGAAATCAGCCTGGTGTTGGCCGTCCTCTTCCGTCCTGGCGGCCCCAAGTTCAGACTATATGAGACTGATGAGACTGATATTGGGTCCCTTCATGATTACATCATCCCCATAGGACGTTTTGGCTCGAAGGGGGCTCGTATCATTTTTGACTAAACTGGAAAGAAAGACCGTTCGTAGGAGATCGGCATGTACTGTAGCTTTGTTTTATGTTTTTTTTGCTATCTGGAAATTGGTTCTCGTATGTATATCAGATATTTTTAGAAAAAGGAGGGAGAATTGGGTTTTAGAGGCCCAGCCAGTGCCCAGATTCTTCCATCGCGAACCTTGAATCATGCCCTGAAAAGAACATGGCCTAGGGTTAAGTGTAAGATCCCTGTGGAACGCCCCCTTGGTGCAATCTAAAAGTCTCTCTCATATAGAAGAGAGGGAGAATAAAGCTCAAGAGCAATGGAGGCGATAACTCAACACAATGAGTTGAGAAACAGACAGACTTGGATGTTAGGGGCTTGGAAGTGCCCAGATCTTGGCATCGCGAACCCTGCATTGCCCCCTAAATAGAACATGGCTCAGGGATAAGAGCCAAGCGACTGACATAAAACATTGCACACCTAGGACCTCCAGCGTTGAATCTTAATACAATATCAAAACAATTAATCAATAATAATCTATAATAATAAGCTAAATACTAAATAATAATAATAAGTAATTTCCCTATTATTGTATTTGATATTATTAATAAGGAAATGAGATCCCTGACTTACACGAACAGTGCTTTGGTGTGCAATGTTTTATGTCAGTCGCTTGAGTGCCAGATCCCTATAAATCACCCCCTTAGTCTCACGCAAAAGTCTCTCTAATAAAGCCAAGATGCAGTGAAGAATGATAGAAATTTTTTGATGACTCTTGCGTCAATCTATTAATTTAAAGAACACTATATACATAAAAAAGAAAACGTTTTGCTTCTCAGAATCCTCACAACTCTATAATCTAACAAATCAACCCCGGCCGCGGACTCAATTACCACGCAGCTTTTGCCAGCCACCCCTGAGGCCACTTCTGGATGGCAAACTTCCTCGCCTCATCTAAAGCCAAGGTAAACAAACCAAAAGCAAAAGGAAAGAACCAGTGCTCGACAGGGACGCCAGTGGTGCCCAAGACAGGCTGGAGCTGAGGAATGTACAGCCACAGGATGGCCATGGCCAGCGAAAACAGAATGGCAGGGAACAGGTACCAGTTCTGGGTCGCCTTGTTGAACAGGGGAGGGTGCTGGAAGATGCTGAGGCGGCGAGTGCGGGTGGCCATGAGGTTGAACCACTGCATGACGACGAGGTTGACGAAGTAAATAGACGATGCCTCGTTGACCTTTTGCGTGTAGTAGTCCAGATCGATATCCGCGGGAGGTCCGTAGCCGAACCATAGCTTGGAAAAAGGGATTCCGTTGCGCTGGAGGTACCAGAATGACATGGTGAAAGAGAGAGCGGTCTGTATTACACCAATAACACCGTAGGACTGGAGGATAAGCTGCCAGTTGACGAGGCGGTCCTTCTTGGCGTTGCGAGGTGGGCGGGTGAGGACGTCAGCCTCGGGCTTCTCGTACGAGAGCATGGTGGCAGCAGCGCAATCAGTGAAGCAACTGGTATTTGTCAGTGTCGTGCATCTGTAATGCTATGTTTGGGGTTTACATACCAGATAATGATCATCAGAAAAGAAGAGAGAATCTGGGGCAGACCAAAAGCGACGCTTGCCATGACGGGCCAGAATTCGGAGAAGCTACCAGCGGGCAAGAGGTATGAAATGACCTGTTGGGGATGTCAGATACCAAATCACAGACGTCGATTCTTGAGCAACTCTCGAGTAGACTTACCTTCTTCAAGTTGTCGAAGACGACACGGCCATACTGGACGGCAACCACAATGGACGAGAAACTCTCCAGCAGCACCATATCAGCCGCCTCCATAGCAATATCAGAGCCGCTTCCAAGAGCGATACCAACATCTGCAGCCTTCAGGGATGGAGCATCATTAACACCATCACCAGTCATGGCCACTGTGTTCTCGCGCTGGAACTCTCGGACGATGCGGAGCTTCTGCTCAGGTGTTGTGCGAGCGAAGACAATCTCCTCGTACCGTGTGAGGTTGGCCCACTGGTGCTCGTTGAGAGCCATCAGCTCCGGACCGCTGAGAACGATAGCAGCCTTTCGTACGGATGATGAGTCTTTCTCATTTTCGTCTGATGAATCTCCACTGTCGGGGAATCGGGGGAGGTTGGCGGGGGTGTCAACGTGATGGGCAGTCACGATGCCGGCATCGCGAGCGATAGCGACAGCTGTCAGAGCAAAGTCACCAGTAACCTATGGGAGGTAAGCCAACTATTCACATATCAAAGAGATTGCCCAAGCACTCTGTGAGACTTACCATTGCGATGCGAACACCCGCACCACGAAGAGTCTTCACAACATCACGAATATCAGATCGGAGAGGATCAACAATGGCGACAAGGCCGACAAGGGTCAGGTCGGTCTTGGACTGCTCCAGAATTGCGTTCTCGTACTCGGTACTTCCGGCAGCGGCTGTGATGGTACCCTCGGGAAGGACCTTTCGCGCGAGAATCAAACAGCGCTTTCCAGCAGACGAATACTTGTTCTTGAGCGCCTCAAAGTGCGCCTTCTTCTCTGGGGTCAGCTCCGCGGTGTGTCCGTCTCCAGTGACGAATCTGGAGCATCGCTCCATAAGGACATCGGGACCACCCTTGATAGTAAGCAGCCTGGCCTTCATTAGCAACGATTACAACAATGGAGAACTGGAAGCTGTCTTACAAATCCTTCTCGCCAAAGTCACGGGTCTCAGCCTCGGTAAGAGTCTGATGAATGGCTTCGGGGCGCGTGTTGGCAAAGCAACGAATCATAAACTTGTTCTTACTGTTGAAGGCAAGCTCGTATGTCTTAGTCCAACAAGCACGTAGATAAGCAACACTGCCAGCTTCCAGCTGCTCGGCAAAGCGCAGGATGGCCGAGTCAGTGGCGTCACCGAAGACTTTGCGCTGGGCGATGGGGAGATCAGCGCCAGCAGCGTCTAGATCAGCGGCATTGCAGAGGGCGCTCATGGCACGGAGCTGGCTGACGGGGTTACCAGTCGACCTTCCGTGGGAAGCAATGTTGCTAACAGCTTCTTCGGCAGTCATTGTCGTTTCTCCGATCGCGCAGTCCGAAGTAGTCATTTTACCCTTTACCAAGTCAGATTATTACAGCTTAACAATTGAAGACAGTGGGGTCAACCTACCTCTGTCAAGGTTCCAGTCTTGTCGGAACACACAACAGAAACTGAACCGAGGGTCTCAACGGTCTTGAGCGACTTGCAGAGAACCTTATGCTTCTGCATGAGGTTTGCAGTGATTGTCAATCCAGCAGTGACAGCAATGGGTAGTCCTTCTGGGATAAAAGCAATGGCGATGCTGACACAATTGACGATGAGAGTAGGGACGTTGATGAAGTCAGGATGCTCGGGTCGGAGATAGGCGCCCCTGTGTCATAATATTAACGAACGATCCACGGATGGTATAACTGAGCAAATTTACTCACCAGATTATAATGACGATTACGACCATGGTCAGCATCAGAGTGCAGATGATCAAGACAAAGTAGAGAATTTCCTTTTCGAGGGGCGTCATCTTGGTCTTGGGCTCATTCGTCAGCTTGGCGATGCGACCAAAGACCGTCTTGTCACCAATAGCGACGATGATGCCTTTGCAAGAGCCCATGATACAGTGTGTTCCCTGAAGACCGATGTTGTGCGTCTCGAGGTAGTTGGTATCGGTGTGTTCTACAGTGCCGGCGCATGGGACACTCTCTCCTGTGAGGACCGAGCGATCAAACTTGACATCGGAGGAGACCTCAATGAAGCGCATGTCAGCTGGTAGCTTGCTGCCGGCTTTGATGATGACGACATCTCCGGGGACCACTTCTTCTCCCGGGAGATGCATCTGAGTGCCGTCCCGGATGACCTCGCACTGTTCCGGAAGCATATCTTTGATCGAAGCCATGACGCGCGATGTAGACCAGTCCTGGAACATGTTGAAGAGGGCCTGGATGACGAAGACGGCAACAAGTACGATCGCGAGGGCCTAAGTGAAAGAAGAGGCTTGTTAGCAAAACAGAACACATAAGTCTATTTCTGGGAGGATTTCTTACCAGATTAGCAACTGCCGGGGCGGGTTCACCAAGCGGTTTCCATGAGACAAAGACAAGAATAGCGCCAACGAGTAGAATACCTCCGAAACCCTTGAAAAAGTAGCCAAACCAGGTCTTGAAGCGATGTGTCTCAGGAGGCGAAGGCACGTTCTTGCCGTACTCTTGCACTCTCCTTTTGGCCTGATCGGAGGACAGACCGGTGCCAGGGGAGGTGGTGAGTCGCTGACTGACTTCATTTGACGGAAGGGTATGCCAAACGAGGTCGGATAGATCTTCAAGGAAAAAGAGGATCAGTAACCAAACTCCGGTACGATCAAGTCTCACGCGAGTGTGTGCTAGGTAGTCAGATGGTTGAAGGGAAGCTTACCCTTTGCTGCCTTGTCCTGAGCCTTTCGCAACTCAACTTGCTCTTTCCCTTTGGATTCTTCGACCTGGAACGAGCTATGGGAAACTTAACATCAGCGAATGCTTTCTCCAGTCGTTTCTTCAAAGAACATTAAGCTTACACTGTACGGTACTGAATGGGCAGAGCCAAAGAAGGGTCGGTCTTGCCACGAGACCCAGCTCTCCGGATGCTCATAGAGTCATTTGAGCGCGACCGAACCAAGGAAGGTCGGCCACGACGAACGCGGCCGGCCTCCTCGTCATCATCTTGGAACCTGATGCGTTCGGCCGTGTGGGCCAGTGCAGGTTTATCCTCAGCCATGGTAAAATGGCGATGACAACGACAACAGCAGCCGAGAAGGCTTTAGTTAGGAGAGAAATGTGAAGATAGAGAACAAACAAGAAAGATGCGAGAGTGCTGGGAGGGAAAGGATGTTCAGAGCAGGAGATGGGCAGCCTCATATACGGGGGCGAAGCACCCCCACGATAGCTCTGGTGTGGCAACAGCTAGGAGAATGTAGGCAGGCCGCGTGAGGGGAGCACATGGGCTCCCTCCAACAGCGTGGGTGAGAAATCCTTTCAT